CGTCCCAAAGGCAGACCTCCCAAAGGCAGACTTCCCAAAGGCAGACCTCCCAAAGGCAGACGTCCCAAAGGCAGACGTCCCAAAGGCAGACGTCCCAAAGGCAGACTTCCCAAAGGCAGACGTCCCAAAGGCAGACTTCCCAAAGGCAGACTTCCCAAAGGCAGACGTCCCAAAGGCAGACGTCCCAAAGGCAGACGTCCCAAAGGCAGACGTCCCAAAGGCAGACGTCCCAAAGGCAGACTTCCCAAAGGCAGACTTCCCAAAGGCAGACTTCCCAAAGGCAGACTTCCCAAAGGCAGACGTCCCAAAGGCAGACATCCCAAAGGCAGACTTCCCAAAAGCAGACTTCCCCAAAGGCAGACTTCCCAAAGGCAGACTTCCCAAAGGCAGACGTCCCAAAGGCAGATGTCCCAAAGGCAGACTTCCCAAAGGCAGACTTCCCAAAGGCAGACGTCCCAAAGGCAGACTTCCCAAAAGCAGACTTCCCAAAGGCAGACTTCCCAAAGGCAGACGTCCCAAAGGCAGACTTCCCAAAGGCAGACTTCCCAAAGGCAGACTTCCCAAAGGCAGACTTCCCAAAGGCAGACTTCCCAAAGGCAGACGTCCCAAAGGCAGACTTCCCAAAGGAGGAAGTCCACCGCCCATCATGTCAGCCGATGAAGCAGTACTAGCTTCTTTAAACTTTCTTCTTGGTCTTAATAAAATAACCGTCTAATCTTTGGAAAATCAGATGGAAAACTCTTTGATCTCTTTCCAACTTAATAAAAACTAATGTTGCTTCAAACATGGAAGAAAATGTGTCTGCGCTCTTTTATTTGCTCCATTCTTCAGCCATAGAGAGATGCTCATACTGCAGTGAACTATGGGAATGTTTATGTCTCAGTCACAGCGTCGTCCACACACCTCCACAAAAGTGCTGAGGAGGCGGAACAAAGTGCTAAAAGGCTCATGTCTAAAGCTATTGAACTGCTTTTCCAAAGTACAGTGGGGCTGCCATGGGAACGTCGCGGGATCCCCCAGTGCCCTGCGCCAAACTCTGAGGAACGTTTGGGTTTTGGAGATTCTGGAGCTCAGAGCGATAATCCAACCAGCAGACGGAAACCTGAGACGGAGAGGGACTTTCTGTGAAGAGGAGGCTGGGTGATGTCACATGACCCCGATCAAATATTACCATAAAGTCACAAGCGAAAAGTTAAGGCGGATATTTTAACATGTCATACCTCATTTTAAAGCTCGGATTAAGGAAGATGCTGAAAGAGTGTGAACGATAACGCAAACATTATCACGTGGCCTCGGTCATTGTTCTAAAGCAGGCGTGTCAAACTCAGGCCCATGGGCCAAATTCGGCCTTAAAATCATTTTTAGTAGCCCCTGAGATGATTTTTAATTATTATTATTACAGTCACTTGCAGCGTTGATGGTGATAGGATACGATGGCATGTTCTACTTCATTTCAAAGCTTATTTTACCAAGAAAACCATGTAATCTAATGTGCTCTAACATTTTAAGTTAGGCCAAAGCTATATTTGCTGTAGTTATCAGTCTTCATTTACGTCTCTTCTTGATATTTTGCCCAATTTTGGTTGAATCCAAATCTACCAGAAAACAATGATAATACTTTTATTCTTTTGAACCCAACCACCTCTTACGTTGTTAACTTTGGCCCCTGACCCCAATCTACAGCCTCAGTCCTGGGTCTACAGCCTCAGTCCTGGGTCTACAGCCTCAGTCCTGCATCTACAACCTCAGTCCTGGGTCTACAGCCTCAGTCCTGGGTCTACAGCCTCAGTCCTGGATCTACAGCCTCAGTCCTGGGTCTACAGCCTCAGTCCTGGGTCTACAGCCTTAGTCCTGGGTCCACAGCCTCAGTCCGGGGTCTACAGCCTCAGTCCTGGGTCTACAGCCTCAGTCCTGGGTCTACAGCCTCAGTCCTGGGTCTACAGCCTCAGTCCTGGATCTGCAGCCTCAGTCCTTGGTCTACAGCAGGGGTGTCAAATTTATTTTGGTTGAGGGCCGAATAAAAAATGAAAGGGCTGGTCAGGGGCCAAAAAAAATTTCACTTATTATACTTTTTTATAATATGAAGGTATCTTTTTAAATGACTTGTTTCACATTAGATAGATTGGATATTCTTTTCTGAATAGAATTAGTTCAGTTCCTGTGGACTGGACCAAAACTGAACCAAAACTGGACCTAATATTGAAAGTATAAAGGAAGATTTTCTACTTCTGTGCGGATCATCAAGACGATTGGTCCTCAGAACTGTCAATCATTCTGGTGATTCATGCTCATCTAATAAGACCAGAGAGATTTTTCAAAAAGTGGAGAGGGTGGTTCTTTCCTAAGAACATTTGAAAATCCTCTTCATATCTTTAAGAAGAAATGTAATTGACTCGTAAAAACATAATATTAAAGACTAACATGTTGGCTAAACATTTCTTATGGAATTACAGGTTATGGTTGTTTTCTTGAGAACATTAGTAATGGATAACCTTTAATAAAATAATTTAAAATCATCTCAGGGGCCACTGGAAATGGTCTCGCAGGCCGGATCTGGCCCCCGGGCCTTGACTTTGACACCTAAGGTCTACAGCCTCAGTCCTGGATCTACAGCCTCAGTCCTGGGTCTACAGCCTCAGTCCTGGGTCTACAGCCTCAGTCCTTGGTCTACAGCCTCAGTCCTGGATCTACAGCCTCAGTCCTTGGTCTACAGCCTCAGTCCTGGGTCCACAGCCTTAAAACCTGGATCTACAGCCTAAGTCCTCGGTCCACAGCCTTAAAACCTGGATCTACAGCCTAAGTCCTGGGTCTACAGCCTCAGTCCTAGGTCTACAGCCTCAGTCCTGGGTCTACAGCCTCAGTCCTGGATCTACAGCCTCAGTCCTGGGTCCACAGCCTTAAAACCTGGATCTACAGCCTAAGTCCTGGATCTACAGTACAACCTCAATCCTGGGTCTACAGCCTCAGTCCTGGGTCTACAGCCCGTCCGTCCATGGGAGCAGTGTTTTTAGACTAGTTTCTCTGCTGCAGGAGGATCTGAGGACAGAGATGATCAAGGACACTCCACATTCAACCACATTTATGGACATTGGTCTCTGCTCTTTATGGACCAATGATGTGTTTTCTCTGATCTGTGTTAATGTTAATGATCTGTCTAAGATAAATACAGTTTGAATAACATTGAATTTAAGTATTTCCACTCAATGTGTTTTCTCTTTCCAAATGACTATGATGTGATAAAACCTCCCTGTCCTCAGTCGTGTGTGGCCCTTTAACACATATGAAGCTTGGACTCTTTTGTGGCTCATCGGTTTATTATCCTCTGATGGAGCGGCCTATTCTTCTCAGCAAAAGGCCTGTAAATTCCTGGGATGCCATGAATTAACTACTCGTTTTGAACTCTATCTCTACAGATTGGCTCAATGGTGTTATGATTCAAGAGTAGAAACCACAAGTATTAGACTGTATATGTCTGCAAACAACCACCAACAGGAAAATAGTATTTGAGAAATGCGTTTTTGATTCACAAACTCATGGTCAAAACTTGCGTAAACACACACAATCAAAGCTGTAGTTGAAGCCTGTAAAAAGTCTGCACAGCCACAGAGCAGAGTATTGCAATATTTGATTAATTAATGATCTGTTTCTCTTTAGTGTTTTCTTTGAGTTTCCTCTGGTCATTTCCATCTAAGGTTTCTGTGACTCTAAGATCTCCTCCATGTTTGAAAAGTCTTTGGATAATATGAGGGACAAGAATCGCAATATATCACAGAATCGAATCACGATAAATTCGATGAATCTGAATCTGAAATCACAGAATCGAATCGCAATATATCACAGAATGGAATCACGATAAATCACAGAATCGAATCACGATATATCACAGAATTGAATCACGATAAATCACAGAATCGGATCGCGATATATCACAGAATCGAATCGTAATACATCACAGAATCTAATCACGATAAATCACAGAATTAAATCACGATAAATCACAGAATCGAATAACGATATATCACAGAAATGGATCACGATATATCACAGAATCGAATCACAATATATCACAGAATCGAATCACGATATATCACAGAATCGAATCACGATAAATCACAGAATCGAATCGCAATATGTCACAGAATCGAATCACGATAAATCACAGAATCGAATCGCAATATATCACAGAATCGAATCACGATAAATCACAGAATCGAATCACGATATATCACAGAATCGAATCACGATATATCACAGAATCGAATCACGATAAATCACAGAATCGAATCACGATATATCACAGAATCGAATCACGATAAATCACAGAATCGAATCGCAATAAATCACAGAATCGAATCACGATATATCACAGAATCGAATCGCAATATATCACAGAATCGAATCACGATAAATTACAGAATCGAATCGCAATATATCACAGAATCGAATCACGATAAATCACAGAATCGAATCGCAATATATCACAGAATCGAATCACGATAAATCACAGAATCGAATCGCAATATATCACAGAATCAAATCACGATATATCACAGAATCGAATCACGATAAATCACAGAATCGAATCGCGATATATCACAGAATCGAATCACAATAAATCACAGAATCGAATCGCAATATATCACAGAATCGAATCACGATAAATCACAGAATCGAATCACGATATATCACAGAATCGAATCACAATATATCACAGAATCGAATCACAATAATATTAAATTGTGACCCAAATATCAAATCGTCACATTTTTACCAATTCCCAGTCTTTTTGTTATTACTGTCTATGGTTCATTCCACTTAGAAATGCTTTTAAGTTCAAAACCATGAAATCGGTCTTACTTGCACAACCCCAGTAGCCTGGCTAACACCAGACGAAATATCACAAGTTCGAAAGGATTCGAGCGCACACAGCAGTCTGGCGTTAGCCAGGCTACATCCCCAGAACAACAGTGAATAGATGTGAACCATGTGGCTGCACTTACGCCTTCTTGCCACAGATGGAGCCCTTGTACCAGTTGCGGCAGGTGCTGAAGTACTTCTTCTTGGTTCCCATGACCTGCTGCAGAGCGCACGTGTTGGGCCTGGAACCACAGATACAGTTAAAGACAGACACTTTTTCAGACCCAAAAGCGGTGTCTTAAAATGATTTGGTGAATAAACTTTGAAGACAAATGAGTATGATTCATGATTCATCAGGAAAACGTTTTTTTGCTTGGAATAATTCACACATCAGAGATCAGTCACAAGTGAGTAATTCTTATTTATACAGCGCCTTTCAAGGTCCTGTTCCAACTGGGATTGGAACCCAGGACCTTCTCGCTTCTCTTCAACGGTGCCGCCCAAGGGTAAGGGCAGTGATTCCCAAACTTTTTCTGCTGCCCCTCTTTGAGAGTCCATAGCAGACATTGTAATTAACACAAACCTCATTCCTAACTGCAGATTGTAATGTGTCTTATCCTAGCAGTGTCATATGGCCTACTGTATTTTTGTTAATTCATTCGTCCCACGCCCCCCACTTTGGCAACCACTGGGCTAGGGTACGTTTCCAAACCCTGAACCCTGGGGCTGAACAGTACGGCCCGTAGAGAGGACGGTTTGGACATAACTAATGAACACACTCATAAACACATACGGTGGGGCAAAAAAGTATTTAGTCAGCCACCGATTGTCATTATTTTAAGTGGGAGAACTTGCACAATCGGGGGCTGACTAAATACTTTTTTGCCCCACTGTACATCCTAAACAGATGATTCTGATGAACTGTTTTCACACTTATGTCTCAGATTATCCATTTATACCTGAAAGTTTTTGTGTATTAGACCCATGAGCTGAGATCAGGGTTAGGGTCAGTGCTTCTGCTCCTGGTTGTGTCTACACTGCTCCAGGATCAGTTGTTCTAGACCCTAAGGCGTCCAGAGAAAACTGATGCAAAGTCAAACCAGGTCAAACATGCAAAAATATCTGCATCCATTCCTCAGATCGACATCTTTAACAGATCTACATCGTTTCTCTGAGATTGTAATGGCTATTTTCCATTTCAAGCATTATTATCAAGGTGTATATCATGTTGTTCATGGCTTGTTTTTTATTGTTTTGCCCCAAACCTTAAAGAAACATGGAAAAGGTAAATGTCAAGTATTTAACTCATGTTTTCTTCATGCTGAGTTTTTAATGTCCTGTTTTTTGGTAATGTTTTTCATGTTTTGTATGATCTAAGCTAGCATTGTCAACATGGTAAAGTTCAGACATTCAAGCTGCTCCTAAAGCTCCAGAAAAAGTCAATTCTACTTTTTAGACAAATTAGTGCTTTTTTCGGCAGAAGTTCAGATGCTGAAAAACAAACATTCTTTTACTTGAGTACTGAAACACTTTTCAACCCCAGCGCAGAAACACAAACATTTCCATTTTGATCAAATCTAAAGAACATGATTTAAATGAACTGGGCTCCACCATGGACTGTGAATACTCCACTCAGATGCAGAATGTGGATTTTTTGGTGATTTCAGTAAAAATGGTCCAGATTTGGCAAGAAACGACAAACTGGGGGAACTTTCAAAACCACAACAACTTTAACTAATACAAATCCATGTCACTGGTTTCTGTGTTTTTACCAATCTTTAGACAGAAAAGTAACACAGAGAGGATCACCCTCACTCAGCCAATCCGCCTCAGCCCAAAGGGTCAAATTGTGACTCACAGGGCTCTTTCTTACAAGTGTGCAAAAAGAAGCACGTTTTCTAATAAGTTAAAGACATCTGTGTTAGAAAAAACCACATGTTTTATTGATGAAGGAGGAAGACGGTGGATACTGCAGCTTTAAGTAACCGTTTAAGGTTGATCTCACACTGCGAAATGTACAGGACACATTTGGCACAGATGGCATCACTCAGTCTGTGCAAAATAGTGGCACTCCTTTGACATGTAGCAGCACTAATAACAATGTGTGATTATTTATTCTCTTAACTCCATAGTTTTTTACCAATCAGTTGAGATGTAGTTTGATGGTAAAGTGCCAAAAGAGGTGAGATGCCCCGAGGAGGTAGATTTCAGATCCAAGCTTCAAGTACAGATAGTGACTGAAAAAGGGACCCACCAAATGTTTAAGGAAACCATTAAAGGGTTAAGCTAATTCAAACATGTATTGAGAGATCTGTGGCTCCTTGTGCATCCGACAGAGTGCAGATTGTAAGTCAAGATCAAGTCAAGAGCCCTGAGACATCCTCATTGGCACTGACTGTTTTAACAATCTGTAATTTTATGTAACTGTGACTCTTAATTTCAATGGGACTTTCCTGTTAAATAGAAGTTAAAGAAATCAAAAAGAGTATTAGTGCGTCCCTCACCCCTCTTTCCGAGCCCGGATTCGGCTGTGGGCCACGATCTTGTCGTAGGCAGAAGACTCCACATGGTGCAGGCAGAGCACCCAGAGCAAACAGGCCGTCAGCAGCAGCTTCATCTTGGGTTCGTGACTCCTCTGCTGGGTTCGTGACTCCTCTGCTGGGTTCGTGACTCCTCTGCTGGGTTCGTGACTCCTCTGCTGGGTTTGGGACTCCTCTGCTGGGTTTGGGACTCCTCTGCTGGGTTTGGGACTCCTCTGCTGGGTTAGGGGGGAGTGTGGTCTGGCTGCCTCTCCTGGAGTGATGGGGGCCCCGCACTGGAGCAGGACGGGTTTATACTCACACCAGAGGGCCACAGACAGGACAGGGGAGGGGGAGGAGAGAAAGGGGAGGGGGGTGGAGAGAGAGGGGGGAGGGGGGAGGAGAGAGGGGGGAGGTTACACCGGGACGTACAGCTGCTGTAGGTGAGACAGAGAGCAGCGGTGGAAAAGTGCTACTTTTAGAGTCCTCAGTGTGGAACATTTCAATATAAATCTACTCAAATTCAATCTGGAGAGACTTGAACAGAAAAAAAATTGGTTTTATTAGAAATATTGATTGGCAATTAACTGACACTGAAAGCATTAGTATTTACGACTCTCAAGACAATATTTGCAAGATCACATGAATTGCTGCTGTATGAGAAACATGGTTAAGATTTGGTCCTCAGACCCTGACACAGAGCTGCATGAAGATTGTAGAAAGGACAATGAAGATGGAGATTATGAGATGGAATCCCCCTGGGCCTTGACCCTGGTGGTGGGAGCGAGGAGAAGGGCGAAAGCTGATCCGGGGGTTGCTGCATGGATGAAGCTTCCTCGTGATTTATAGCTCGAGGCAGGGCGATGCTTAAATGCTTCCAGGTGAGTGTTGGAAGCGTAGTGCTGCAGCTGAGTATGATTGACAGGTGCTGTTGTCGTGAAGCACCAACGCCCAGGGCTTAGTTCGTCTGTCTTGTAGTCTGAAAATCTGCCTTAGCCCCGCCCACATTAAAGGCCACACCCTGGATCCTTCACGGTGACAGACCTCTGCGTGTATAATGTTGATGTGTCTGACCGAGAGCTGAAGATCTTGACCCGAGCCCGGTGGGTTCTGGTCAGGTCGTGTTCAGACCAGGTCGGGCTCAATTTCTATCATAGACCTCTCAGGCTCGGTAAAACTGAGTCATTTCAACGTGTTTGAAATTAGACTGCTGCTTTTTGCACAAAGTCACATCACCTTCACCTCAATCTGTGAAAACATGTGTTGTTTAAAGCCCCTCTTTCACGCTGCCTGGAAAAGCGCACTTTTAAACATTTATAGAATTGTATCTCCCTCTGTGCTTATACAGAAGTCGGATGAACAATAACATAGTCTAGAGAGGGACGGTCAAATCTCACACTCCTCTGAACTGAAAGACTGGGGCCACATCAGTAGCTCCTCCCCCTCTGTGTGTCTGCAGAAGTCTCAGGTGGTCTCCCATCTTTGTTTGGGCTCGGGTCGGGCCTTTTTTCCGGTTCCGATTACAGCTTATTGTCAAAAAACTGACAGACGTGTCTCAGAATTTGGTACAGAAATAAGACGAATATTCAAGAGTTAAATATAAAACAATATTTCATTCTCTTTACAATTAAATATTTATACAAAACTCTCTGAGCTCTATTTCCCAAACTAGTCCTATATGAGCTTTAACTACTCTATCCCTCCAGGCCTGAAAATGTACTGAGAGGTCACCCAGGTGCTCTGCGATGGTCCTCTCTCCGTCCCTGCTCAGACTGCTCACAAAATGTCCACCAAATACTTTTATAGAATGTGTAGAAAGAGAGTGGGAGTGCCAAGAAGACGTCATTCTGAGGCCCACACGGACCAGGTCTGGTCTGGTCTAGTTTTGGGTCTCATGCCTTGTCCCATAAGAGAGGCCTGCTGTTCCTAAAACGATTCTTAGATCACAGAAACCAACCTTGTCCTTGAATCTTCCCTGAATTCATCAAACTCATTTCTTATAGGTGTTGATAAGTGTATCAACGTGTGCTGTATTTAAGTCTGCAACAAGCTCTAGTTTGACCATTTGACCAATTTATCATATTTTTAAAAGGGTTTAAAATGGAACTGTCATGAGGAGGCAGTGGTGTGTGCTCTTTTTCATAGCTGGAGAATCTAATATTCAAACAATAGATCAGCCACTGAGGTTTGCGTTTACGATACACTTTAGAGAAAGACTAAATTTACAAAATGATCAGAAAAAGTGTTCCCTAGCTTTAAAATCCACACACGTCCTTTTGCAGGAAACAGTATTTGTTGAATAACAGAGGGTTTTCAGAGAAGCTGTCACTGAGTGTGTTGTTCTGGGTCTAAACCTGAGACAAACATGACCTCCGCTCTCCAGGAGAGGTCAGATTCACTGATGCTTTGTAAAAACACAATAAAAATGCATTCTCCATGACAGAAGTCTGAAGAACATGGCTCCATTCGTCACAGTCGTAAATGAATGTGTTTACGTGTACAGACGCTGGGATGGAAACTGCAGCTGCATCTCTGGATCCTGGAGAAGAATCAAGGACGTTACACAATGGACTGCAGCAGCTCAGCACTGACACCTAGTGGTCAGGGAGGATACTGCACACTCTATATCTGTAGAACATTAAGGCTCATCTACTTCAGTTTCAGAGTCAAATCATTCAAACTGCTCTTTTCACGCATTAAGTAGAACTGTTTGAAATGGAAATGGAATTTATCATATAACTCAAGGAGAAAAAGGCTTTGATTACAATTGTTTTTTATTTATGTCTTTTTTTTGACAGGGACAGTGTACATTAATGAACATTACTGTAAATGTACCAGAATCAACCACAAGGATATTTTTCATCCGTTAATGAACAATCGATTCATTTCATTTTGTATTACTGAAAACTGGAGTACTTGAAACCACAAAAACGTATGTAATACGTAATCATTCCTCACTCTCAAAACAATTTGCTTCTATGAATATTTCCACATGCACAGGAGTGAAAGTCAGGCCTAAGTCTCTAGATGTACTGTATGTCCGGCCTCTGTCACATCAGTACAGTGCTCAATCAGCCAATCAGCTGTCAGCACTAAGAACTGCGCAGGAGGATCTGAAATCTGATTAGTTCCAAAAATGTTACTTTAACAAGACTCTGTTGCCGCAAACAGTTTGTATTTATGAAACAAAACGTTTTGTTCGTTACTCCAGCTTGGAAAGACGACAAATAAGGTTCTGCCTGGTGCTATTTTTCTTAAAATATATGATACATGCACAAAGTGTTGAAGAGTGACGAGATCAAATGATTAAACCTAATAAGTTAATAAGTTCATATTAATGAGACAATCAATAGCTGCATCTCTATTTCAGGCCATACACATTATAATGACATAAACTATTCACCTGCTGTCCCATTGTCTGTTTCATGACGTTAGAGGGAAATATGAATCCAGCTTCTTTGACCCGCACCTGTGGACTGGTCTCCCCCGACCCATGGGCTGCACCCCCACCCGCCTGGGAGAGGCCTCTCTCATTATGGATCTCCCAGAGGTTTTTCTGTTTTCCCACTGGGTTATTGAGTTGTTCCTTGCAGATGCAGGAGGGTCTCAGGACAGTGATGATACAGCACATTTAAGGACATTTATGAATATTTAAAGATGTGGGTCATCCCGATGCCTATGGTCCAAAGTGATTGGTTGAGCCGTAATGAAGTGATTGAAGCCGCCTCTTGCCCTGATGGGATTTTGTCCTGAACAGAACTACTCAACCCTAACCTTAGCTTGTTTGCAAACTGATCCTACACTTTTGATCTTCTCCAAAAACACAATTATCCCTCCATGAACTTTCACATGTGGTATTCACTGGTCCCAGCTTTTCTCATAAAGACTGGATAACATTAGCATTTTTACAATTCCAAAAGTCGGAGCCAGGCTTTGCCTCAGCGCTGGGACAAACAGAGGGAACGTCGCGGCGCTGCTAATTGGAAGCAGCGCATTCGTTTTGGGTCCGGATTCAACAATGTGTCATATTGAAATGGGTCGGGCTCAAGAGTGTGACCGTTTAGGCCGATGTCCCCGAGCTGAGGTCTGTCTCTGCTCTTTTACATTCAGACCACAGACTTTTGATTGAAGCGTGTTTTTAATCCAGTAACTGTAACTCTGTGTTGCACCTTATTGAACTGTATGGTAATATGTATTTTAGTAACTTGCACTTTTATTTAGACTGCGTGTTATTGTGCAAGTTCTATGATGGTATTGTCAGGACCACAGGCGGACAGAAGCTGATCTGACTATACCTGAGTTATTTTCTAATGAGTTCAGAAAAATGCGTATCACTACAAACAAGTTGTATTAAAATCCGTAATTGAATTGAAAACTTGAGCTCATTGATTCAGCTGTGGATGAATTCAGGCAAAGCAGGGTTAAGTGTCTGGCCCAGGGACACAACGGCAGCAGACAACAAACACAGTGAGAGAAGTGAGAAGCTGAGGCCACATGTGTTTGTCCTTCTGCTCGATCCTCTTCTGGAAACCAACGCATGAAAAGTGTCTGAAGAAAAGAAAACGGTCTCATGTTCTCTGTGACGAACGACAAGTGAAATCTTAAAACGTTTTTATTGTTGCAGCAATAACATCGGACGTGTAGATGAGCTCCTGACCACAGCATGCACAGTTGTTGCATGGACACTTTAACATCAGCCCTTCTCAGAAACATTACCCCAATGAGAACAAAACAAACCATTTTATTTTGAAGGGGAAAGACATAAAGAGCTTTTCCATTGAAAGTGTAGACACAGGTTTTTCTCTAGGTCAAGTAAAACACAGACTATTCCCCGTCCATTGTAAGGAACTCAATGGCTTTTCTCCAACATGGCTCTTTGGAATATCCTTGAGAAAAAGCATCGTGGCACTAGCCTGGTCTTACCACACCATCATACTCATTTCATTTCGTACGCAGGTCTGGATTTGCTCCATTGACTCCGTTAACAGTCCCACCTTGGCTAACTCCTTTTGCAGATTGAAACCATTGGATCTGAGTTTACTGTGACGTATGTAATGAGCCCGAGTGAGTGAGGCATTTAGCATTTAGCCTAGCTTTAGCAATTAGCCTAGCTTTAGCCATCTCCTTTGCCACTAACGGAGCCCGTGGGGAGTAGAGCCACAACATCTTCGCAGCAATGACATTTACTAAACATTCCTCTTGCTCCGGCTTCAGTTTCTTGATAAAAACCAGAACAGATTATTTTACAATTGCATTCGCCGCCATTGCCGAACTACAACCAGCAAATTTGGCGCAAACTCTAGACGTCACCCACATCTACCTTCAACACCCGCGCTCGCTGATTGGTCGAAGGGGATTCAACCGATGTAAGAGCAGGCACTGGGAATAGACCCAGACGGTAGATGCAGGGAGATTATAATTGACCGGAGTTTCTGGATTGCTAAGGCCAGGCTATCGTGGCACCAGTACAGGAAGAGTTGGTTTGAAGCTAACATATGCACATTGTAAAACCTTTGAAATAACTCTATATGTGTCGTTTTAGTAAGATTGTCTCTGGGTCGACAAGCCGAACTGTAAACACTTTTTCGACTGGGTTCAGAGCTAAAACATGAAGGTATGATACACATTCACATTGATTCACATTTAACAAGAGTTGGTTGAATGAAAAATATTGACGTTCTCGCTAGATCAGTGCCATATTTGGAATCTGGGGCCAGATTTAAACGAAAACACTATTTTCGTTTAAATCAGACTCTCGTCTCCGACACAAACTTAACTTTATTCTTCCTTTTGCCAGTACCACCCAGAAGCGGATGGCTATCTCAGTGGCTGGAGTCAAGCTGTGGAACTCCATGAAAGACACTTTAAAAAACTCCACAAATATTTTTCAGTTTAAACAAATATTCAAGGAAACAATAATTAAATCATATGAACTGGAAATTAAATGAAAGAGGATTATTTGTTTTGATGAGCAAACCCTGCTTGTGGCATGTTTTGTATTTGTTATTTCTTTGTGACTGATGTGTTGTTACATCAGACCATCTTGAAAAATGTTGTTTGTTTTTTTTTGGAGAAAGGGGCACATAATATAAGTTTGTCTTCTTTGTGCTCCTTTTAAATTGTCTGACTACTAGTATTATTTTATGTAAACATGTAAAAATGAAAGAATATTCAGAACAATTGAAATAAATAAAAAATGAAATGAAATGAAATGAAATATGTAGGTTGTAAAGTCAGAATGATTCAGCGACTGTTTCAAGAGGTTTGAGATCCATGAGGTCTAACATACAGCAGCGATACTGGCAGAGCTATAGAGTCATTACTCTGTTTGACTTTACCATCTCATCATCACTGAGCTGGAATGGAACTGATTTGGAACATTGTGGGAGAAAGCAAAAGTAGATTCAAGACAATATAAGATGATATTTACTGAGTGATAACTGAAGGATGTGGGACGTTCTGAGTTAACATGTTGTCCACGTGCTTTAAGAAAGGCCAGATAGAAGGGATGCGGTTATTGCTGGTTTCCTGAGCTTCAATAAACTCAGTTGTAGTGATGTCGCATGATCTCCTTTCCTCTCTTCAGGGGCAGACAATGGACCAAAGCTGTCTATCATCTATGAACTTCTGCCTCTGGTTCTGGATTTGCAGACTGAACTTTGGGCTCAAGGGTAGAGCTCACCTGAGGTTTCTGACCTTCACTCACAGCTGGAAATATGATCCTCGGGGCCCCATGGAAGGGTCTCCCCTGAGGGATCAGACCAAGAGTGGTTCATTTAATTATTTTTCATTACATTTCAAGTGTGGTTCCTTTTGAGAGTAATTTTGGTTAAAAATAACATGTGGTAATAAAGCAGTACTAGCGTCTCTACACTGTCTTATTAAAATAAAGTTATGAGACTTTACAATCAGACATTTTCTCTTCTACACCTGCGGAAATCCACAAAAAAGATCCCACAATGTTTCTTTCAGCGGACACAATGTTGGTACTGTACGATGTTAGGAATGCCTTTTACAAAGATTCAATAAAACAGAAGGCCTGGCATGCATTTGCTGAAGCTGTTATCTACGGCGCCTTCTCTCTGATGAAAACAGGACCATGTGAGGACCATGTGAGGATCCTCTGTGCTGTTAAATAACTATATATAACATGTTTTATGTAGCATAGAAACACATGCATTGTAAATGCATTTAAAGCAGGTAAGAGACTTCAATCCAACGCCATTTGCATTTTTATAGTTTTTAAGGTCACTTAGCAGTTGAGAAACATAAATGAGTCCAAAAAGTAAAAGAAGATGTCCGAAAATGGCAACAGCATGAGGACGTGATGCACTGAGAAGCATAGAGAGAGAACGTCCGCTGTCAGTGGAAGGCTTTCAAATATTCACATGGATGCTGTACTTTGCCCATGAGCACTTCCCTGTTGAGTTTGACTGAGCGTGTTAAGCCTGTCCATCTATACACGGTGCGTCGTCAGACTCTGGCGGGTGTAGCACCTCCACCTCCACCTTCTCGCTCCTCTTGGCCCTCTGCAGCCTCAGGAAGATCCCGGGGCCCAGACTCTCCTCCCTCTCTGGGACGGGGAGCACAGCGGACCCGTTGGAGGTGGTGGTGGTGGGGCCCTCGGAGAAGCTGGTCCTCTTATCGAACACGTGCAGGCTGTTCTGGGTCTCCTCGGGGGGCAGGTAGGGGGAGTATCTGAAGGAGTTCCCCGGGTAGGCCATGGTGGAGCTGCCGAGGCGTCCACCGGGAGACTTGCCCCTCATCATGCCCAGGACCTCGAAGCGGAAGCTGGAGATGTCCTGCTTCAGCTCCTGTGGAGAGACCATCAAATGTGTCATGGTGTGGATTTTATTTCTGGTTTTATTTTGACATCAGTTCTTTGCCCTGACGTGTTTCACCTGTATCTATATGTACCTGTGTCTCTGTGTCTATATGTACCTGTGTCTCTCTGTATCTATATGTACCTGTGTCTATATGTACCTGTGTCTATATGTACCTGTGTCTCTCTGTGTCTATATGTACCTGTGTCTCTGTGTCTATATGTACCTGTGTCTCTGTATCTATATGTACCTGTGTCTATATGTACCTGTGTCTCTGTGTCTATAGTAAGTAAGTAAGTAAGTAAGTAAGCTTTATTTATATACCGCCTTTCACAGACCAGAGTCACAAAGCGGTTTACAATTGTTATTTTTTGGGCACTTGTCCTCTCACTCCACACAGAGATGGGAGTGGGGTCGCCGAACAGGAGGCGCATGCCAGACCTATTGTACATATTTTTAGTGGTAGGGGAAACCGGAGTACCCGGAGGAAACCTACGCAGACACGGGGAGAACATGCAAACTCCACTCAGAAATGCCCTGGTCCGGCCGGGATTCGAACCCAGGACCTTCTTGCTGAGAGGCGAGAGTGCTATCCACTCAGCCACCGTGCCGCCCTGTCTCTGTGTCTATATGTACCTGTGTCTCTGTGTCTATATGTACCTGTGTCTCTGTGTCTATATGTACCTGTGTCTATATGTACCTGTGTCTCTGTATCTATATGTACCTGTGTCTATATGTACCTGTGTCTCTGTGTCTATATGTACCTGTGTCTATATGTACCTGTGTCTATATGTACCTGTGTCTCTGTGTCTATATGTACCTGTGTCTCTCTGTGTCTATATGTACCTGTGGCTCTGTGTCTATATGTACCTGTGTCTATATGTACCTGTGTCTCTCTGTGTCTATATGTACCTGTGTCTATATGTACCTGTGTCTCTCTGTGTCTATATGTACCTGTGTCTATATGTACCTGTGTCTCTGTGTCTATATGTACCTGTGTCTCTGTATCTATATGTACCTGTGTCTATATGTACCTGTGTCTCTCTGTGTCTATATGTACCTGTGTCTCTGTGTCTATATGTACCTGTGTCTCTGTATCTATATGTACCTGTGTCTATATGTACCTGTGTCTCTCTGTGTCTATATGTACCTGTGTCTCTGTGTCTATATGTACCTGTGTCTATATGTACCTGTGTCTATATGTACCTGTGTCTCTGTGTCTATATGTACCTGTGTCTCTGTGTCTATATGTACCTGTGTCTCTGTGTCTATATGTACCTGTGTCTATATGTACCTGTGTCTCTGTGTCTATATGTACCTGTGTCTCTCTGTGTCTATATGTACCTGTGTCTATATGTACCTGTGTCTCTGTGTCTATATGTACCTGTGTCTATATGTACCTGTGTCTCTGTGTCTATATGTACCTGTGTCTCTCTGTGTCTATATGTACCTGTGTCTATATGTACCTGTGTCTCTGTGTCTATATGTACCTGTGTCTATATGTACCTGTGTCTCTGTGTCTATATGTACCTGTGTCTCTGTGTCTATATGTACCTGTGCCTATATGTACCTGTGTCTCTGTGTCTATATGTACCTGTGTCTTTGTGTCTATATGTACCTGTGTCTCTGTGTCTATATGTACCTGTGTCTCTGTGTCTATATGTACCTGTGTCTCTGTGTCTATATGTACCTGTGTGTCTCTGTGTCACTATGTACCTGTGTCTCTGTGTCTATATGTACCTGTGTCTCTGTGTCTATATGTACCTGTGTCTCTGTGTCTATATGTACCTGTGTCTATATGTACCTGTGTCTCTTTGTCTATATGTACCTGTGTCTCTCGGTCTATATGTACCTGTGTCTCTGTGTGTCTATATGTACCTGTGTGTCTCTGTGTCTATATGTACCTGTGTCTCTCTGTGTCTATATGTACCTGTGTCTCTCTGTGTCTATATGTACCTGTGTCTCTGTGTCTATATGTACCTGTGTGTCTCTGTGTCTATATGTACCTGTGTCTCTCTGTGTCTATATGTACCTGTGTCTCTCTGTGTCTATATGTACCTGTGTCTCTGTGTCTATATGTACCTGTGTCTCTCTGTGTCTATATGTACCTGTGTCTCTCTGTGTCTATATGTACCTGTGTCTCTCTGTGTCTATATGTACCTGTGTCTCTGTGTCTATATGTACCTGTGTCTCTGTGTCTATATGTACCTGTGTCTCTCTGTGTCTATATGTACCTGTGTCTCTCTGTGTCTATATGTACCTTTGTCTCTCTGTGTCTATATGTACCTGTGTCTCTCTGTGTCTATAAGTACCTGTGTCTATATGTACCTGTGTCTCTGTGTCTATATGTACCTGTCTCTCTGTGTCTATATGTACCTGTGTCTCTCTGTGTCTATATGTACCTGTGTGTCTCTGTCTATATGTACCTGTGCTCCTCTCCCGTGGTTACTGGATTTTGGAGTTTTGTTTTCACCATTAAATCATTATTTTGGCATTTCTTCTTTTGAGTCCTCCTTCATTCTTCTTCTTCACATTTTAACATTCTCTCCTTGAAGAAGCAATGTCATTTTACTCTGAATTGGCTTTTCACACACAACATTTTTTTCAACCGCTATTTTTTCAATTTAAGACCTTCACTAAATGGTTGAGCTGCAGTTGGATCGTAAAAGTGTCTAAAACCAAGAGAGACGCAACAAATAAGTAGATTTCAGTTCCAAGCTTCAAGTTGACTCAAAATATGAAGGGTTAAAGGAGCTATGCCTGTTTCAGCAATGTTTAGCCCCGCCCCCAACTCGCTCACAGGCTTTTCATTCCCCCTACGTTCTCATCCCACGGAGCATCTAGTTTTATTTGCGATCTGTATGCTAACATTAGCATTAGCGTAGCTTAAGCTGAACAACAATCACTGATGAAATGGTACAAAAGCGAAGAGAGTCCGAGCGTAGATAGTCCCAGCGTAGATAGTCCCAGCGTAGATAGTCCCAGCGTAGATAGTCCCAGCGTAGATAGTCCGAGCGTAGATAGTCCGAGCGTAGATAGTCCGAGCGTAGATAGTCCGAGCGTAGATAGTCCCAGCGTAGATAGTCCCAGCGTAGATAGTCCGAGCGTAGATAGTCCGAGCGTAGATAGTCCGAGCGTAGATAGTCCGAGCGTAGATAGTCCGAGCGTAGATAGTCCGAGCGTAGATAGTCCGAGTGTAGATAGTCCGAGCGTAGATAGTCCGAGCGTAGATAGTCCGAGCGTAGATAGTCCGAGCGTAGATAGTCCGAGCGTAGATAGTACGAGCGTAGATAGTCTGAGCGTAGATAGTCAGAGAGTAGATAGTCCCAGCGTAGATAGTCCGAGCGTAGATAGTCCGAGCGTAGATAGTCCGAGCGTAGATAGTCCGAGCGTAGATAGTACGAGCGTAGATAGTCTGAGCGTAGATAGTCAGAGAGTAGATAGTCCGAGCGTAGATAGTCCGAGTGTAGATAGTCCGAGCGTAGATAGTCCGAGCGTAGATAGTCCGAGCGTAGATAGTCCGAGCGTAGATAGTCCGAGCAGAGATAGTCTGAGCGTAGATAGTCCGAGCAGAGATAGTCCGAGCGTAGATAGTCCGAGCGTAGATAGTCCGAGCGTAGATAGTCCGAGCGTAGATAGTCCGAGCGTAGATAGTCCGAGCGTAGATAGTCCGAGCGTAGATAGTCCGAGCATAGATAGTCCGAGCAGAGATAGTCCGAGCGTAGATAGTCCGAGCGTAGATAGTCCGAGCGTAGATAGTCAGAGAATAGATGGTCCGAGCATAGATAGTCCGAGCGTAGATAGTCCGAGCGTAGATAGTCCGAGCATAAATAGTCCGAGCGTCGATAGTCCGAGCGTAGATAGTCCGAGCGTAGATAGTCCGAGCGTAGATAGTCCGAGCGTAGATAGTCAGAGCATTGATAGTCCGAGCGTAGATAGTTCGAGCGTAGATAGTCCGAGCATTGATAGTCCGAGCGTAGATAGTCCGAGCGTAGATAGTCAGAGCATTGATAGTCCGAGCGTAGATAGTCCGAGCGTAGATAGTCCGAGCATTGATAGTCCGAGCGTAGATAGTCCGAGCGTAGATAGTCAGAGAATAGATAGTCCGAGCGTAGATAGTCCGAGGCGGTCCCGCAGGTCTCTCCCATAGACCAGTCTCTCCAGAGGATACGATGTAAGCTAGCTCTGTTCAGGGCTTGGTTTCTTCTTTGATCATGTTGTGGCTTTAGTTCCTCTTCTCTTCCTCACTGTTGTGTGTTTGGGCTGTTTTGCTGTGTCTGTGCATGTGTGTTAAGAATGTATATGTATTCTCCCATTAACATTTAAATGTGTTGATTGATTGGTATCTGCGTTTATTGAGCATGGCTAGCATCTCTCGCAGAGAAAGTAGTAGCGACAAAGTGGCCGGAACTACTTGCGGAGTAATCTACACATCTGAAATACAAGCAGAGAGTGCGTTGCCAAAGGGCAGCGGCCATTATTGTTTTGAGAGGTCGGCAATAAGAAATAATGACCGGTAGAACATTTTGAAATTACATTCAAGTCAATGGAGCGTTCTACTGCTGCTGTGAGGAGCGTGTCATAATCACAATTAATAAACTCTAAAAGTGTGGTTAATCAAATCATATAAATAAGATAAATCATCTTCTGATCCCGTCACAGCTGCGGACTTACAGACTGCCTATTTTTCATTTTTAAACCAGTTTGAAAAGGGTTTAGAACAGAGCATGGGTAAACTTCTCTAAAGCTCTGCACAGAAGTCTTTAAACTAGATCTAAACTGAGCCTCATCAGTTTAGATCTAGTTTGGCATCAGTGGTTTTGACAGAAGAGTCCGGGGGAGAGTTTGTCACCAGCTGAAGTCTGACCTTAAAGTTTTCCTCCGTCAGACCTTCCTCCGTCTTTGCGTCGCGGATCATCGCCGCAACGTAACGTTTCACCAAGTTCTTCAACACTTCCTGAAAACACATCGTTCAGTCCCAAAAACTCAAAGAAATCATCAAAAGTACCTTCCCACGTGTGAAACCCAGACCCACCTGGTGTGAAACCCAGACTCACCTGGTGTGAAACCCAGACTCACCTGGTGTGAAACCCAGACTCACCTGGTGCGAAACCCAGACTCACCTGGTGCGAAACCCAGACTCACCTGGTGTGAAACCCAGACTCACCTGGTGCGAAACCCAGACTCACCTGGTGTGAAACCCAGACCCACCTGGTGCGAAACCCAGACTCACCTGGTGCGAAACCCAGACTCACCTGGTGTGAAACCCAGACTTACCTGGTGCGAAACCCAGACTCACCTGGTGCGAAACCCAGACTCACCTGGTGTGAAACCCAGACTCACCTGGTGTGAAACCCAGACCCACCTGGTGTGAAACCCAGACTCACCTGGTGTGAAACCCAGACTCACCTGGTGTGAAACCCAGACCCACCTGGTGTGAAACCCAGACTCACCTGGTGCAAAACCCAGACTCACCTGGTGCGAAACCCAGACTCACCTGGTGCGAAACCCAGACTCACCTGGTGCGAAACCTAGACTCACCTGGTGTGAAACCCAGACTCACCTGGTATTCATGGTTCGACCGGACGTTCTCAGCTGCACGGAACTGCAAACACAGACACGGTTCATTAAAGCTGTGGTTTGGGATTTTGAAAATGATATATTTCTTTCTAAACTGTTGTGGATTTGAAACGCTGGCACAAAAAAACAGTCTCATGTGACAGTTATGTTCATCATGAAGTGTTTCAGAGGTTTCTTCTTTGCTGATTCAGGGAACAATGAAGCCCAGAGTTTTTCAGAGAGTGGCAGTCCTCCTTTGTGTTGCTAAAAAAAGAAGGAGACCGAGACCAAAACTGAGGCTCTCCCGTTTTACCATGTCATGTCATTTTCTTCCCCTTTATTATTCAATTTCTGGGTGGGGGGGTTCATTGCACCAAGTCTCATTGCACCAGTCCTTCTGATCCTCCTGCGGGTGCTGGGTCCAAAGGAAGATGGCTGCTCTGTCATTGACGAGATGGCCTTGATCTTTCAGCAGGGGCTTCAGGCAATGTGGGGTTAAGTGTCTTGCCCAAGGACACATCGACAGCAGACATCAGTGGGAGCAGGTGATATGGGTCGTAGTGAGATCGAACCCACGACCATTGGGTCCAAAGACCAGTGCTCTACAATCTGAGCTACTGTCACCCCCCTGTTTGACCATATATGGAGCAAAATGAGGTCTTCGGAGGCCCTTCCTATGAACTGATTTGAATTGACCGAGTGAGTCAGTCTGAACAGGGAGAGTCAGTTATGTATTAGTATTTCACTGTGAGGAGAATGTATTGTTATTCATTTGAACTCTTGAAGTCTTGATCTTCCTTTCGGGTCAAATTTTGAATCTCGCTAGAAAAAAGTCCATGGGATTTTGGCCTCTGTCACGCACTTTAGATTTCACTTCAGCCAATCAGATCTCAGCACACAGCACCCTCTACGAATGCAAAAGATCAAGTTTTCTAATAAGATTGTGTGTAGCCACCGCTGCCCTGGGGCACACTGACAGAAGCAAGGCAACCAGCCCCTCCCACCACCACCAACCCGTCACACACACACCAGACTCATTCTAATGTGGGGGAAGTGTCTTGCCAAAGGACACAACCACAGTTTGGCACTTTACAGCCGCAGCCACCCCAGTCTCACAGCAGACAGAGCGTATAGTTGGAGCGTGTTAGAGTGGGAATCGTACCCCCAGACTCTCGAAGGTGTTGAGCCTGGTCCCGTGTGGGCGCCTCCGCAGATGCGTCTGGACCCACGTGAGCAGGTAGCACAGGGACTTGGGGCTGGGGATGATGTTGAACGGTGAGGGCAGCGTCCCGCCTTCTTCAAAGTAACTCATCCATAATTTGGTGCGAGCAAATTTCCACTCTTTGTCGGCGTGGTCCTGGAAAAAGCAGAGAGAAAAATGGCCGTAGAAAAAAATTTAAGATTTGGATTAAGATTAATATTGAGATTAAGATGAAGATTAAGAGATCCTTTATTGGTCCCACAGTTGGGATATTTCAGTGCAAAATAAATTAACACTAACTCGATACTAACTATCTAAAATAAATCACCAGAGAGAGAGACAAGAGAGAGACAAGAGAGAGACCAGAGAGAGACCAGAGAGAGACCAGAGAGAGACCAGAGAGAGACCAGAGAGAGACCAGAGAGAGAGACCAGAGAGAGACCAGAGAGAGAACAGAGAGAGACCAGAGAGAGACCAGAGAGAGACCAGAGAGAGACCAGAGAGAGAGACCAGAGAGAGACCAGAGAGAGAACCAGAGAGAGACCAGAGAGAGACCAGAGAGAGACCAGAGAGAGACTAGAAAGAGACCAGAAAGAGACCAGAGAGAGACCAGAGAGAACCTAGAGAGAGACCAGAGAGAGACCAGAAAGAGAGCCAGAGAGAGAGACCAGAGAGAGACCAGATAGAAACCAGAGAGAGACCAGAGAGAGACCAGAGAGAGACCAGAGAGAGACCAGAGAGAGAGACCAGAGAGAGACCAGATAGAGAGACCAGAGAGAGACCAGAGAGAGAGACCAGAGAGAGACCAGATAGAGAGACCAGAGAGAAACCAGAGAGAGACCAGAGAGAGACCAGAGAGAGAGACCAGAGAGAGACCAGAGAGAAACCAGAGAGAGACCAGAGAGAGAGACCAGAGAGAGACCAGAGAGAAACCAGAGAGAGACCAGAGAGAGACCAGAGAGAGAGACCAGAGAGAAACCAGAGAGAGACCAGAGAGAGACCAGAGAGACAGACCAGAGAGAGACCAGAGAGAGACCAGAGAGAAACCAGAGAGAGACCAGAGAGAGAGACCAGAGAGAGACCAGAGAGAGACCAGAGAGAAACCAGAGAGAGACCAGAGAGAGAGACCAGAGAGAGACCAGAGAGACAGACCAGAGAGAGACCAGAGAGAAACCAGAGAAAGACCAGAGAGAGAGAGACTAGAGAGAGATGTCATTGTTGCAGTTCCTGTGTTTAAACGGTTTGATTCTCTGATCTGTGTTGGCGACAGCTTTGTAAACACCCAGATAACTACTGTTGTGATCTAGGGTGATGCTGTCATGGTTGTCATCTTAGTTCCTGTTTTATTTTGTATTATCTGTTCTCCTGTGTCTTTTTGAATTTTACGCATGGATCTATAATAATATATAGATAGAATATTACTAGCTTATAGCTGTCCCACCCATGGCCACAGGGGGCGCTGTGGTACTGCAGACTAAATTTACGTTGCTCAGAAAGATTTCTCATAAAAGTCAATGTAAACTAAAACATCTCGACCTCAGCTGACAGAGAACTTAGCAGAGAACCTGACGGAGAACCTGACGGAGAACCTACAGCTTTCATAAAGGAGGATTTTGTGGGGATTTTATAATATGGGCAAGTTCCGCTAATCTTTCCCATGTGCGCCATCTTGGATCGCCGGGACTTGGTTTCACTTCCTGGTCTGTTGATTGCCCTGATGTGTACCTGTGTCTCCCAGTTTAAGTCCCTGTGCTCTTTCCCTCTTGTTGTCAGTCCATTAAGTGTTTGTTCCCAGTTCTTGTCTTCGTCCTCTGTTCCTGTGTTTAACATTCAGTTGAGTTTTGTTTTTGCAGTGTCGAATTTTGGGTTCTTCTTCTTGTTTAAATGTGACATATTCACAAAAACATTAAATTGAATTGAAATCTGCTTTTAACAAATGTATTCTACTTATTAGAATGTTCTTTCCAATGCCATGAAAACCCAGAACAAAAGGATAGTCTGTGTTGGTAAAGGTCCTCACGGCGATGTGCTGGTAGGAGTTGTTCATCATGGCGATCAGCATGTTGAGCAGAACCACCAGAGAGATGATGTTGTAGGTCCCGAACATGGTGCTGCCCACGAACTCGGTGAACTCATGGTCCGGCTTCACGTTGGTCACGTAGAGCGAGATGAGGCCGAAGATGGACCAGAACAAGGACTGCAGCGTCTCGAAAAGCCTATCAAACAAACACACACACACACACACACACACATACATGTACACATACACATACGGGAAAGTAATGATCATAATGAATCGGGTTTATGTAAGGACTTTTTAAATGCTCTTTTTTAGACAAAATAATCTTCTCTTCTTCTTCTTAGGGGTTTAAGCTGGTTGGCAACCAATTTATAGAGCATTACCGCCACCTTCTGTTCTGGAGTGGGTCAGACAATAAGCTCACAATCTAAAGTCCAAAACATAGGCAATATATAGTATAGTCTATGGCCCCAACAAGGATATTCCTGATTCCTTTACAAAAGCCGAGTCCCTAAATATTTCTTCCTGTCATTCTCCAGATTACCCTTCAGATTGAGTTGCCTCATTCTAGCTTCTTCAACCTCTCCTTCATAACTTCTCTACAAATGCTGAATCCCCTACACCTCAGAACCACTCTTCCTCCTCCAAAGCTCCCACAGCCCTGGCCCATTAAGTGCAAGTCTAAGTCTCGTAACCACCCCTTCATCTCTTCTGTGCCCCCGTTAAACTGCTTCAAACCCTAACCCTAACTGCTCAGGTTTGAGACAGATTTCAAGTATGAATGTAGAATGGATTCTTTGTTGCCTGCATGTGCTGAGAGTTTGAGAACCATATTTAACACTAGGACACAAATCAGGTAAACTACTTGAACTCCCGGAGCCGCCATTTTGACTGTTCTATATTCGTATATTCTCATCTTATTATCTTGAAGTAGCAATAGCAATATGTAAGATTTTCATGTCTAGTCATCATTAAAGGGCCCTAATCTGTCATCATTAAAGGGCCCTAATCTGTCATCATTAAAGGGCCCTAATCTGTCATCATTAAAGGGCCCTAATCTGTCATCATTAAAGGGCCCTAATCTGTCATCATTAAAGGGCCCTAATCTGTCATCATTAAAGGGCCCTAATCTGTCATCATTAGAGGGCCCTAATCTGTCATCATTAAAGGGCCCTAATCTGTCATCATTAAAGGACCCTAATCTGTCATCATTAAAGGGCCCTAATCTGTCATCATTAAAGGGCCCTAATCTGTCATCATTAGAGGGCCCTAATCTGTCATCATTAAAGGGCCCTCATCTGTCATCATTAAAGGGCCCTAATCTGTCATCATAAAAGGGCCCTAATCTGTCATCATTAAAGGGCCCTAATCTGTCGTCATTAAAGGGCCCTAATCTGTCGTCATTAAAGGGCCCTAATCTGTCATCATTAAAGGGCCCTAATCTGTCATCATTAAAGGGCCCTAATCTGTCGTCATTAAAGGGCCCTAATCTGTCGTCATTAAAGGGCCCTAATCTGTCATCATTAAAGGGCCCTAATCTGTCAAGGGCCCTAATCTGTCATCATTAAAGGGCCCTAATCTGTCGTCATTAAAGGGCCCTAATCTGTCATCATTAAAGGGCCCTAATCTGTCGTCATTAAAGGGCCCTAATCTGTCGTCATTAAAGGGCCCTAATCTGTCATCATTAAAGGGCCCTAATCTGTCATCATTAAAGGGCCCTAATCTGTCGTCATTAAAGGGCCCTAATCTGTCGTCATTAAAGGGCCCTAATCTGTCTGTCATTAAAGGGCCCTAATCTGTCATCATTAAAGGGCCCTAATCTGTCATCATTAAAGGGCCCCTAATCTGTCATCATTAAAGGGCCCTAATCTGTCATCATTAAAGGGCCCTAATCTGTCATCATTAAAGGGCCCTAATTTGTCATCATTAAAGGGCCCTAATCTGTCATCATTAAAGGGCCCTAATCTGTCATCATTAAAGGGCCCTAATTTGTCGTCATTAAAGGGCCCTAATCTGTCGTCATTAAAGGGCCCTAATCTGTCATCATTAAAGGGCCCTAATTTGTCGTCATTAAAGGGCCCTAATCTGTCGTCATTAAAGGGCCCTAATCTGTCATCATTAAAGGGCCCTAATCTGTCATCATTAAAGGGCCCTAATCTGTCATCATTAAAGGGCCCTAATCTGTCAGAATAATAAACTGCTCTGATAACAGTAGTTCAGAGATATGTTCCAGCCCCTAAATCTTGTTATTGTTTTCATTTCGATGTCCCGCCCTCCACCGTTTCACCAATCAGAAAGTCTGTGATCCGGGCGCCAGAACTCACCGCGTGGAGCTAATCTCACTGGTAAAGTACCATGTGGCGCAGAACTAAAAAAGGTCTCGTTATGATTCTCAAATCATTAACGACAAAACAAGGAATAAAAGCAGGATTTCTATCTTTGTGAAAAAGGTGTTGGTTATAGATTTGTTGTTGACTAAACTCTTGTCTATTCAGCTGTTATGGTCCCAGCTGGATTCGTCTGCATATCTGGCAACCTGAGTCAAGGAGAGTGGGAGAGGCTGCAGTACCACTTTTGGCCACATTTTTAAACACTGCTCCTTTTAAATACTAGATCCTATTTGATGTGTGCATAACCTGACTGCTCTTATTTGCTCCTTTCATTCTGCTGTAATTATGACAGTATAAGTTCCCCACTGTGGGACAAATAAATGAATGTTTAAAGTTATTTAGAGACGGATAAAGAGGGACTGACGTGGAGAAGGCGTTGTTCTGCTCCTTGCAGCGGATGCCTTTGCAGCCGTTCTCGCCGTCGCTCTCGTAGTAGAAGTAGAGCTGGTTGAGTCCGTTGGCGAAGGCCAGCAGCACCAGGCAGTAGATGAAGAGGAACTTGAGGATGTCCAGGAGCATCCGTCCCAGAGAGATCTGCAGAGGCCCCAGGTGAGAGTTGGCCGTGAAGAGGGCGATGAGCCGCAGGGAGCTGAAGATGTTGGAGATGGCAAAGAGCGCCTCGGCCACCAGCGTCGGGTGCCACATCTCCCACGAGTGACGCGGCTTCTTACCACTGTACTGTACACACACAGAGACGCACACACACACAGAGACGCACACACACAAACACACAGAGACGCATACACACACACAGAGACGCACACACACACAGAGACACACACACACAGAGACGCACACACACACAGAGACGCACACACACACACAGAGACGCACACACACAGAGACACACACAGAGACGCACACACACAGAGACGCACACCACAGAGACGCACACACACACAGAGACGCACACACACACACACACACAGAGACACACACAGAGAGACGCACACACACCACAGAGACACACACACACAGAGACGCACACACACACAGAGAGACGCACACACACACACACACAGAGACGCACACACACACAGAGACACACACACACAGACGCACACACACACAGAGACACACACACACAGAGACGCACACACACACACACACAGAGACGCACACACACACAGAGACACACACACACACACACACAGAGTCACACACACACAGAGACACACACACACAGAGACGCACACACACACACACACACGCACACACACACAGAGACGCACACACACACAGAGACACACACACACACAGAGACGCACACACATAGAGACACACAGAGACGCACACACACACACAGAGACACACACACACAGAGACGCCACACACACACACACACAGAGTCGCACACACACACAGAGACGCACACACACAGAGTCGCACACACACACAGAACGCACACACACACAGACGCACGCACACACAGAGACGCACACACACAGAGACGCACACACAGAGACGCACACACAGAGACGCACACACACAGACGCACACACACACACACACACACACACAGAGACACACACACAGGGACGCACACACACAGAGACGCACACACGCACGCACACACAGAGACGCACACACACACACACACACAGAGACACAGAGACGCACACACACACACACAGAGACGCACTCACACACACACACAGACGCACACACACAGACACACATACACGCACACAGAGATGCACACACAAACACACACAGACGCACACACACACAGACGCACACACACAGAGAGACACACAGACACGCACACAGAGATGCACACACACACACACACACACAGACGCACACACACACACAGACACGCAGAGACGCACACACACACAGAGAGCACTCACACACACACACACAGACGCACACACACGCACACAGACATTTCATTTTGGTACTAGGCAAGGCAAGGCAAGGCAAGTTTATTTGTATAGCACAATTCATACACAAGGCAACTCAAAGTGCTGAACAAAACAAGATAGCATTAAAATCATAAATAATCACAGAACATTAAAAGAAAGATAAAAATATAAAATCCCTCAGTTGTAGCACAGCTAAACAGAACCGTCTTTAACTGGTTTTAAACATTGTCAGAGAGGAGGCCTGTCTCACATCTTCAGGAAGATTGTTCCAGATTTTAGCAGCATGAATCTGAAAAGCAGCCTCCCCATGTTTAGTTCTGACTCTGGGCACTAACAGGAGTCCCTGTGCTCCTCAGTCCCAGCAGGAGTCCAGTCTCTGTGCTCCTCAGAGTCCGCAGGCCAGTCCCTGTGCTCCTCAGAGTCCGGGCTGGTTCATATGGGACTAACATGTCACTAATATATTTTGGTGCGAGGCCATGGAGAGACTTGTAACAAGCAGAGCTGTTTTAAAGTCTATTCTCTGAGCCACAGGAAGCCAGTGCAGAGACCTGAGGACTGGACTAATGTGGTCGTACTTCCTGGTTCTAGTCAGGACTCGAGCTGCTGCATTTTGAATGTACTGCAGCTGTTTTACAGCCTGTTTGGACAGACCTGTGAGCAGGCCATTGCAGTAGTCTAACCTACTGGAGACAAATGCATGGATAAGAATCTCCAGGTCTGCTTTAGACACTATGTTTTTGATCCTGGCAATGTTTTTTAGATGGTAAAAAGCTGCTGATGTTACTGATTTGATGTGGCTATTAAAATTTAAGTCTGAGTCCAGTATTACCCCTAGATTTCTGACCTTGTTTGAAGGTTTTAGGGAGAGAGACTGTAGGTGACAGATGACGCTCTCTCTTTGTTTCTGGGGACCAAAGACAATCATTTCAGTTTTGTCTGCGTTTAGCTGAAGGAAGTTGTTTTGCATCCACTCACTGATCTGTTGGATACAGTGAAGGAGTGAGTCCACTGGTCCATGTTCTCCTGCAGTCAGTGAGACATAGATCTGAGTGTCGTCTGCATAGTTGTGATAGGACACTTTGTTTCTGCGTATTAACTGACCTAACGGCAGCATGTAGAGATTGAACAGAAGAGGTCCCAGGATCGACCCCTGTGGTACTCCACAGGTCAGGGCCATATGATCTGAGACACAGTTTCCAATCTCCACAAAGTACTTCCTGTCTTCAAGGTAAGACCTAAACCAACTTAGGGCGGTGCCAGCGACGCCAACCCAGTCCTCTAGTCTCTGTAAGAGGATCTCATGGTCGACAGTGTCAAAGGCAGCACTCAGATCTAACAGGATTAGATTGAGACTTTGCCTGCGTCAGTGTTCAGCCGGATATCGTTTGTAACCTTGACGAGAGCAGTCTCAGTGCTGTGGTGGGGTCTAAAGCCGGACTGAAACATATCAAATGAGTTGTTGATTATAAGAAATCTAGTAAGCTGTAGGTAGACAACTTTTTCAAGGACTTTCCCCATAAATGGCAGATTTGAGATGGGACGATAGTTGTTAAGTACCGTAGCATCCAGACTGCTCTTTTTTAGCAGGGGCCTGATGACTGCAGTTTTCAGGGCCTTTGGGAATATTCCAGAATTAAGGGACATGTTTACTATCTGTGTGAGTGAAGGTAACAGACTGCTCAGAACAGACTTTAGAAATCTAGTGGGTAGTACATCCAGGCTGCATGTGGAGGAGCTCAAACTGGAGATTATCTCTTGGACAGTTTTATCATTTACAGGTGCAAAGTGAAGTTAGCTCAAAGAGCCTTTCTGGCTGTTGGATTGTTATCTGTGGATTGGAGACAATGGCGTTTTTGATGCCTTGAACCTTGTCATTGAAAAAATGTGCAAACTCATTACATTTACGTTTGGAAGTTAGCTCTAATGGCATCTGAACAGGGGGGTTTGTTAATCTATTAACTGTTGAAAACAGAACACGCAGATTGTTGCTGCAGCCTTCAATCATTTCAGAAAAATACCTTTCTCTCGTACTACGTAGCACCTGGTTAAACTCGCACAACTTATCTTTGAAGATCTTGTAATCAACCTGGAGGTTGGACTTGCGCCACTTCCGCTCGGCCCTCCGGCACTCTCTCTTTTGTGCCCTGACCGAGTCTGCTTTAGCCCACGGCGCCTTCTGCTTATTTTTCACTATTTTAACCTTCACAGGAGCGATGGTGTCCAGAACATTCAAAACACTAGAGGTGACAGAGTTAAACAGTTCATCTACAGTAGAATACGATGCATTCTCAAAGTTTATCATTCCCATAAATAGTTCACCCGTATTTTCATTTATGTGTCTTCTTCGTACAGTTGCAGAGTCCACTGGTGGTTTGTTAGTGAAACACATGTCAAAAAATACACAGAAATGATCCGAAAGCGCAACATCGACCACGTTTACATTAGAAATGTTCACCCCCTTTGTAACTAACAGGTCTAGAGTGTGCCCTCTGCTGTGGGTGGGGCCACTCACATGCTGAGTGAGACCAAAAGATTCAAGAACAGAACTCAGCTCTTTGCATTTCTGTCATCAACATTATCCACATGAATATTAAAATCACCTGTAATAACTAAACTATCAAAATCTGTGCAACAACTGAAAGCAACTCTGTAAAATTATCAATAAAACTGTGACATGACTGCGGTGGCTTGTATAGGACAACGAAAAGTATTGGAGGAGATTGTTTTTGTTGTATTTTAAAAGACACATATTCAAAAGACGGAAACTTCCCAAGAGACATTCTATGGGAGACAAAGTGGCCTCTAAAAATGGCAGCTAAGCCTCCTCCTTTTTTGTTTTCCCGTATTTCAGATTCAAATTTGAAATTTGGTGGTGATGCTTCTATTAAAACTGCATTTTCTGTATTTTGGTCAAGCCATGTTTCAGCCATGAACATAAGATCTAGATTATAAGAACAAATACAATTATTGATTAAAAAAGACTTGTTACAAAGAGATCTGACATTTAGCATAGCAAGTTTCAAAGTTTCAGGATCAGCGGTTGTGGTCGGCTGATTCTTACACGGAACAATAATTAGATTTTCCTGATTAGACTGATTAACTTCAGATGTTTTTCTGTTATGTATTCTTTGTGTTATCACTAAGGGAATGGCACAGGTGGCTTCATGACAGGGCCCCAGTCGGGTCTCTCCTCTAACTAGACTGCCAGTGGCTGCGAAGCAGAGACCCTGTGCATCCTAGTGTTTAGAGAAAAGAGGGGAAGGGGAAGGCGGGGGAAGAGGATGGAGAGGCGGGTGGTTCTTGGGAGTTGGACGGGGGGGGGGTTGAAGGTGGATGGGTTTTTGGTGATGGGTTAGGGGAGGGGCAGGCTGAGTTGGGTGGTGGACGAGGGGGGAGTGGAGGTGGAGGGTTTCTTGGTGCTGGTTAGGGGGGAGGTGGGCTAAATGAGCAGGAGGGGGGGGTGGAATACTTATGGGGTTAGAGGAGGGACGGGTGGATTTTGTGGGAGAATTTGAGTTGGACGCCCTAGGTGGCTTTGGAGGTACGTATGGGGAGTAGTTTTGAATGTTAGATAGGACTCTTGATCTGGCTACAGTGGGTGTGAGAGGAATAGTCTTCATCGCCGATCTTATCATGCCTGCCGAGTGTTCCGGTAATTCCAGTAGTGAAGGCGGGGATAGAAAACAAAGGGAAAGGTCGTCCTCATTTTCCCTAGATGGAGTGGATGTAGCGGGGGGGACCCAAGCCGGGTCCATGGAAGGTGATGAGGGAGTCTTTGGTGGAGACAGAGGTGGTTGAGGAACCCCCAGTACAGGCCTGTCTGTAGCCTGGAGCAATGGGGGAAGCTTCACGGGAGCTGTAGGTGGGGAAGGTGCTGCTGAAGATGATGGAGCATGCTGCTGCTGAAGATGATGGAGCAGCCACTGCTGCTGCTGAAGATATCACCACTGCTGCTGGTGGTGCTGTGCTGTATATGCTGATGGCGCTGATGAAGATGTGGCAGCTGCTGATGATGCTGGTGGTGGAGGCGTTGAGCTCTTTCGGAGCCGTGGAGGTGTTGAGTTCTTTGGAACTTGGAGGTGTGTAGTTCTTCTTGAATCGTGGAGGTGTGGAGTTCTTTTGAGGCGGTGGGGGTGCAGAGACCTCGGGAGTCGGTGGAGATGGTCGTGATGTCTGTGCCCTTTGCTTCTTCTTTCTCCCTTTCGACGGCTGCACGCGCTGCGCAGGCTGAGGTCTTAGGGCAGATGCAAAGTTATCCATCAACACTTTTACTCCGTAGTTGTTCAGATGTGGACCTTTTTCTTCAAAAAGCTCGTGCCTATTCCAGAACAGATTAAAGTTTTCAATGAAGCCAAGTCCTCTGCGTGAACACTCATTGAGTAGGAATGTATTTAGCTGATACAGACGGCTAAACTTCTCCATTTTTCCATCTATATTTGGAAGTGGTCCACTAAGAAAAATGTTTATGTCCATTTTCTTGAGGTCATCCAGTAACAGCGTTAAATCCATTCGTAACTTCTCGCTTGCCTTCTCATAGATATCTACCGCCCCCGTGTGGATCAATAATGTACGCACACCACTGTTCTCAGATAACACTTTAGGCAGAAGAGTCCTTATCTCAGCAACTTTTGCAGAGTGAACTGAGACAGTGAGCATGGACTCCATGTTTACATTTTTCACCGAACCATCTCCGATAAGGACACAGTTTGTCCTTGGTGGAGGCGCTGCAGTTGTTAGCGGCTTTATTGTTTCAGAAAGGGGTAAAAAGCGGTTTGAAGTCTTCAGAACATTTAGTTGTGGCCTTATTTCACTCCTATTGTCATTCTTAGCTTTGTCAACTTTGGGTTTAGCTCCACAATTGTTCCAATAATTCTCATTGTTGATTTTGGGAAAAGAAATGACGTCATAACTTACATTTCCAGTCTGTCCATTCATCCCATTTTCACTCATTGGAAGAGTCGGGTTTAGTCCCATTTCTGTTTCCACAATAGATATCCGTGTTTGAAGAGATTTGAGCTGATATTCCAGAGCACAACAGCCGCCGCAGAGACGCTTCTCCGTCTCTTTCGTCCCGACATGACTAAAGTTGATAAATTCCACAAAGCTGAAGTGTGTAGAAGGAGTAATCCTCGTTTTGTAAATAAAATGATTAAAGGAGAAACAAAAAATGTAAATAAAATGATTCAAGGAGATTAAAAGGCGAAGCAAAAGCAGAGCAGAGAGACACGACTGCTCTCTCAGAGAGTCGTCACCACTGTCACCTACAGTCTCTCTCCCTAAAACCTTCAAACAAGGTCAGAAAATCTAGGGGTAATACTGGACTCAGACTTAAATTTTAATAGCCACATCAAATCAGTAACATCAGCAGCTTTTTACCATCTAAAAAACATTGCCAGGATCAAAAACATAGTGTCTAAAGCAGACCTGGAGATTCTTATCCATGCATTTGTCTCCAGTAGGTTAGACTACTGCAATGGCCTGCTCACAGGTCTGTCCAAACAGGCTGTAAAACAGCTGCAGTACATTCAAAATGCAGCAGCTCGAGTCCTGACTAGAACCAGGAAGTACGACCACATTAGTCCAGTCCTCAGGTCTCTGCACTGGCTTCCAGTGGCTCTGAGAATAGACTTTAAAACAGCTCTGCTTGTTACAAGTCTCTCCATGGCCTCGCACCAAAATATATTAGTGACATGTTAGTCCCATATGAACCAGCCCGGACTCTGAGGAGCACAGGGACTGGACTCCTGCTGGGACTCTGAGGAGCACAGAGACTGGACTCCTGCTGGGACTCTGAGGAGCACAGGGACTGGACTCCTGTTAGTGCCCAGAGTCAGAACTAAACATGGGGAGGCTGCTTTTCAGATTCATGCTGCTAAAATCTGGAACAATCTTCCTGAAGATGTGAGACAGGCCTCCTCTCTGACAATGTTTAAAACCAGGTTAAAGACAGTTCTGTTTAGCTGTGCTACAACTGAGGGATTTTATATTTTTATCTTTCTTTTGAATGTTCTGTGATTATTTATGATTTTAATGCTATCTTGTTTTGTTCAGCACTTTGAGTTGCCTAGTGTATGAATTGTGCTATACAAATAAACTTGCCTTGCCTTGCCTTGCAAAATGAAATGATATGAAAGACCAGGCTACTTTGGAACATACTTGCAAAAGTTCCCTGTGTACACCAAACCAGTATTTAAATACATCAAGGTAAAAAGTACAGGAGTGCAAAATGATTCTAAATGTGTGTGTGTGCGAGCGTGTGTGCGTCTTGTTTTCTTCAGCACTTTGAGCTGCCTTTTGTATTGTGCGATACAAATACATTTTCCTTGCCTTGTGTGTGTGTGTGCGTCTCTGCGTGTCTGTGTGTGTGTGAGTGCGTCTCTGTGTGTGTGTGTGCGTCTCTGCGTGTCTGTGTGTGTGCGTCTCTGTGTGTGTGTGTGCGTCTCTGCGTGTCTGTGTGTGTGTGAGTGCGTCTCTGTGTGTGTGTGTGCGTCTATGTGTGTGTGCATCTCTGTGTGCGTGTCTGTGTGTGTGTGCGTTTGTGTGTGTGTGTGAGTGCGTCTCTGTGTGTGCGTGCGTCTGTGTGTGTGTGCGTTTGTGTGTGTGTGTGTGTGTGTGAGTGCGTCTCTGTGTGTGTGTGCGTCTCTGCGTGTCTGTGTGTGTGTGTGCGTGCGTCTCTGTGTGTGTGTGTGCGTCTCTGTGTGTGTGTGTGCGTCTCTGTGTGTGTGTGAGTCTCTGTGTGTGTGTGCGTCTCTGTGTGTGTGTGTGTGTGTGTGTGCGTCTCTGTGTGTGTGCGTCTCTGTGTGTGTGTGTGTGTGTGGTCTCTCTGTGTGTGTGTGCGTCTCTGTGTGTGTGTGTGTGTGTGTGTGCGTCTCTCTGTGTGTGTGTGCGACTCTGTGTGTGTGTGTGTGCGTCTCTGTGTGTGTGTGCGTCTCTGTGTGTGTGTGTGTGTGCGTCTCTCTGTGTGTGTGTGCGTCTCTGTGTGTGTGTGTGTGTGTGCGTCTCTCTGTGTGTGTGTGCGTCTCTGTGTGTGTGTGTGTGTGTGTGTGCGTCTCTCTGTGTGTGTGTGCGACTCTGTGTGTGTGTGTGTGCGTCTCTGTGTGTGTGTGCGTCTCTGTGTGTGTGTGTGTGTGTCTCTGTGTGCGTCTCTCTGTGTGTGTGTGCGACTCTGTGTGTGTGTGTGTGCGTCTCTGTGTGTGTGTGCGTCTCTGTGTGTGTACAGTACAGTGGTAAGAAGCCGCGTCACTCGTGGGAGATGTGGCACCCGACGCTGGTGGCCGAGGCGCTCTTTGCCATCTCCAACATCTTCAGCTCCCTGCGGCTCATCGCCCTCTTCACGGCCAACTCTCACCTGGGGCCTCTGCAGATCTCTCTGGGACGGATGCTCCTGGACATCCTCAAGTTCCTCTTCATCTACTGCCTGGTGCTGCTGGCCTTCGCCAACGGACTCAACCAGCTCTACTTCTACTACGAGAGCGACGGCGAGAACGGCTGCAAAGGCATCCGCTGCAAGGAGCAGAACAACGCCTTCTCCACGTCAGTCCCTCTTTATCTGTCTCTAAATAACATAAAATCTTCCGTTATTTGTCCCACAGTGGGGAACTTATACTGTCATCATTACAGCAGAATGAAAGGAGCAAATAAGAGCAGTCAGGTTATGCACACATCAAACAGGATCTATTATTTAAAAGCAGCAGTGTGTAAACATGTGGCCAAGAGTGGTACTGCAGCCTCTCCCGCTCGCCCTGACTCAGGTTGCCAGATATGCAGACGAATCCAGCTGGGACCATAACAGCTGAATAGACAAGAGTTTTGTCAACAACAAATCTATAACCAACACCTTTTTCACAAAGATAGAAATCCTGCTTTTTTTCCTTGTTTTGTCGTTAATGATTTGAGAATCATAACGAGACCTTTTTTAGTTCTGCGCCACATGGTACTTTACCAGTGAGATTAGCTCCACGCGGTGAGTTCTGGCGCCCGGATCACAGACTCTCTGATTGGTGAAACGGTGGAGGGCGGGACATCGAAATGAAAACGATAACAAGATTTAGGGGCTGGAAAAGTAATTTAGAAATTCACATATCTCTGAACTACTGTTATCAGAGCAGTTTATTATTCTGACAGATTAGGTTCCTTTAATGATGACAGATTAGGGCCCTTTAATGATGACAGATTAGGGCCCTTTAATGATGACAGATTAGGGCCCTTTAATGACGACAGATTAGGGCCCTTTAATGACGACAAATTAGGGCCCTTTAATGATGACAGATTAGGGCCCTTTAATGACGACAGATTAGGGCCCTTTAATGACGACAAATTAGGGCCCTTTAATGATGACAGATTAGGGCCCTTTAATGATGACAGATTAGGGCCCTTTAATGATGACAAATTAGGGCCCTTTAATGATGACAGATTAGGGCCCTTTGATGATGACAGATTAGGGCCCTTTAATGGTTACAGATTAGGGCCCTTTAATGATGACAGATTAGGGCCCTTTAATGATGACAAATTAGGGCCCTTTAATGACAACAGATTAGGGCCCTTTAATGACGACAGATTAGGGCCCTTTAATGACGACAGATTAGGGCCCTTTAATGACAACAGATTAGGGCCCTTTAATGACGACAGATTAGGGCCCTTTAATGACGACAGATTAGGGCCCTTTAATCATGACTTGACATGAAAATCTTAGATATTGCTACTTTAAGATAATAAGATAATACAATAAAACCACTGGAGCTATAATTTCACTTGGTTCAAGGCTACGTCAGCAGGAGGTATTTACAGATGTTGATATTGCACTTTAGCAGCAGAGAATATATGAATGAGAACAGTCAAAATGGCGGCTCCGGGAGTTCAAGTAGTTTACCTGATTTGTGTCCTGTAGTGTTAAATATGGTTCTCAAACTCTCAGCACATGCAGGCAACAAAGAATCCATTCTACATTCATACTTGAAATCTGTCTAAAACCTGAGCAGTTAGGGTTAGGGTTAGAAGCAGTTTAACGGGGGCACAGAAGAGATGAAGGGGTGGTTACGAGACTTAGACTTACACTTAATAACATGGGCCAGGGCTGTGGGAGGAGGAAGAGTGGTTCTGAGGTGTAGGGGATTCAGCATTTGTAGAGAAGTTATGAAGGAGAGGTTGAAGAAGCTAGAATGAGGCAACTCAATCTGAAGGGTAATCTGGAGAATGACAGGAAGAAATATTTAGGGACTCGGCTTTTGTAAAGGAATCAGGAATATCCTTGTTGGGGCCATAGACTATACTATATATTGCCTAAGTGGCGGCACGGTGGCTGAGTGGATAGCACTCTCGCCTCTCAGCAAGAAGGTCCTGGGTTCGAATCCCGGTCGGGCCAGGGCCTTTCTGAGTGGAGTTTGCATGTTCTCCCCGTGTCTGCGTAGGTTTCCTCCGGGTACTCCGGTTTCCCCTACCACTAAAAATATGTACAATGGTTCTGGCATGTGCCTCCTGTACTGGCGACCCCGCTCCCATCTCTGTGTGGAGTGAGAGACAAATGCCCATAATTAACAATTGTAAACCGCTTTGAGACTCAGATCTGCAGTGAAAAGGCGGTATATAAATAAAAACTTACTTACTTACTTACTTACCTATGTTTTGGGCTTTAGATTGTGAGCTTATTGTCTGACCCACTCCAGAACAGAAGGTGGCGGTAACCCTAAGAAGAAGAAGAGAAGATTATTTTGTCTAAAAAATAGCATTTAAAAAGTCCTTACATAAACCCGATTCATGTGTGTGTGTGTGTTTGTTTGATAGGCTTTTCGAGACGCTGCAGTCCTTGTTCTGGTCCATCTTCGGCCTCATCTCGCTCTACGTGACCAACGTGAAGCCGGACCATGAGTTCACCGAGTTCGTGGGCAGCACCATGTTCGGGACCTACAACATCATCTCTCTGGTGGTTCTGCTCAACATGCTGATCGCCATGATGAACAACTCCTACCAGCACATCGCCGTGAGGACCTTTACCAACACAGACTATCCTTTTGTTCTGGGTTTTCATGGCATTGGAAAGAACATTCTAATAAGTAGAATACAATTGTTAAAAGCAGATTTCAATTCAATTCAATGTTTTTGTGAATATGTCACATTTAAACAAGAAGAAGAACCCAAAATTCGACACTGCAAAAACAAAACTCAACTGAATGTTAAACACAGGAACAGAGGACGAAGACAAGAACTGGGAACAAACACTTAATGGACTGACAACAAGAGGGAAAGAGCACAGGGACTTAAACTGGGAGACACAGGTACACATCAGGGCAATCAACAGACCAGGAAGTAAAACCAAGTCCCGGCGATCCAAGATGGCGCACATGGGAAAGATTAGCGGAACTTGCCCATATTATAAAATCCCCACAAAATCCTCCTTTATGAAAGCTGTAGGTTCTCCGTCAGGTTCTCTGCTAAGTTCTCTGTCAGCTGAGGTCGAGATGTTTTAGTTTACATTGACTTTTATGAGAAATCTTTCTGAGCAACGTAAATTTAGTCTGCAGTACCACAGCGCCCCCTGTGGCCATGGGTGGGACAGCTATAAGCTAGTAATATTCTATCTATATATTATTATAGATCCATGCGTAAAATTCAAAAAGACACAGGAGAACAGATAATACAAAATAAAACAGGAACTAAGATGACAACCATGACAGCATCACTCTAGATCACAACAGTAGTTATCTGGGTGTTTACAAAGCTGTCGCCAACACAGATCAGAGTTTCAAACCGTTTAAACACAGGAACTGCAACAATGACATCTCTCTCTAGTCTCTCTCTCTCTGGTCTCTCTCTGGTCTCTCTCTGGTTTCTCTCTGGTCTCTCTCTCTGGTCTCTCTCTGGTCTCTGTCTGGTCTCTCTCTGGTTTCTCTCTGGTCTCTCTCTCTGGTCTCTCTCTGGTTTCTCTGTGGTCTCTCTCTGGTCTCTCTCTCTGGTCTCTCTCTGGTCTCTCTCTGGTCTCTCTCTGGTTTCTCTCTGGTCTCTCTCTCTGTCTCTCTCTCTGGTCTCTCTCTCTGGTCTCTCTCTGGTTTCTCTCTGGTCTCTCTCTGGTCTCTCTCTGGTCTCTCTCTGGTCTCTCTCTGGTCTCTCTCTGGTCTCTCTCTGGTTTCTCTCTGGTCTCTCTCTCTGGTCTCTCTCTGGTTTCTCTCTGGTCTCTCTCTGGTCTCTCTCTGGTCTCTCTCTGGTCTCTCTCTGGTCTCTCTCTGGTTTCTCTCTGGTCTCTCTCTGGTCTCTCTCTGGTCTCTCTCTGGTTTCTCTCTGGTCTCTCTCTCTGGTCTCTCTCTGGTCTCTCTCTGGTTTCTCTCTGGTCTCTCTATCTGGTCTCTCTCTGGTCTCTGTCTGGTCTCTCTCTGGTTTCTCTCTGGTCTCTCTCTCTGGTCTCTCTCTGGTTTCTCTCTGGTCTCTCTCTGGTCTCTCTCTGGTCTCTCTCTGGTCTCTCTCTGGTTTCTCTCTGGTCTCTCTCTCTGTCTCTCTTTCTGGTCTCTCTCTCTGGTCTCTCTCTGGTTTCTCTCTGGTCTCTCTCTGGTCTCTCTCTGGTCTCTCTCTGGTCTCTCTCTGGTCTCTCTCTGGTCTCTCTCTGGTTTCTCTCTGGTCTCTCTCTCTGGTCTCTCTCTGGTTTCTCTCTGGTCTCTCTCTGGTCTCTCTCTGGTCTCTCTCTGGTCTCTCTCTGGTCTCTCTCTGGTTTCTCTCTGGTCTCTCTCTGGTCTCTCTCTGGTTTCTCTCTGGTCTCTCTCTCTGGTCTCTCTCTGGTCTCTCTCTGGTTTCTCTCTGGTCTCTCTATCTGGTCTCTCTCTGGTCTCTCTCTGGTCTCTCTCTAGGTTCTCTCTGGTCTCTCTCTGGTCTCTTTCTGGTCTCTTTCTAGTCTCTCTCTGGCCTCTCTCTGGTCTCTCTCTTGTCTCTCTCTCTGGTGATTTATTTTAGTATCGAGTTAGTGTTAATTTATTTTGCACTGAAATATCCCAACTGTGGGACCAATAAAGGATCTCTTAATCTTCATCTTAATCTCAATATTAATCTTAATCCAAATCTTAAATTTTTTTCTACGGCCATTTTTCTCTCTGCTTTTTCCAGGACCACGCCGACAAAGAGTTGCTGCTAACGCCCCTTAGGCTCGCTTTGGGTATGACTCCAGAAGCACCTAGCTTCCCGCCAGAGAGAAAATGCTCCAATCACTGTGCATAAATAGGCCCACAGCAGTCCATGCTCTCCACTTTGAACTCTGGCGCCATTGAGAGAAGTTCTACTCACCATTGAAGATCGCGATGTCTACTCCTCCTCGTCCGAGAACTTCTTCGCCATCCGGCGTCGGACGAAGACGGTGCGGTGGCTGCCGGACCAAGCTCCACCGCAAAGACCGGCACGAGTTCTGCTTCCTCTGCCTGGGAGCTCACCACCACCGGGAAGCGGCGACGTGTGCGGCGTGCCTTTCTCTCCCCGGGGAGGAGAGAGAGCGCCGCGCTGCTTATGCCACCTCCGCAGAGGCTCGCCCGGGTCCCTCCCAGGAGGAGGAACCTGAGGTTGAGTATGTCCCGCTCGACCTGCCTCCTGCACCCAGGGAGTGGGGAGACTGTGTTGTGGAGGAAGAGTTTGACGAGGACCGGGGTTCCTACGTCACTCTCGACGAGGCTATTTCCTTATGCGAGGAACAAGACCGCTTCCCTCTGGACCACATGCCCCGCCTCTTCGCCACGGCAGCGGCCACCATGGAGACCCCCCTGCCTCCGCAACCCACCCAGAGAGAGAGCGACTTCACGTCGGTGGGTTCATCGCTTCCAGGGAAGAAGAGACGAGCTCCAACACTGTGTCCGCGGATGGATCCGGTTTTCCATTACGCGGCACGTGATTGGGCCAAACCCCTAGCAGCTAAGAAGCCTGCTCTGGGGTACGGCGCCTATTGCTCGGTCCAAGACTGGTCCTGGTCCAAAGGGGTCCCGGAAGTGGAGGACGCTGTCCGGCTCGCACTACTCCCGCAGTCCTCGGTGTGGCCCGGCAGCAGACCTCTCCTTCCCTCGGAGCGGGATAGGATGAGCATGGCTGTACTGGATAGATGCTACGCTAACGCAGCACAGGTCGTTGCGTTAGCTAGCAATATGGCTCTTCTCACCGGGGCCCTCGATAGGTCTCTATCCACGGGTCAAGCTCTCACCGACGAGGACCTGGACCGGGCCAGAACCACCACGGCGGCCATACTCCGTATGATCCAGGCGCTGGCTATTGACGGTGGGCGATCCATGGCGTCCGCACAGGTCGGTGCTCGCCATCTGTGGCTGGGGCTCGCGGACATCAAGGAGACGGAGAAGAGGCAGCTCCTGGACCTCCCTATCTCCATGGATTCCCTCTTCGGTCCAGACATGAAGGGGCTCGTCGCGAGACTGGACGCTGCTGCCAAAGACTCCGCCATGCTGGCTCCTCATCTGCTCCCTCGCCGTGTGTCACAGCAGCAGCAGCAGCAGCAGCAGCAGCAGCAACAACAACAGCAGCAGCCTTATCGCGGCAGAGAGAGAGTGAGAGACCGGTCACCTCGGCGACGCTCAGCTCCGCCCCCTCCTGCTCCTTGCCCGGGCCGCTACACTCCGCAGAGACCACGGGGTTCAGAGCCTTACTCCGGTGGTTTCCGTGACCAACGCTCCCACCGCCGCCCTCCCTACAGTCGGGGAGTTCGGGGGGGGGAAAAGTTTTTCAATAAACGACAAGGTGTACCGTATTCTCGGTCTGAGCATCATCTTTTTGCCATGCTTGGTTTGTCATCTCAGGTAGAGGGCAGCATTGCATCACACACAGGTCTATCACCTTTGGTTATGTTGAGTCCACAGCGGCCGCATCCCTCCATACCACTTCCCACAGCGGCCAGTGTAGTGTCTGCTGGGTCAGGACCAGGTTTTGCGAGCCTCTCTCCCTTTTCTCAGCGTCTCCGGGGTAAATCCAGCACTTCATTCCCCAGGGGTGGTAATGAAAGCCTAGGTCAGGTTTTTCCCTCCGTCTCCGGGGTTCCCTCTGTTAGTGGTGTTACGCATACAGAGCAGGACGCTCCCACACACGTCTGCCCTTCAGCTCAGGCTGCTGTCATTTCATCCTCTGGGCGGGGAGTGAAACGCAGATTACCGCTGTCTATAAGTGAGTCAGGGGGCCTGGTCCCAACCTCCTCACACAGCACATCTCATGAGGTGTTTCGGCCCTTTCGATGCCCCCCCCTCTCCGCTGGGAGCGCAGGGAGAGTGGGGGGCTATTACACCAGGTGCTCCGGGTCCTCTCCTTCCCCTCACAGAGCAGTTTCGGGTCTGGGAAGAGCTCGGTCTACTGTCTGACCCCTGGTTAAAGAAAACGATGCGCAGGGGCTACGCTCTGCAGTTCGCACGGAGACCACCGCCGTTCCAGGGCATTCGTGCGGTGCGCCCTACAGATCGGGAGACAGAAGAGGCGCTCCAAATGGAGGTAGCCTCCCTGTTACGCAGAGGCGCCGCGGTCCTGGTGGACCCTCGGGACGCCTCCAGAGGCCTGTACTCCCCGTATTTCCTGGTCCCCAAGAAATCAGGGGGGGTGCGCCCTATATTGGATCTGCGCACTCTGAACCAGTGCATTTCCAAACGGCCCTTTCGGATGCTATCCACAAAACATCTGTTAGAGTGCGTCAGGCCCGGGGACTGGATGTCAACCATAGACCTGACGGACGCTTACTTCCACGTTGCCATAGTACCGGAGCACAGACGCTTCCTGCGCTTCACCGTGGGAGGGAAGTGTTACGAGTACTGTCGCCTCCCCTTCGGTTACGCTCTGGCCCCACGCACCTTCTCCAAGTGCGTGGAGGCGGCGCTGGAACCACTCAGACGCGCAGGGATCAGAATCCTGACATATATAGACGACTGGCTGATTCTGGCCCCGTCTCTGGAGCAGGCCACCATTCACACGCACTGGGTCCTGTCACACGTGCAGCGCCTAGGCTTTGTGGTGAACAGGGAAAAGAGCAATCTGCAACCCGCACAGCGCTTAGTCTATCTAGGTCTACAGCTAGACTCGGTGGAGTTTCGGGCAGCGCTCTCCCAGGACAGACGCTCGAGCATCACGCGTCTAGCTCAGGAAGCGCTGACCTCTCCCACAGTGACCGCCCGACGAATACGGTCTCTATTGGGGATGATGGCATCAGCTCATGCAGTGGTGCGGCTAGGTCTCCTTCACTTGAGACGTTTCCAGAGGTGGTTCTCCCGTCTCCGACTACATCCCACAAGAGACGGGGGCAGAAGGCTCATTGTTCCTCCAGGAGTGGCCGAGGACCTGAGCTACTGGCTCACGCCCGGTCTGATGCTTGAAGGAGTTCCCCTGGTCGGTGCCGTGGCACACGTGGAGGTGTTCACGGACGCGTCTCTGGAGGGATGGGGGGGGGTTCTGCACCAGAGCTCTGTGGGGGGCGCCTGGTCAGGCCCTCTTCGTCACATCAATCTGCTGGAGATGGAGGCGGTTCACAGGGTGCTTCTGCATTTCGCTCCACAACTAGCGGGGAGACACGTGATGGTGCGCTCAGACAACACCACAGTGGTGGCGTATCTGAACCGGCAGGGGGGCACGAGGTCCCCAGCCCTCCACCGACTGGCAGCGACCATTCTGATCTGGGCTGCAGGGCATCTGCAGTCTCTGAGAGCGCGTCATGTTCCGGGAGACAGGAACACAGGGGCGGACATAATGTCACGGGGAGGCCCTCTCGAGGACGAGTGGGGCCTCGACCCGCAGATGGCAGCGGAGGTCTGGCAGAGGTTTGGTCGGCCTGTGGTCGACCTGTTCGCCAGTGCAGACAACGCGCAATGCCCGCTCTGGTTCGCACTGAGACCCACGGACAATCCGCCTCTAGGGGTGGATGCCTTGGCTCATTATCCATGGCCAGGGGGCCTGTTGTACGCCTTCCCCCCCCCTCGTCTCCTACCGATCCTACTGAGGAGGATCGAGCAGGAAGAGCGGGAGGTAATCCTGGTCGCCCCAGACCGACCACAGGCCCGTTGGTTCCCGTTCCTGACCAACATGTCTGTGATGGACCCGTGGCCTCTCCCGGACATGCCAGGGGGCCTGGTCCAGGGAGGGGGGACGCTTCGCTCCCGCCCAGTCCTGGGCCACAGGCTCTGGGTTTGGAGGCTGAGAGGCAGAACCTAGTCCGACTAGGCCTCCCCCGGGCGGTGGTGGATACCATCCAAGGGGCGAGGGCACCTTCCACCGTGAGGGCTTACGGGTGCCGGTGGAAGCTTTTCAAAGACTGGTGCGCGGCCCACTCGTGGGACCCCAGGTCTTGCCCTCTAGAGGGCGTCCTGGGATTCCTGCAGGACCTTTTGGATAAGGGCAGGGCCGCTAGTACCTTGGCTGTGTCCGCTTCGGCCATTGCCTCTGGTCACGAAGGGTTCGGGGGGTTTTCAGCCCGCTCCCACCCGTTAATCAAACGCTTCCTTCGGGGGGCCTACAGGAAGAGGCCGGTCCTTAGACGAACACCTCCGATCTGGGACCTCAAGGTGGTTTTGAAAGGGCTGTCAGGGCCTCCTTTCGAACCCCTGACCCGTGCCAGCCCAGAATGCGTGGCCTTCAAGACCGCACTCTTATTGGCTCTGGTATCAACCAAGAGGGCGGGAGAACTGTGCGCTCTTTCCATCAGCCCGGCCTGCCTGTCCTTTGGTCCGGGGGATGGGTTGGTGGAGTTGTGGCCCAACCCGGCCTTTCTCCCAAGGTCGTTTCCTCAACCTTCAGGTCCAGGGTCATACGGATCAGACCTTTTCATCCTCCGCCTCACGCCTCGCAGGAGGATGAGCAAAGACACCTGTTGTGCCCTGTCAGGATGCTGAGGCATTACCTGGAGGTCACGTCCTCTTTCAGGCGCACGGATCAGCTGTTCGTGTGCTTGGGGCCTAAAAACAGAGGCGCCCCGTTATCCTCCCAGCGGCTGGCGCACTGGGTGTCCCGGGCGATTCGCTCGGCGTATCAGGCCCAGGGGATGGTGCCCCCGGTGGGGTTCCGAGCGCACTCCACTTGGGGCGTGGCGGCCTCCACAGCTCTGCTACGAGGGGCCTCGGTGGAGGAGGTATGCCAGGCTGCGTCCTGGGCTTCGTCTTCCACCTTTGCTCTGTCTTACCTGGTGGATGTTTCAGAGCGGTCTGTTGCTCACTCCATCCTGAGCTCTGGGACTGATGCGACCGTGTCTGGCTCTCTCTGAGGCTTTCTGCGGTCTATGTTGTCTGGAGCGGCCGGCCCCTCCTGGAGCTCTTGATAGAGGCGTCCTGGGCTCAGCCTTCTCCTTCTTCCTTCGCGGCATTGTGCAGTCCTCAGGTGCTCTTGGTAGAGGCGGTCTGGGACTGTTCCTTGTTCCCCTACGGGGGCGCGCGCGGTGTTCCTCAGGAGCTCTTGATAGAGGCGTCCTGGGAAGTGACCTTTGCCCTTGGGCGTTTGGTCAGAGACTTGGCTGTTCCTGGAACGGCCTCCCTCTTGGATTCTGTTAGTGCTTCGGGCGTCCTTGATAGGAGCGGCCCTACCACTGCTTCACCTTTGAGCCTATCCTTGGGCGTCCTTGATAGGAGCGGCCCCATCACTGCTCATTCCCTGTCTGTCTTGAGTTCCCACACCTTGGAGGTGTTAGGGCCTACTCGGCAGGGCTCCAATCACTGCTAGCTGGCCTGATGGGAGTACATACTCTTAGGCTACGCTTCGTTACCCAAAGCGAGCCTAAGGGGCGTAGCACTATGAAGTAGAATTGTTAGTTACCTATTGTAACTGTAGTCTACGAATAGTGCGTAGCCCCTTAGCTACGGGCCCATCAGTCCAACCTGGCTTTGGCGAGTTCAAAGTGAAGAGCATGGACTGCTGTGGGCTATTTATAGGAGGTTCTACACAGTGATTGGAGCATTGAGTTCTCTCTGGCGGGAAGCTAGGTGCTTCTGGAGTCATACCCAAAGCGAGCCTAAGGGGCTACGCACTATTCGTAGAACTACAGTTACAATAGGTAACTAACAAATACATATGTTAGATACATATGTTAGATATATGTTAGATACATATGTTAGATACATATGTTAGATATATGTTAGATACATATGTTAGATATATGTTAGATACATATGTTAGATACATATGTTAGATATATGTTAGATACATATGTTAGATACATATGTTAGATACATATGTTAGATATATTTAGATACTATGTTAGATATATGTTAGATACATATGTTAGATACATATGTTAGATACATATGTTAGATACATATGTTAGATACATATGTTAGATACATATGTTAGATACATATGTTAGACACATATGTTAGACACATATGTTAGATACATATGTTAGATACATATGTTAGATACATATGTTAGATACATATGTTAGATACATATGTTATACATATGTTAGATACATATGTTAGATACATGATGTTAGATACACATGTTAGATACATATGTTAGATACATATGTTAGATACATATGTTAGATACATATGTTAGATACATATGTTAGATATATGTTAGATACATATATTAGATATATGTTAGATATATGTTAGATACATATGTTAGATAATATGTTAGATACGTATGTTAGATACATGTTAGATACATATGTTAGATACATATGTTAGATACATATGTTAGATACATATGTTAGATACATGAGTTAGATACATATGTTAGATTAGATACATATGTTAGATATATGTTAGATATATGTTAGATATATGTTAGATAATATGTTAGATACATATGTTAGATACATATGTTAGATACATATGTTATATTGTTAGATACATATGTTAGATACATATGTTAGATACATATGTTAGATACATATGTTAGATACATATGTTAGTATACATATGTTAGATACATATGTTAGATACATATGTTAGATACATATGTTAGATACATATGTTAGATACATATGTTAGATACATATGTTAGATACATATGTTAGATACATATGTTAGATACATATGTTAGATACATATTAGATTAGATACATATGTTAGATACATATGTTAGATACATATGTTATAGATACATATGTTAGATACATATGTTAGATACATATGTTAGATACATATGTTAGATACATATGTTAGATACATATGTTAGATACATATGTTAGATACATATGTTAGATAAGTTAGATACATATGTTAGATACATATGTTAGATACATATGTTAGATATATGTTAGATACATATGTTAGATACATATGTTAGATACATATGTTAGATATATGTTAGATACATATGTTAGATACATATGTTAGATACATATGTTAGATACATATGTTAGATACATATGTTAGATACATATGTTAGATACATATGTTAGATACATATGTTAGATACATATATGTTAGATACATATGTTAGATAGTATATGTTAGATACATATGTTAGATACATATGTTAGATACATATGTTAGATACATATGTTAGATAATGTTACATATGTTAGATACATATGTTAGATACATATGTTAGATACATATGTTAGATACATATGTTAGATATAGATTAGATACATATGTTAGATACATATGTTAGATACATATGTTAGATACATATGTTAGATACATATGTTAGATACATATGTTAGATACATATGTTAGATACATATGTTAGATACATATGTTAGATACATATGTTAGATACATATGTTAGATACATACATATGTTAGATACATATGTTAGATATATGTTAGATACATATGTTAGATATTAGATACATATGTTAGATAATATGTTAGAAATATGTTAGATACATATGTTAGATACATATGTTAGATACATATGTTAGATACATATGTTAGATACATTTAGATACATATGTTAGATACATATGTTAGATACATATGTTAGATACATATGTTAGATACATATGTTAATATGAGATACATATGTTAGATACATATGTTAGATACATGTTAGATACATATGTTAGATACATATGTTAGATACATATGTTAGATACATATGTTAGATACATATGTTAGATATATAGTTAGATACATATGTTAGATACATATGTTAGATACATATGTTAGATACATATGTTAGATACATATGTTAGATACATATGTTAGATACATATGTTAGATACATATGTTAGATACATATGTTAGATACATATGTTAGATACATATGTTAGATACATATGTTAGATACATATGTTAGATATATATGTTAGATACATATGTTAGATACATATGTTAGATACATATGTTAGATACACATGTTAGATACACATGTTAGATACACATGTTAGATACATATGTTAGATATATGTTAGATACATATGTTAGATACATATGTTAGATATATGTTAGATACATATGTTAGATACATATGTTAGATACATATGTTAGATATATATGTTAGATACATATGTTAGATATATGTTAGATACATATGTTAGATACATATGTTAGATACATATGTTAGATACATATGTTAGATACATATGTTAGATACATATGTTAGATACATATGTTAGATACATATGTTAGATACATATGTTAGATACATTTGTTAGATACATATGTTAGATATATATGTTAGATACATATGTTAGATACATTTGTTAGATACATATGTTAGATACATATGTTAGATACATATGTTAGATACATATGTTAGATACATATGTTAGATACATATGTTAGATATATATGTTAGATACATATGTTAGATACATATGTTAGATACATATGTTAGATACATTTGTTAGATACATTTGTTAGATACATATGTTAGATACATATGTTAGATACATATGTTAGATACATATGTTAGATACATATGTTAGATACATATGTTAGATACATATGTTAGATACATTTGTTAGATACATTTGTTAGATACATATGTTAGATACATATGTTAGATACATATGTTAGATACATATGTTAGATACACATGTTAGATACATATGTTAGATATATGTTAGATACATATGTTAGATACATATGTTAGATATATGTTAGATACATATGTTAGATACATATGTTAGATACATATGTTAGATACATATGTTAGATATATATGTTAGATACATATGTTAGATATATGTTAGATATATGTTAGATACATATGTTAGATACATATGTTAGATACATATGTTAGATACATATGTTAGATACATTTGTTAGATACATATGTTAGATATATATGTTAGATACATATGTTAGATGAGCAGGGGAAGGACTTACGGATACTTAGACCAAAAAAATCACATTTAGGAGACATTCTTTGATCATAGCTTTAGTCATAGCTCGAGGCCTGGACACACATTTTGAAGAGTCAGAGTCAGACCTTGGCAGAAGCAGAGACTGAGTCCCAGTGCGGAGACGGGAACTCAAAGTGTCCACGGAGGATGTGTTGGAACAGCTCGTCCTCCGGCCCAGTGCTGACACACACACGCCCACATGCACACACACATGCACACGTACACAAACACACGTACACAAACACACACACACACACACACACAGAGAGAGAGAGAGGCTATGTTTACAAATCTCCCATGAAAACTAGAGCAAAACCTAGCCCAATGTCATTTGATTGACTGATTTTGAGGTGTGAAAACCAGTCCTTTTGCCGCTTCATGTAACCACAGAAACTGGACACAACAGAGACAAGGCCAGCAGATACACATAAGAGCACAGGGAAAGTGTGTACTATCAATGTATGTATTTGGACACATGGGGGCAACTCTTACGTTTTGAGGAGACTGAAGTGACACATCGAGTTAAGCTTCTGGGAGCTATTCAAGATGGTGCCGGCCTGTGTCAGACTGTCCTCCCTCTGCACCATGGAGGTATTACATTAGTAACCAGTACTTCCTCATCCGTTTGTTTACAGTCACAGGAGAACGTCATCTCAGGGCAAAGACCATAAACTGTAAATATTAACGGACGTAGTGACGCCTATCCCCGCGGTTGAAACTTACGTGTCATAACTTTTCCTTCCTTCCGACTGTGCACATGTGTTAGCTGCACAAACCCTGTTCATTTGAGTGCATTCAAAAGTCCACAGCAGCTAAAGGTTTTGGCATTAGATTATTCTGTTACCGGGTACACCCCCACAGGCAAGGAGCCAGATTGCAGCATGTCACGCATGTGCTCATGGACCTTTTGGAGCCGAGACCCGCCCCCACACTGAAGACATACAGTATGTCCACATGCACTGTCCTCCATTGTCAGTCCTGGTTTAGCCCTGGCTTAGTCCTGGTTTAGTCCTGGTTTAGTCCTGGTTTAGTCCACAGAGGGCACTCACCCACAGAAGGGAGGGAGGCCACACAGCAGGATGTAAGTGATGACCCCAGCTGCCCACACGTCCACCTTCAGGCCATAACTGCAAACACACACAGATACACACACACACAGAAATACACACACGCACACACACAGAGACACAGTACATCATATGTTTTTCATTAATTACCTATACGATCCTCTAAGTCTCTTGCTCATCATGGTCTCCTCAGTCTCCTCACGGTCTCCTACTCCTCAGTCTCCTCAGTCTCCTCACAGTCTCCTCACAGTCTCCTCTCGGTCTCCTCTCAGTCTCCTCACGGTCTCCTCACGGTCTCCTCACGGTCTCCTTACGGTCTCCCCTCGGTCTCCCCTCGGTCTCCTCACGGTCTCCTCACAGTCTCCTCACAGTCTCTTCACAGTCTTCTCACAGTCTCCTCACAGTCTCCTCACAGTCTCCTCACAGTCTCCTCTCGGTCTCCTCTCGGTCTCCTCACGGTCTCCTCACGGTCTCCTCACTGTCTCCTCACGGTCTCCTCACAGTCTCCTCACAGTCTCCTCACAGTCTCCTCTCGGTCTCCTCACAGTCTCCTCACAGTCTCCTCACAGTCTCCTCACAGTCTCCTCTCTGTCTCCTCACAGTCTCCTCACAGTCTCCTCACGGTCTCCTCACGGTCTCCTCACGGTCTCCTCACAGTCTCCTCACGGTCTCCTCACAGTCTCCTCACAGTCTCCTCACAGTCTCCTCACAGTCTCCTCACAGTCTCCTCTCAGTCTCCTCTCAGTCTCCTCACAGTCTCCCCTCGGTCTCCTCACGGTCTCCTCACAGTCTCCTCACAGTCTCCTCACAGTCTCCTCACAGTCTCCTCACAGTCTCCTCACAGTCTCCTCTCAGTCTCCTCACAGTCTCCTCTCACAGTCTCCTCACAGTCTCCTCACAGTCTCCTCACAGTCTCCTCTCAGTCTCCTCTCAGTCTCCTCACAGTCTCCTCACAGTCTCCTCACAGTCTCCTCACAGTCTCCTCACAGTCTCCTCTCAGTCTCCTCACAGTCTCCTCACAGTCTCCTCACAGTCTCCTCTCAGTCTCCTCACAGTCTCCTCACAGTCTCCTCACAGTCTCCTCACAGTCTCCTCTCAGTCTCCTCTCAGTCTCCTCACAGTCTCCCCTCGGTCTCCTCACGGTCTCCTCACAGTCTCCTCACAGTCTCCTCACAGTCTCCTCACAGTCTCCTCACAGTCTCCTCTCAGTCTCCTCACAGTCTCCTCACAGTCTCCTCACAGTCTCCTCACAGTCTCCTCTCAGTCTCCTCTCAGTCTCCTCACAGTCTCCTCACAGTCTCCTCACAGTCTCCTCACAGTCTCCTCACAGTCTCCTCTCAGTCTCCTCACAGTCTCCTCACAGTCTCCTCACAGTCTCCTCTCAGTCTCCTCACAGTCTCCTCTCAGTCTCCTCACAGTCTCCTCACAGTCTCCTCTCAGTCTCCTCACAGTCTCCTCACAGTCTCCTCTCGGTCTCCTCTCGGTCTCCTCACGGTCTCCTCACAGTCTCCTCACGGTCTCCTCACAGTCTCCTCTCAGTCTCCTCTCAGTCTCCTCTCAGTCTCCTCTCAGTCTCCTCTCAGTCTCCTCACAGTCTCCTCTCGGTCTCCTCACAGTCTCCTCACAGTCTCCTCACAGTCTCCTCACAGTCTCCTCTCAGTCTCCTCTCAGTCTCCTCACAGTCTCCTCACAGTCTCTTCTCGGTCTCCTCTCAGTCTCCTCAGAGTCCAGAACCTGTGAGTGACAAGTACCCGGTCTGGGCCAGGATCTCGGGGGCCATATATGTGGGTGTTCCGTAGACTTCGTACAGGGGCCCGGTCACCTCTGTGGCCCGACCCAAGTCTGAGAGCTTCAGGGTCCTAGAGCCGTCCTGCAGCTCGAACACCTGCAAACACAACACAGACACTCAATACACAACACAGACACTCAACACACAACACAGACACACTACACTCAACACACTTTAAATCTACACTTAGTGGACTCTGCTGGTTTTCTTCCCGGTCTACCTCCCCTCTGATCAGCAGCTCTGATTGGTCAAAGCGAGGCCGAGCCCCTCTGTGCACGTGCAAGAGAGCCACACACAGGTATTTGGGAGCCACACACAGGTATTTGGGAGCCACACACAGGTATTTGGGAGCCACACACAGCTATTTGGGAGCCACACACAGGTATTTGGGAGCCACACACAGCTATTTGGGAGCCACACACAGGTATTTGGGAGCCACACACAGCTATTTGGGAGCCACACACAGGTATTTGGGAGCCACACACAGCTATTTGGGAGCCACACACAGGTATTTGGGAGCCACACACAGGTATTTGGGAGCCACACACAGCTATTTGGGAGCCACACACAGGTATTTGGGAGCCACACACAGGTATTTGGTACTCATCCACTGCGCAGAACCAGTAGGACCGGATGATGCCCAAATATGGGCAATAAGGGTTCCCATGGGGACACATGCGCTACTGAGCACAAGCCATCGATTTGAATAGGCCGCCATCTTGGATCCCGGGGCTTGGTCGGGACTCACCAGGAGGTTGTGGGGCCTGACGTCGCGGTGCACGGTGCGGTGAGCGTGCAGGTACCGGAGAGCGCTGCTGAGGTTGAAGAGCATGGAGCTGGCTTCTCTCTCACAGTATGTGTCCGAGGACGTGACGGCCTCAAACAGATCCCCGCCCTGAATACAGAGGAACCTTTACTTTAGCCTGAGCTGGTTTAGTGAAAGAAAGTCTCTGTACAGAAGAGATGTAAAACTAATGTAGAACTAATGTAGAACTGATGTAGAACTGATGTAGAACTAATGTAGAACTAATGTAAAACTAATGTAAAACTAATGTAAAACTAATGTAGAACTAATGTAGAACTGATGTAGAACTAATGTAGAACTAATGTAAAACTAATGTAGAACTAATGTAGAACTAATGTAGAACTAATGTAAAACTAATGTAGAACTAATGTAGAACTAATGTAGAACTAATGTAGAACTGATGTAGAACTAATGTAGAACTAATGTAAAACTAATGTAAAACTAATGTAAAACTAATGTAGAACTAATGTAGAACTAATGTAGAACTAATGTAAAACTAATGTAAAACTAATGTAAAACTAATGTAAAACTAATGTAGAACTAATGTAAAACTAATGTAGAACTAATGTAAAACTAATGTAGAACTAATGTAAAACTAATGTAGAACTAATGTAAAACTAATGTAAAACTAATGTAGAACTAATGTAAAACTAATGTAGAACTAATGTAAAACTAATGTAGAACTAATGTAGAACTAATGTAAAACTAATGTAGAACTAATGTAGAACTAATGTAAAACTAATGTAGAACTAATGTAGAACTAATGTAAAACTAATGTAGAACTAATGTAAAACTAATGTAGAACTAATGTAAAACTAATGTAGAACTAATGTAGAACTAATGTAAAACTAATGTAGAACTAATGTAGAACTAATGTAGAACTGATGTAGAACTAATGTAGAACTAATGTAAAACTAATGTAGAACTAATGTAAAACTAATGTAGAACTAATGTAGAACTAATGTAAAACTAATGTAGAACTAATGTAGAACTAATGTAAAACTAATGTAGAACTAATGTAGAACTAATGTAGAACTAATGTAGAACTAATGTAAAACTAATGTAGAACTAATGTAGAACTAATGTAGAACTAATGTAGAACTAATGTAAAACTAATGTAGAACTAATGTAGAACTAATGTAAAACTAATGTAAAACTAATGTAAAACTAATGTAAAACTAATGTAAAACTAATGTAGAACTAATGTAGAACTAATGTAGCACTAATGTAGAACTAATGTAGAACTAATGTAGAACTGATGTAAAACTAATGTAGAACTAATGTAGAACTAATGTAGAACTAATGTAGAACTAATGTAGAACTAATGTAGAACTAATGTAGAACTAATGTAGAACTAATGTAGAACTAATGTAGAACTAATGTAAAACTAATGTAGAACTAATGTAGAACTAATGTAGAACTAATGTAGAACTAATGTAGAACTAATGTAGAACTAATGTAGAACTAATGTAGAACTAATGTAGAACTAATGTAGAACTAATGTAAAACTAATGTAGAACTAATGTAGAACTAATGTAGAACTAATGTAGAACTAATGTAGAACTAATGTAGAACTAATGTAAAACTAATGTAAAACTAATGTAGAACTAATGTAGAACTAATGTAGAACTAATGTAAAACTAATGTAGAACTAATGTAGAACTAATGTAGAACTAATGTAGAACTGATGTAAAACTAATGTAAAACTAATGTAGAACTAATGTAGAACTAATGTAGAACTAATGTAGAACTAATGTAAAACTAATGTAGAACTAATGTAGAACTGATGTAAAACTAATGTAAAACTAATGTAGAACTAATGTAAAACTAATGTAGAACTAATGTAGAACTAATGTAGAACTAATGTAAAACTAATGTAAAACTAATGTAGAACTAATGTAAAACTAATGTAAAACTAATGTAGAACTAATGTAGAACTAATGTAGAACTAATGTCTGTGATTAAAGGGACATCATGTTTTGAATGAACTGATTTGTGGAAAAGCTGATTGTTCTTTTAGGTTGTGGCCTCGGATCGTAGCAACAGAATCGTTTCAGAAATGTGAGTTTATTACACAGTAATTACATGTTATTTCTGTCAGACTGTACGTAGAGGTCTGTAATCTGAAGAATAGAAGCCTTTATCTCATACGTGATGGAATCTCTCGTGGCTACAGCGGCGTCTGGTGGCGTACCTTGACCAGCTCCATGACCAGGTAGAGGGCGGAGGGCGTGTCCATCTCCTCCACGAGCAGCAGGATGTTGGGGTGTTTGAGTCTGCGCAGGAGCGACACCTCCTTCTGGATCATGTGCTCCTGTCCCACAATCACACACTGTTATTGGAGTCAGTGAAAGTAAGATCAGTATTTAGACAAGCAACTGTTTAATAAAACAGTGAGCAGCTGCTAACATGTACAGATGCTAACATACTGATGCTAACATGTACAGATGTAAACATACTGATGCTAACATGTACAGATGCTAACATACTGATGCTAACATGTACAGATGTAAACATACTGATGCTAACATGTACAGATGTAAACATACTGATGCTAACATGTACAGATGTAAACATACTGCTGCTAACATGTACAGATGCTAACATACTGATGCTAACATGTACAGATGCTAACATGTACAGATGCCGACTACACATTGCTTTCACTAGAATACACAGTACTTTATTCCCTGCTTCTTATTTTGCCAAATGTAAAATGTTTATACTTTTTTATTATTATTCTGTTCAAGATACAGATTTTATACTTGTTTCTTTTATGCAAGAGTTAAAGATTGTGTTTTTGTGGGGCGGCAGTAGCTCAGTTGGTAGAGCGTTGGCCTTTGAGCCAGAAGGCCGTGGGTTCAAGCCCCGCTCAAGACTTTCTCCATCGACTCCCACTGACTACTGTCGTTGTGTCCTTGGGCAAGACACGTAACCTCTGGGTACACCAGCCACAGTGGGGCGGCTGCGGCTGTAAAGTGCCAAACTGTCGTTGTGTCCTTAGGCAAGACACTTCACCCACATTGCCTAGAATGAGTCTGGTGTGAGTGGTTGGTGGTGGTCAGAGGGGCCGATGGCACATACTGGTTGCCTCGCTTCTGTCAGTGTGCCCCAGGGCAGCTGTGGCTACAGTAGTAGTTTATCACCACCGTGTTTGGAGTGAATGAATAATGACACATGTGAAGCGTCTTTGAGCGTCCAAAAAAGCGCTATATAAAACCGATGCATTATTATTTGATTTAGGTATAGAGTTATTACATTTGAATATTTGTGGATTTGAGTAATCTCATTACAATAGGTACTTACTTGTAACTGATTTAGACCCAACACTGGTTTTACCGCAGGTTTCACTGATGCCTAAATGTTCAGGTTTACAGAGTTCTACTTTCACTTTTCCACAAACAAACCTGAAGTAACAAAGTGCCGCAGAGTTCCTGTGACGTACCTTTGCTCCGCACTTGTCTTTGCTGATGATCTTGAGCGCGTACTCTCGGCCCGTCGCCCGCTCCACACACTGCCGCACCACCGCGAACCTGCCCTGTCCCAGAATGCACCCTGTCATGTAGCGCTCGGTGAGGGAGGGGGGCACTGGGGGCTCGTCTGTGGGCTCTGGACAGAACACGTTAGAATAAAAACACAGATGGGCCGAGGTCCACAACAGAACTGTCCTGATCAGATACAGAATGTGGGACTATAGTGAAGAATGTGACGGAAAGATGAACCAAATAAGACAAACGCTTTATGTATTTAACATCAGTGTAGTTTAGAGTATTTTATTCTTCCACATCAGATAAACATCTCATGCAAACAATGAGCAGAACTAACCAAAAACATGAGAGGGAGACTTGGAAGAACCATTGGCAGAGCTGAAGTTGGCTGGATGACTATGTGAACTTGACTTTATGGTTACTGCGGGTTAGCAAGGGAGAAGCCCGTCTAATCTGGCCTTCACAAAATGGACTCCGGACAAACTCAAGACATAATATTCAAGTGATCAGGTCTGTAAGGTCACGGAGACTTCAGTCATGGGTTGGACTGTACCCTCCTCCCCCGCTTTCCCCTTCCCCTCTTTTTTCTAGATACTAGGATGCACTATAAACACAATAAACTTGCCTTGATTTGACTGGCTAACACCGTTGGGTTGGCGTATTATGTGACGCATATTGGTATGTAAAATGCTTTCTCCGTCTTCATTCTGTCTTTGGGTTAGGGTTAGGGTTAAAGTAAAACCGAGAACAAATCTTCCAGGTTTCTCTGATGCATAAAGATCCCCGTCTAAAGTCTCTCCTTCTCGACAGGGCCATAATGTAGACAATTACACAGAGGGCCTTCGTTTAGAGAGGCCTGGTCTAAACATTTTGGCAGCCTGGCTTTATGTGGTGTCGTGTCACATCAACTGAATTATTTTGAATAATATCCAGGGACGACTTCACCGGAGCCACAAGGGGGAGGGGGACTTAAACAGTGTTAATGTAGCGTGGAAAGGCCCAGGGACTGGAGTTGAAAACTAGCAATAGCTATAAACTCTTTTTGCATCTGTTACAAGCTCGGTTTGTTCCATGTTGACTCGCAATGTCCCTGTCAAAGGAATGAATACATTAAAAACAACAAAAATCCCACTTCCTCCCACAGCCTTCTCAGTCTATGCATTATTCTGCTGTTCGTGCAGTAACCCGCCTCCTCCCCAACACCACGAGAGGCTGATAATTACACAGAATTCTTGCAGGTCACAAAAATCCCACAGGAATCAGCGGATGAGGATTCTGTGATTCAAGATCAGGATCAAAGTTGATGTGTAAATAGACTCAAAACGTCTGATGAGCCGCTTTAGAAAAAGACACAAATTACTGTTGAAACATTTCCAAACTTTTTAACAGCCTACAATGAAAGAGGGAGAAGGACACAGGTGGATGTCTGCTGGAAGTGTTTTTTAGGGACAAAACATAATAGATCTCTGATTGAACCGGGCCGCAAAGGAGACAGACTGTATCGTGGTGTCGTGTTGGAGTGCGCTTGTGTAAAGTCTACTTACCAAATAGTTCTGCCATAAAATGTTACACTGTTAAACTAAAAGGAGCAGCCACAAGAGACGTGAACAAACATGACGATAATTTATTGAAGGGAGAGAGTGAAGGCTGAAGGCGTCAGGGTGATGGAGTGAGGGGACATGTCTCCCCCTGGTGGTGAAGAGGAGGACCTAGACAGGCTGAGGAGGATGAAGAGGCTGAGGAGGCTGAGAGGCTGAGGAGGATGAAGAGGCTGAGGAGGATGAAGAGGCTGAGGAGGCTGAGAGGCGGTGCACATGGGTCAGAGCAGGATGGGACCTGGACAATGAGGGGGACACAGTGGGACGATGATGGGGACAGACACATGGGTTACGACATGCTTTAGCGTCTTATGCATTTCATAAAACCTTTACTGCAGACCAAACAATCTGATCCATCTGCCACATTCTCAGTGTATATATATATGGATTCGTTTTTACATGGTTTGGTCCAGGTTTAGGGTAAATTTAATTCTAAATCGAAGCACTCTCTCAACACCAGAACGGCCTCATCTCACAGTTAGAAACACTTCACTTTGATTCCAATTCCAAAGAAAGACACTCCCTAAACGATCTCAGGCAGATTGCTTTAACCTGTGTAGTTATGAAGGCTATTGGAGAGAGCGATAAAGAATCAGAGAGGCCAGTGCATTAATGGATCCATTACAAGTTTATCTTATATCCATGATGCTAAGTTATTCCTCATGAATAGTATTAATCATCAGACTGTTGTATGACTCTTTGCAATGGCTCTTTTAATAAAAATAAAAAATCCAGTGTATTTAATTTTGGATTGGTTTAATGTATGCATTAGAGAAGATGCACGGTCCGAACTGAGCAGATCAAGCGAAAATCCACTGGTGGAAGTATTTATCTTTAATGCTACAGTAAGACAGTATTCAGAATTACACTCTGAACCAGAGCAGGGAAAATGGTCCGAACCAAGCAGACTCTGCAAACATCAACCAGAGGAAGCAGCTCACCACCTGCTGCTGTAGTAAACTTTATTACTATTGTTAGTAACTTTGAGAATTATCAGACTAGAATCTGACTTCCGACAGTTACCACAGTTACCATAGTTTACCAGGAGAGAAACCTCCAGCACAATGTGAAACTACAATCTCAGCAAACTCAAGTGTCTAAATGTAAAGCGACTGGAAGAGAACCTTGTCCCATCCCCAGAGTCCAACATGATGCTTCTGTTGCCACAATCCAAACACAGTCATTTATGAAGTCGAGATCTACCTTCACTGCCGGGTCCGTCGCAGTCGTCCATGGAGCTGCAGACTTTGGTGGAGGCCAAGGACAAAGAGGATCCCTGCAGACATGAGGTCATCACTTTCATGTTTACACCTTATTCCATGTTATTACACTGACTGTGGTTTAGTCCGAGGTTTGAAAAGAATATAAATGTCCAGCTAATGAAACTCACAGAAAGGAAGTCGTACTGAACTGATGCTATCTGTCTGTGTCTCAAAGATAATGGTCTGAATCCTGACAAACCCCTCTATTATGTGTTACAGTTAAATAACATGGTCTGCTAATGGCCTATCTTTCCAATTCAAACTAATACACTTTCATTTTTTACATTTAGTATAAACTTTTGGTAATTCAAAAAATTCCTATCTAAAAAGCAGACTGCAAATGTGGTGAAACAGCGCCCCCCTCTGGATTGCACATTCTATAATCTAAATACATTCTACATACATTGCAAATTGTCACACGATTATTACATATATTCAAAAGGTTGTTCGATCTATGACATGTGGGAAGGCGGGGCTTCAGTCTGCTCCTGGCCAATCAGAGGAGAATGAACCACTGGCCGAAGTCACTTATCAATCATAATGTTTCATTGGGGCAGTTGTGAGTTTGTGTGGTACTACCTGAGATAGAGAGTGTGTGTATGTGTGTGTGTGTGTGTGTGTGTGTGTGTGTGTGTGTGTGTGTGGTACCTGTTGTCGCCGCAGGCTGCCGGGGCTGGGGGCGGGGCTTGGGGACTTGCCAGACCTCGGGGTGGAGAGCTGACTTCCTGCCGTCCCATTGGCTGAAAAAACATGACAAATTCTCAGGCTGAAGTTCAAGCTGATCAGAATGAAGATGTGCTAACTATACTCCACTCGTAGAGCACAGACCTCTACCAAACAGCACAGTTCGGCTCTGTAAAAACAACCCTGGATCCAAACAGTGAATCAGTTTTGTACACATTGATGCATGCATATAGCTGCCTTGTGTGTGTGTGTGTGTGTGTGTGTGAATGCAGAAGTGTGTGTATACGTGATATCCTGAGTTTCACAATAAGGTATTACATGTCTACGTTGGCAGAGCTGAAGATGGCTGGATGACTATGTGAGTTTATGGTTACTGTGGGTTTGCAAGGGAGAATCCTGTTGAATCTGGCCTCCACAAAATGGACTTGGGACAAACACAAGACCGAATATTCAAGGTCACGGCGACTTCAGTCATGTCTTGGACTATTTCCTCCTCCCCCGCTTTCCCCTTGCCCTCTTTTTTCTAAATACAAGAATAGAATAGAATAGTACTTCATTGTCTGTTCAATTGAGCAGAAATTTGTCTTTCAACACAGTTTAAGGTCATTCATTAAAACACACTTAAAATACATTTAGCAGGATGGGACAAACGATCTCGACTAGGATGATTAGCTAACACCTGTGGGTCAGCTAGTCTTATGTTGTGATGCAAAATGTTATATAAAATGCTTTCTCTGTCTTCATTCTGTCTGGAAAAAACCTGTAAAACTGAAAATAAAACTTCCAGGTAACACTGGTGCATACAGATTCCCATCTTGAACTTGAGTTTATGGTTACTGTGGGTTAGCACGTGAGAAGTCTGTGAATCTGGCCTCCAAAAAATGGACAAACTCAAGACATAATATTCAAGTGATCACGGCGACTTCAGTCATGTTTTGGATTGTACCCTCCTCCCCCGCTTTCCCCTTGCCCTCTTTTTTCTAAATACTAAGATGCACAATAAACACAATAAACTTTCCTTGCCTTGACTAGCTAACACCTTTTCGTTGGCGTCTTATGTTGTGACTCAAATTGTCGTAAAAAAAAGCCTTCTCTGTCTTTATTCTGTCTGGAAAATAACCTGTAAAACTGAGAATAAAACTTCCAGGGTACTTTGGTGCATACAGATCCCCGTCTAAAGCAGGGGTCTCCAACCGGTAGCTCTAGAGCCACCTGTAGCTCATCAAAGGATTTAGAAAAGAATAAATCAAATAATATACTGAATATTTGATGATAAATAACGACGGCCCCCGATATCAGGCTTGCCCACACCAATATATCTCTTCATTTTTTCCAAGACCGATTATAGGAGTAGCTCTCTGCCTTTTTCGTCTCTGTAAAGTAGCTCTCTGGGTGAATAAGGTTGGAGACACTGGTCTAAAGTCTCTCTTTCTCGCCAGGGCCATACTGTAGACAATTACACAGAGGGCCTTCGTTCGGAGAGGCCTGGTCTAAACATTTAGCCTGGCTTTATGTCGTATCACGTGGTTGTAAACTGAACTACTTTGAATAATATCCAGAGAGGACTTTACCGGAGCCGCAGGGGGAGGGGGACTTGCTGCGACGGGACCAGCCCTTTGGGGAGAGCCTGCCGTGGGCCGAGGGCAGGCGGCCGTACGAGGAAGCCTTAGACACTCTGCATTCTGGACACACACATAACAATCACTGTTATTATCTGGAAGAATTATTATTATCACAATTTTTATTTTCACAATTTTTATTATCCGACTGAAATATGACACACAAATATGTCGTGAAAGAGCAGAGATCGCAAAGGACAATAATACATTTTAATCGCAATTATTAAGGCAATTTTAGCAACTTCAGGACCAGAGCTGGAGGGTCTCTGATGCATGGTTTAATGGTGAAGACAAAGAAGAAGATATTTTATGCATTATTTTGTCTCTTTGAGTCAAAAACTGAGATGGGATTAAATAAGTTCTCTTCTTCCCACTCCCTTTCTGGCAAATTTGTTTTATTTGTATTTTGTTATAGGTATGTTTTATGATAATAGCAACTGTGACGCTCCTATGTTTGCCTGAATGCATAATAAAAAGTAATAATAATACAATAAAATCAAAATACAATAGAATAAAATACTGACCTCTCTCGTCCAGGTTGAAGTCGTCCTGGTATCTGAACTTCTCGGGGCCACAGGCGAAGAAGATGTCGTCGTCTCCAAAGAAGTCCTGGAGACACGTCACCTGATGGACACAGGGACTTATTTTAATTTCATTGTTGAAAATAAAATATGATGAGATGTATTTATTGTGGCGCTTAAATATAAGAATACTAACTTCGGCCTTTTCACGTTTTCTATTTTTGAATAATGTGGTACCTAACGTTTTAATTTTTAATTTTCTTTTCTATTTTGTCTTTTGTGCGTGTCTTGCAGAGTGCATTAAAAACATCCAAGGCTTTTTAGTCCCGCCACTGTTGGGGTCTCCTCCAACAACAGCAGGGATTCCTCCTTTGGTCTCGTCTCTTGTGTATTTTATGAACTATACTATATATTTAAGTTATTCTGAAAAAAAAGCTTAGTAATCAGTTATTAAAACCAACTGAACCAATTTCACAGAGTATGGACTTGATGCCAGTGAATAAGTCCGTTCTGTGGCAGAGATTGGAATAATTGCCACATTTGGTCATTTGGAGATAAAGAAATAAAGCAATTCCAACATGTTAATTCTCCTCTATCAGCGGCTGCAGTCAGAGGTGAGAGAGGCCCCTGCCCCCTCCTGGGACGTCCCACAGGGGGAGCACCGCGGTCGCCATAGAAACCAGACAGAACACCCAGAGAGAGACCAGTGAGAGACCAGCAAGAGACCAGAGAGAGACAAGGGAGAGACCTGAGAGAGACCAGAGGGAGAGACCAGAGACAGACCAGAGAGAGACCAGAGAGAGACCAGGGAGAGATCAGGGAGAGACCAGAAACAGACCAGAGAGAGACCAGGGAGAGACCAGAAACCCAGAAAGAGACCAGAGAGAGACCAGAGAGAGACCAGGGAGAGATCAGGGAGAGACCAGAAACAGACCAGAGAGAGACCAGAGAGAAACCAGGGAGAGACCAGGGAGAGACCAGAGAGAGGAGAGAGAGAGACCAGAGAGAGGAGAGAGAGAGACCAGAGAGAGACCAGAGAGAGACCAGAGAGAGACCAGAGAGAGCAGAGAGAGACCAGGGAGAGAGACCAGGAAAAGACCAGAGAGAGACCAGGGAGAGAGACCAGAGAGAGACCAGAGAGAGGAGAGAGAGAGACCAGAGAGACACCAGAGAGAGACCAGAGAGAGACCAAAGAGACCAGGGAGAGACCAGAGAGAGCAGAGAGAGACCAGGGAGACACCAAAGGGAGACCAGAGAGAGACCAGAGAGAGACCAGAGAGAGACCAGAGAGACCAGGGAGAGACCAGAGAGAGCAGGGAGAGACCAGGGAGACACCAAAGGGAGACCAGAGAGAAAGACAAGAGAACCCCAGATCTGAAAGTTCCCTGAATCTTTGTGTTTATTTGAGCCTTCAGAGAGTTACTAATCGTAACCATAAGTCACTTGTCCTTTTGTCCATGGGCTGTTTTCAAACATGTCTAACTGTTGTATTTCCTGCTTCACTTATGATGAAGTCGATAAAGGTAATAATCGAACGCTGCACGTGGAGGAAGCACTTTGCAGATTGCAGAGTGTTGTATCTGAAAGCACTTAACATCATTGAAGTGCTGTGAGCTGAGGAGCCGCGGCGACTTCAGGAAAAGATATAAATGCATTTATCGCAGATTTTCACCTGGTTCTAGGTCTGATGTCACTCACTCGGGCGTTTGAGTCTTTTCCAATCTCTGGCACCGGACCAGAGCCAAACTTACCCATCTCCCCAGCTGCTGATTTCATCCTGGGTTTATTTTCAGTCAACGCTGTTTGGTTTTTCATTCATACTGACCGTGTCTTAGGCGGCCATTTTGTGCCTGGACTTGTAAAGGTGTACTACTTAATCTGGATAAACTGGATACTTAAATTGTGGGTTGTAAGAAAATGTTCCCCAAATAGAGCTCAACAAAAGGATCTAAACAGAAGGGTCGGGGGGACATGTTGGCGTCAGAAGTTCCTGAGAGCGTGGATGGAGCCAAAAACATCTGCAGGTCTGTGACTGATGGGGAACAATGCTGTAGTGTGGTTCAAAGCAAAACATATGATTTATGAAATTATGACAGAGTTTGTCCTGAAATGAAGCCATAACACTTTAGTTTAGCCCTAGTGCTAATTAGTATATAATTTATTAGGTTTATTAGTTCTTTAATTGGTATTTATTAAGCACTTATTAGTCCTTATTGTACATGGCCTAATTCAACATCTAACTAATACTAAATTACACTTTCCCTGTGGGTTAGGGTTGGGGTTGGGGTACACTAATTATCACTTAATTAGCTGATAATTAGTGAGTGCTAATGGGGAGCTAAGGTGGAAAATCCGACTGGAAGACGCAGCACCAGCATCTGTCAATCAAGCTTCATTCGTGCAGCAACCCTCCTCCTCCCCATCTCCCCCTCGTTCCAGACTAGATCTTTAACCCAACAGACAAAACATGGTGTTATTAGAATTGTACATTGTTGGCAGTAATCTGACTCCATATGACTCTGAAGACAATATTTGCAAGATTACATCTATTGCTACTATTCAGAATCTTGTTAGGACTTGGCCTTAGACCCCGGCAGAGCACTGTACGAAGGGGAAAGTGATTATGAAATGGAATCCCCTGGGGCCTAGATCCTGGTGGTGGGAGCGAGGAGAAGGATGAAGGAGGAGGCCAGGAACGAGGCGGAGATGGGGAGGAGGAGGGTTGCGGCGTGAGTGAAGCCCCTGCTTGGATGGAGCTTCCTGAGTATATGAAGCTGATGTGTGCAGTGCCTGATCGCTGCAGGTGAGGATATGTTTGTGGAGCTGCAGTTGAGTGTGATTGACAGGTGCTGTAGACGTGAAGCAGCAGTGGGAGCACTTTGAGCTTAGTTCTCATGTTGTTCCCGTCTGTAGCTTCATTTGTGACATGCTTAAATCCCTGATCTCTCCTTTAAACGCAGCGTCAGGCCCTCACCTGCTTCCCGTCCACGGTGAACAGCCTCTTCACCGTCCCAGAGTCCAGCTGGATGGCGTCTGTGATGTCACTCATGACCTGTTCCAGGCAGTGGGCGGTCTTCTTGTTGAGCAGGACCCTCACAGCCTTACGGGGCTTCACTCCGCTCCGCACGATGGTCACCAGTTTGGGCCGGATGAAGTCCCGGCTCTCCCTGAGGTCCCTGGATCCCTGGGGGGGCTGGTGGTGGGGGGAGGCGGCCCGCACCGAGCCCACGGCCCAGTTTGGGTTCACGTTCTTGGTGTAGTCTAGTTTCTTGTAGGGTTCGATGGAGGCGCAGACGTAGCTCTCTCCTAGTGACGCAGAATATGGAGCATTAGAGAACATGTAATCTTTCAATGACGTCACTAGTTCCTGCAAAAAATGCTAAAACACGAGGTAATAATGAACCACTTGAATCGAGTGGTTTTTGGGTAATCGGAGAACATTCTGGATGTCTTGAAACTAGAACAGTTGCTTTATTTTCTCATTCCAATCATTTTGCTTTTGTCCCGTTGGTTAATCTTTGAGACTTATTTTCATCACTTCTTGCTGTGTGGTTCTAAAACAGTTTGCTTCTATCATTACTTTTCTCATGTATGAATCTTTGGCCTCGGTCACATCTTTAGATCAGCTTTTTTCAGACAGAAAAGTGAGGACTGGGGGTTGGGGACCTCGAGATGGTCCTGACACAGAGGTCTCCCATCATGGCAACAGAGCCACTTCACCAAGACGGACTTTTGTTACTTACTGAACATTATGACAGAAAAGTTTACTTCTATAGTAGCCGGGAGTTGTTTCAAATCAGTGTCCTTTGCATTTTGTGTTGGATTGTGTATGAAGTGTGCTATTCAAATAAATGCACCTTTCACTGTCTTCCTGTAGCTCAGAGAATAGACTTAAAGCAGCTCTGCTTATACAAGTACATCCACATGTTAGTGTCAAAGAGGAGCAGTAGTAGTAGTAGTAATCTTTATTTATATACCGCCTTTTCACTGCACATCGGAGTCTCAAAGCGGTTTACAATTGTTATTTTTGGGAGTGGGGGTGCCAGTACAGGAGGCACAAACAAACAGGAGCACAAGGACTGGCCTCCTGCTGGGACTCTGAGGAGCACAGGGACTGGCCTCCTGCTGGGACTCTGAGGAGCACAGGGACTGGACTCCTGCTGGGACTCTGAGGAGCACAGGGACTGGCCTCCTGCTGGGACTCTGAGGAGCACAGGGACTGGACTCCTGCTGGGACTCTGAGGAGCACAGGGACTGGACTCCTGCTGGGACTCTGAGGAGCACAGGGACTGGACTCCTGCTGGGACTCTGAGGAGCACAGGGACTGGACTCCTGCTGGGACTCTGAGGAGCACAGGGACTGGCCTCCTGCTGGGACTCTGAGGAGCACAGGGACTGGACTCCTGCTGGGACTCTGAGGAGCACAGGGACTGGCCTCCTGCTGGGACTCTGAGGAGCACAGGGACTGGACTCCTGCTGGGACTCTGAGGAGCACAGGGACTGGCCTCCTGCTGGGACTCTGAGGAGCACAGGGACTGGACTCCTGCTGGGACTCTGAGGAGCACAGGGACTGGACTCCTGCTGGGACTCTGAGGAGCACAGGGACTGGCCTCCTGCTGGGACTCTGAGGAGCACAGGGACTGGACTCCTGCTGGGACTCTGAGGAGCACAGGGACTGGCCTCCTGCTGGGACTCTGAGGAGCACAGGGACTGGACTCCTGCTGGGACTCTGAGGAGCACAGGGACTGGACTCCTGCTGGGACTCTGAGGAGCACAGGGACTGGCCTCCTGCTGGGACTCTGAGGAGCACAGGGACTGGCCTCCTGCTGGGACTATGAGGAGCACAGGGACCGGCCTCCTGCTGGGACTCTGAGGAGCACAGGGACTGGCCTCCTGCTGGGACTCTGAAGAGCACAGGGACTGGCCTCCTGCTGGAGTCAGGACTGAACATGCAGAGGCAGCGTTTCAGATTCAAAAAGCTAAAATCTGGAACAGTCTTCCTGAAAATGTGAGACAGGCTTCTTATTGTATGTGATTAGGTTTTATTGAAAGCCTTGAATTTCTTGTTGCTTCATGTATAAACTGTGCTATACAGATAAACTGGCCTCATAAGCAGCTGTGTGACTCTTACCGTCCTCCAGCTGCTCCATGCGGCTGATGCGGGTCCCGTCCACGCCGTAGATCATCCTCACGCCCTGCGGCAGGTGCAGGTGGTCGGCGAGGCTGCGGGTCAGGTCGGCCAGCAGCGCCTCCAGGGAGCGGTACCGGTCCTGGGACACGGCGAACTCCAGGCCTTTGAAGTAGCGGTCGCCGTTGCGGTAGAAGCGGATCTTCTTGGCCTTCTTCTCGGAGCTCAGGGCCTGCAGGGTGCGAGTGCGGTACAGGCTGCAGTGGGCGCTGTGCGTGGGGCTGGCCAAGGCGTTCCCCCGAGACCCGCGCCGTCTGCTCCTCTGGCTCCGGTCCCGCTCATCAAAGTGCTCCATGGTCCTGCCGGGTAGTACCTGCTGGGAGAACCAGGAAGTTACTGCTGGTAAGTGATGTGATGGGAGACCTCTGGAAACAGCAGGTGCCACAGTGGGGCTGACTGCGGCTGTAAAGTGCCAAACTGTGGTTGTGTCCTTTGGCAAGACACTTCACCCACATTAGAATGAGTCTGGTGTGTGTGGGAGTGGTTGGTGTGTGTGGGAGGGGCCGATGGCACAGACTGGTGGCCTCGCTTCTGGCAGTGTGCCCCAGGGCAGCTGTGGCTACAGTAGTAGTGAGAATGAGACGACACAGTGGGCCGCCTTGTACATGAACAATGCTATACAATACAACTTTCTCATTAAAAGTAAAAAAAATAACTAGACAACATTTTTTACAAAAAAAACACACATTTGGGCTTCAATGAAAGACTCTAAATCTTTGCTTTGTATCATTTTGAGATCTGTCTGCCCTCAGTGAGAAAGCATGAGGATTTAATGAACTTCAAAATCATTTTGTATTGTTGTAAAAAAGGTCAATTCCATCAAAAGAGTTTTTCAGGGGAAATGATTGACATTTCTCCAGGACAAAGATAGATTTCCCTGAGTCTTTGTCTGCAGCAGAATGTTCACTTCTCTGATGTAGAAGCGTCACGCCCAGACCCTCAGCTGTTTGTTCACATGTGTCAGAACCAGGTCCATCCTCAAACTACAGCTGCTGTCCGCGCAGAGGAACACAGCTCTATCCAGAGCTGCTGCAGTAGAATGATAGTGGGATAGTATAGTGTGATAATGTGATAGTTTAGTATTAGTTTGATAGTATGAGTCTTACCGAGCTCACGTGGCGTCTGCGCGGTGTCAGCGGGGAGGCTGTGGATCATGGGGCGGGAGGACCGGTCTCTTTGTCGCCGGTATGAGGTGAGAGGATGCTGAAGATGCTGATGATGCTGCCGCGGTGCGCACGTGCGCAGTGGAGACTGAAGGGACGGGACAGGGCGGAGGGACGGGACTGGGTGGAGGAGGTGGAGGTTGAACTGGACTGGACCAGGCGGCCCCTCCCCTCTGTCCTGCTCAGCACACTGCGGTGGTTTACGGTGGACTCACGCACGAGCATCTGCGATGGCGCGCGTGCACGTGGCACACACAGTGATGATGCCACTACAGCCAGGGCCGCGCACAAGTGTCCTTGGCCCCGGGGCCCCCTCTTTACAATGGCCCCTTCATATACATTACCCATCTCCGTAAACCTTAAGGCTTTGATGCGGACATAACATTGTCATTAGATTAAACTGAAGTGTTCAGGAGAATCCTCAGAGTCAGGACGTTTCACACGACTGTGCTGGACTCAAATGAGTCGGAACTGTTTCAAAATGAACCGATAACACTCATCTTGTTTTGTGATTTCACATCTTCAGTGAACCCAGAGTTCACAGTCTGTGAGTCAGTCTGAATAAACACTGGAAATGACTTAGTGTCACATCTTTGACAAAGTGGTTTATAAAACAGTTTGGTTAATACCAGACTGAATCCACATCTGAGGAACGTCTAAATCTTCGATTACACAACACAATAATGTAGTAGTGATTTCAATTTAAATAAAGAGTTGAACAGTTTTGAATAAAGAATATTTTATTTAAAGCTTACAGCCGCGACATTTCACATCCAACAAACTTCACTGGTCTTTGCTTTGATTCAGACCAAATGATTCTTCAACAGTAGAAAAGGGCAGTGACAGAACTGGACTTGTCTTCATCATTAAGGCACAGAAGTCAGTTTTACACAAACACAAAGCAACAACACAAAGTTGTGTAGAAGGCATTAGAGTATTATTCAGCATATTAGGTCCATTCATTTATTTATTATCTGAAAAACACACTACGACTGATATAGGTCCTTCTGTGTCTTTGGGATTAAAGTGCCTGTCTCCAGAATATAATCTCTAGAAATATATTATATTCACAAAATATGAGTTAGATTAAAATTATATACTCTTTATTAAATAAAGAAACTTTGAGTGCTTTCAGGTCACTCTGAGCCCTGTGTGGTCTGTACTTCAGAGGAGGAACTCTGTCTTTAACCATCGACAGTAAATAACACAAACAATTGGAAATGAGCGAACGAGGATTTGAACCCAAGTTGTTCCTTTTTTAATCTAAACCTCAGTCACAAACTTCATCTTTCATCCACGTCTCTCTCACAGAGAAACTCACAGTTCACACCGACAGGACAGAGGAAACACAGGCTGCTCTGACTCTGCTCTGATCAGACGACTTCTGTGGCGTGGCTTTGAACCTCAGCCTCCAGTGGACTTCACGAAGCAGGTCCAAGTGGAGGAAGTGAGCTAAGAGAGCTGCAGATGTGCTCGTGGGTAATGGTCGTTTTGGAGGAGGACGTTTCACTTTCTCAGCAGAGTGTGCAGTGGAGCAGGGCTGCAGTTCATCTAAACCTGTGCCTCTCACACAGTTTCTGCCTCGACCCCTTTAGGGACACGAACCCATGTCTACATCTCTAGATCAGCTCAGAAACTTCACTCTTTAAAAGAACGAATCACATGTTTTTAAAAATGCATGTAATAATATGTTGTGGGAAAATGTACAGATTCAGGAGGAGACATGAACTTTTGTGGAGGCTCCCAGACCCAGGGCTGTGTCTGTGCCGTGAGTCCAGACCGTGACCAGAAGGATCTCATGGCCGTTCACACATTCCCTCCCTTACCCCCTGACCTCTCCACCTCCTTCCCTTCTTTACCCCCTGACCTCTCCACCTCCTTCCCTTCTTTACCCCCTGACCTCTCCACCTCCTTCCCTTCTTTACCCCCTGACCTCTCCACCTCCTTCCCTTCTTTACCCCCTGACCTCTCCACCTCCTTCCCTTCTTTACCCCCTGACCTCTCCACCTCCTTCCCTTCTTTACCCCCTGACCTCTCCACCTCCTTCCCTTCTTTACCCCCTGACCTCTCCACCTCCTTCCCTCCCTTACCCCCTGACCTCTCCACCTCCTTCCCTACCTTGGCCCCTGACCTCTCCACCTCCTTCCCTTCTTTACCCCCCGACCTCTCCACCTCCTTCCCTTCCTTACCCCCTGACCTCTCCACCTCCTTCCCTTCCTTACCCCCTGACCTCTCCACCTCCTTCCCTTCTTTACCCCCCGACCTCTCCACCTCCTTCCCTTCCTTACCCCCTGACCTCTCCACCTCCTTCCCTTCTTTACCCCCCGACCTCTCCACCTCCTTCCCTTCTTTACCCCCCGACCTCTCCACCTCCTTCCCTTCCTTACCCCCTGACCTCTCCACCTCCTTCCCTTCCTTACCCCCTGACCTCTCCACCTCCTTCCCTTCTTTACCCCCCGACCTCTCCACCTCCTTCTCTTCCTTACCCCCTGACCTCTCCACCTCCTTCCCTTCTTTACCCCCCGACCTCTCCACCTCCTTCCCTTCCTTACCCCCTGACCTCTCCACCTCCTTCCCTTCCTTACCCCCTGACCTCTCCACCTCCTTCCCTTCTTTACCCCCCGACCTCTCCACCTCCTTCCCTTCTTTACCCCCTGACCTCTCCACCTCCTTCCCTTCTTTACCCCCTGACCTCTCCACCTCCTTCCCTTCTTTACCCCCTGACCTCTCCACCTCCTTCCCTTCTTTACCCCCTGACCTCTCCACCTCCTTCCCTTCTTTACCCCCTGACCTCTCCACCTCCTTCCCTTCTTTGGCCCCTGACCTCTCCACCTCCTTTCCTTCCTTGCCCCCGACCTCTCCACCTCCTTCCCTTCTTTACCCCCTGACCTCTCCACCTCCTTCCCTCCCTTACCCCCTGACCTCTCCACCTCCTTCACCCCCTGACCTCTCCACCTCCTTCCCTTCTTTACCCCCTGACCTCTCCACCTCCTTCCCTACTCCTTGCCCCCCGACCTCTCCACCTCCTTCCCTACTCCTTGCCCCCCGACCTCTCCACCTCCTTCCCTACTCCTTGCCCCCCGACCTCTCCACCTCCTTCCCCCCCTTGCCCCCCGACCTCTCCACCTCCTTCCCTCCCTTCCCTTCCTTGCCCCCCGACCTCTCCACCTCCTTCCCTCCCTTCCCTTCCTTGCCCCCCGACCTCTCCACCTCCTTCCCTCCCTTCCCTTCCTTGCCCCCCGACCTCTCCACCTCCTTCCCCCCTTGCCCCCTGACCTCTCCACCTCCTTCCCCCCCTTCCCTGCCTTGCTGTGGCTGGTGCCGGGCGTCTCCTCCACCCTGTAGTCCTGCAGAATGGCCTTGGCCGTCTCTTTGCCCGTCTTCTTCACCACGGCCTTGATGCCGAGGTTGTCGATGTTGAAGGCGGTGATGCCCACGTTGATGGCAGAGTTGACGGCGTGGTCTGTGGCTTGTCCGGCTTCTGCTCCGTACCTGGGATCGGTGTTAGGTTCAGGGGAGAGAGAAGGAGGGGGTAAAGACCGGATTAACGGGAAGGCTTGAGGAAGTGTCCATGCAGATGTTAAGGTTAAACGTGCAGCTGGAAGTTTGGAATGACCCAGTAGAGAGACCGTTAGCTCTACGCTCAAAGGCAAATACACCACTTTGGTTTCTCCTCAGCCGTGATGAAGAGAGAAAGTGTGCATGGGAGGGTAAAAAGCTAAAAATAGGAATAAAATTATGTCTCAAAAAGGGTTTATGGAAATGACTAAAACATAAAACAGAAACATTAAATGACCTGAAAGCAAAGGCGGCCGTCGATCACATTCAAACATGAAAGAAAAGTCTTGCGCCTTTTTTTAGCCTGGTAATAAAATCCATGTCACTAGTTTTTGGATCTAAATGAATCGTTATAAACAGGTTCAGGTAAAAAATACAGTATTTTTCCCGCACGTCAAACACGTAATGATACAATAATAGACTTTAAAGCAGCTCTGATTGTTACTAGTCTCTCCATCTATGACATGTTAGAGCCATAAGAACCAACTCTGAGGAGCACAGGGACCGGCCTCCTGATGGGACTCTGAGGAGCACAGGGACCGGCCTCCTGCTGGGACTCTGAGGAGCACAGGGACCGGCCTCCTGCTGGGACTCTGAGGAGCACAGGGACTGGCCTCCTGCTGGGACTCTGAGGAGCACAGGGACTGGCCTCCTGCTGGGACTCTGAGGAGCACAGGGACTGGCCTCCTGCTGGGACTCTGAGGAGCACAGGGACTGGTCTCCTGCTGGGACTCTGAGGAGCACAGGGACTGACCTCCTGCTGGGACTCTGAGGAGCACAGGGACCGGCCTCCTGATGGGACTCTGAGGAGCACAGGGACCGGCCTCCTGCTGGGACTCTGAGGAGCACAGGGACCGGCCTCCTGCTGGGACTCTGAGGAGCACAGGGACCGGCCTCCTGATGGGAGCACAGAAACTGACCTCCTGCTGGGACTCTGAGGAGCACAGGGACTGACCTCCTGCTGGGACTCTGAGGAGCACAGGGACCGGCCTCCTGATGGGACTCGGAGGAGCACAGGGACTGGCCTCCTGATGGGACTCTGAGGAGCACAGGGACCGGCCTCCTGCTGGTCCCAGAGTCAGGACTAAACATGGGGCAGCAGCGTTTCAGATTCATGCAGCTAAAACCTGGGACAGACAGAACCTGGGTTTGAACAGAGAAGAAGTCTGTCTCTCTTCACTCGGTTTAATGCACGGGGATTATTTAACATGTTTTCCTTGTCTATGAACGGTGCTATACAAATAACCTTGCCTTGTTATTCTAAATGCCACTTGCTCTGCTCTGTACAATGCAGTTTCTGAATTCTAACCCGTAGAAAAGAGAGAGAACTGTGGGAGAATAAGCGATTTATGTGAACCCAGAACATGCTGCGGGTGAAGCATTCAGGAAACAATCAGAGAACATTACTATGTGAGCGCTCAGGGGGGGAGTCGGACAAGACTTTCTGAAGTCCTCTAAATCTGGAAAGCAAGTCACAAAGAAAAGTGAATTAAGTACAAGTGGAGCTTACGGAGGTCCATGTCCAACTCATGAGCCAAACATTAGACTTTTATCAACAGGAAATAGGCTCCATGGTTTTTTATTGTGAAGAGAAAAACAAAATGGCCGAAATCGACGGTTGTTCTCCTCGAGCAGCGGAGAGTGTTTTTCAGCAGTGTGAGGGTAAAAGCAGTAGGTTTAGACAGGACTTACTTGTGTTTGACGGTGGAGACTGTTTCCGTGGCGACGCTGGTGGCGATGTTCTTAGCTGCCACCTCCAGTCCGGTCCACATGGTCGCGAAGCCTACACGGTAAGTACAACACTGGTCATGTCGGGATCAGAAGGTCCAAGGTCATTTTGGTCAAAGGCCCGAAACCATGAAAGTGTTTTTCAAACCTGTATTTGTAAATCTGAGTCTGTGAACATGTGTGAAATTGTGATTTGCAGGTTTGATAATAATAATAATAATAAAAAAATCTGCGCTTTTTTGGACGCTCAAAGACGCTTCACATGTCATTGTCCTTTCTCTCCAAATACGGTGGCGATAAACTACTACTGTAGCCACAGCTGCCCTGGGGCACACTGACCGAAGTGAGGCAACCAATCTGTGCCATCAGCCCCTCCCACCACCACCATCAGACATTCACACCAGACTCATTCCAGGGGGAGGAAGTGTCTTGCCTAAGGACACAACAGCAGTTTGGCACTTTACAGCCGCAGCCGCCCCACTGTGGCACCTGCAGTTACAAAGGGTTAAGTGTCTTTCCCAAGGACACAACAACAGCAGTGGGAGTCAGTGGAGGAAGTCTTGCGATGGACTCGAACCCACAACCTTCAGGCTCAAAGGCCAATAATCTACCCACTGAGCCACTGTCGCCTCAGAAACACATGATCAAACCGGGCATTTCCGTTTCGTCGTAAGGCCCGGACAGAAGCAGCACCGCCGTGTGGTGATTGCGTGCTCACCCTGCACGCCGCTGGCCGCCACCACCATGGCGCCGTCCATGTTGGAGCGCCCGTCCTTGTCCTTCTTCATTGATTCTGGGATGAGCTTTTCTCCGTGTTTCTTCACGTGTGGCGCCAGCTCTCGGCCCACGAAGCCCGTGACGGTGCACACGCCGTCCACTGCCAGAGACACACACACAGTGGAGCGTTCTTTCAGATGGACTTTCTCTGATTTTAGTCTTGTGCTGAACGTGGCTCACCAAGGAACTGGCTGACTTTGACGGCGCCCCCTGTGGCCTGCTTGGCGACCTGCAGGGACTTGGTGACGGTGGGGCTGACGCTGGAGGGCCGGTCCTCTGGGGTGATGTGCTCTCTCAGTTTGGAGGCTCCTTTATGAATGGCTTTCCCCGTGAACTCGGCGCCTTTGACCAGACCCCAGCTCAGCCACGACGCTCCTGCAGGACGCAAACGCACGATTATTACTTTTAACTAACGTTTTTCTGATCTTATAGAAGTAAAACAGACTCATGATCACGAGTTAATTTTATAAAATAATAAAACAAAGGCCATTATCGACCGCTCAGAAAATACTTAAGAATTGAGTCAAGAGAAATACTCTTCGTTTCATGTGTTTATGAAGTCAGTTATCCAACCATCAGGGAAGAAACTGGACAGACTACTGCAGTAAATGTAGTTGGCCAAATAATACTGAAATGTTTCCAGTTTGTGAAAAACATACTGTATCTCGAGCAAGTGATGGTTAGATTACTTTCATAGTAAACTAACACAGTTTTGCTAATTATTAGTTTGAGATTTGAAATGTCCTTGTTCCATGTTCTTGGAGGTGGGAGCAGTATCAGCTCTGCCACTGTTTATATCCAGATGTTGGTTACTAAATTGTTAAAAATGTCCATGTTCATTATCAAAGAGAGAGCACACGCAGAAGAACAGCCTGAACCCCTTTGGATCCACACTCAGCCGTTCCAGGACCGACCTCTGCTGGACTCACCCGTGATGATGCCGTGGGCCACCTTCTCGCTCCACTCGGGCAGGGTCTTGTCAAGCCCCTCCTCACCCCCCTCCTGCCCCTCCTCCCCTTCGGGCGGGGCCTGAGGCGAGACCAGGGGCACCTTCTGACTCAGGTTGATGGAGCTGGCCACTTCCTCTGGAGCCTGATCCAGAAGGAAACACAAAACCAAAGTCACTTCTCTCACAAATACCACTATATTAGAAGAATAGATCTCTACATACAGTTGACGTGTCTCAAGTTAGATTTAATTCACTGTTAACAATTCATTTGATATCGCTCGCTGAAAATAACATAAATATAAATTCTCAAAGTCTGAGTTGTTTCTTGCAGATGCAGGAGAGTCTAAGGACAGAGAAGATCCAGGACACTCAACACTATCTATGGTAACACTGGTCTCTGTCTCTTATGGACCAATGTCTCTTGATTCTCTGATCTGCTCTTGGCGAATCGACAGTTATGTAAAGTCCTCGGAGATAACTACTGTTGTGATTTAGGGCGATACAAAATAAATGTAATTGAATTGACCCAGAGTTCTTTGCTCCCTCCAGACTGGTATCAACTCCTCTTCCTTCATCCAGACGCAAACTCGTTATGACGTGACCAATCCTCAGACTGTGATGACTTAAAGAAAATAAAAATAATAAAGTATTTCTTGTAATCAGAAACCTTTCCCATATCTAATATAAACCTCTGTGTCTTCACTTACTTCTTAGCCAGATTTCAAACTCCCAGATTCAACCAAAATATGCCAAAATGAACACAAGTAATAATACTTGTGTCTCTTTTAGTCCCATAACTAAAAGAGATTAAATTCAATAAATGAATGACCTACTATTGAAGTTCACAGACAAAGGTATTTCTCTTACCACTTTGGCCAAAAGTCCTGGATTCAAATAAATAGTCAACATCTTGAAACTAATAAACGAATAAAAACAGTAAATTAAACTAATCTGACTCAAAAAACAACTTAAAAATATGGACTAAATCCCTAATGGAAGTCATGGCAGCTCCAGTGCAGGGGGGGTCCGGGGGGTCTACATGTGGATGTGAGGGGGCCGTGTCTGTGCCAGCGCCTCCATCTTCATCTTCATCAGCGAGTGCAGAGATAAGAGCATTAGAGTCTTCACTGGCCTCACCTGCTGGGGCTAATCCGGACCGTGCTGAGCCAGGAGAGCTTTGGCAGCAGCGAGAGGACGACTCCACACTCAAACCATTAGGATGATTCTCACACTCTGGGTTTGTGCTGAACAGGACTTTTAACACTTTATTTTTGTCTCAGGCCCAACAAGAACTTTTAGAGAGAAACGTTATCGATCCCTGAAGGAGAACGGTCCAGCAGCAGAAGCACATCCAAAGAAAACATAAAAACATCATTCTAAAAGTTTATAAATAACTAAAAATACTGCACAGGTTCGGGACTCTCTGGACTTGGACTCTCTCTCACGTCCCTGGACTCTGGACTTGGACTCTCTCTCACGTCCCTAGACTCTGGACTTGGACTCTCTGACCTCCCCGGACTCTGACCCGGACTCTCAGGTGTCTGGACTCTGACCTGGACTCGGAGGTCTGTCATCTGGGAGAGCAGGTCTTGGAACAGGTCTCGGTCTGGTCCAGGCAGCTCTGAGGACAGGACCACACCAACGAAGTACCCAGGGGCTGGGGCCATCATGTCGGGGAACATGAAGACCCCGGTGCTGCAGAGGAGGACCGGGGACTGGAGGGAGACCAGCGGGTACAGCCAGTCGCACACCTGCAACACACACACAGAGACACACACACACACACACACACACACAGACACAGACAAAGACACACACAGTAAGTTAGTCATGGGGAGAACATGCAAACTCCACTTAGAAAGCCCTTTTCCAACTGGAATTCAAACCCTGGACGGACAACCTGACAGCCAAACAGGAGAGAGAGTGTGCTGGTCTAGAGAGTGTGCTGGTCTAGAGAGTGCGCTGGTCTAGAGAGTGTGCTGGTCTAGAGAGTGCGCTGGTCTAGAGAGTGTGCTGGTCTAGAGAGGGCGCTGGTCTAGAGAGTGCGCTGGTCTAGAGTGTGCGCTGGTCTAGAGAGTGCGCTGGTCTAGAGAGTGCGCTGGTCTAGAGTGTGCGCTGGTTTAGAGTGCTGGTCTAGAGTGTGTGCTGGTCTAGAGTGTGCGCTGGTCTAGACAGTGCACTGGTTTAGAGTGCTGGTCTAGAGTGTGCGCTGGTTTAGAGTGCTGGTCTAGAGAGTGTGCTGGTTTAGAGTGCTGGTCTAGAGAGTGCGCTGGTCTAGAGTGTGCGCTGGTTTAGAGTGCTGGTCTAGAGAGTGTGCTGGTTTAGAGTGCTGGTCTAGAGTGTGTGCTGGTGGTCTAGAGAGTGTGCTGGTTTAGAGTGCTGGTCTAGAGTGTGTGCTGGTCTAGAGTGTGTGCTGGTCTAGAGAGTGTGCTGGTCTAGAGAGTGTGCTGGTCTAGAGAGTGCGCTGGTCTAGAGAGTGCGCTGGTCTAGAGTGTTGCGCTGGTTTAGAGAGTGCACTGGTTTAGAGTGCTGGTCTAGAGTGTGTGCTGGTCTAGAGTGTGCGCTGGTTTAGAGTGCTGGTCTAGAGAGTGTGCTGGTTTAGAGTGCTGGTCTAGAGAGTGCGCTGGTCTAGAGTGTGCGCTGGTTTAGAGTGCTGGTCTAGAGAGTGTGCTGGTTTAGAGTGCTGGTCTAGAGTGTGTGCTGGTCTAGAGAGTGTGCTGGTCTAGAGAGTGTGCTGGTCTAGAGTGTGTGCTGGTCTAGAGTGTGTGCTGGTCTAGAGTGTGTGCTGGTCTAGAGTGTGTGCTGGTCTAGAGAGTGTGCTGGTCTAGAGAGTGTGCTGGTCTAGAGTGTGTGCTGGTCTAGAGTGTGTGCTGGTCTAGAGTGTGTGCTGGTCTAGAGTGTGTGCTGGTCTAGAGTGTGCTGATCTAGAGAGTGTGCTCTAGAGAGTGTGCTGGTCTAGAGAGTGTGCTGGTCTAGAGAGTGTGCTGGTCTAGAGAGTGTGCTGGTCTAGAGAGTGTGCTCTAGAGAGTGTGCTGGTCTAGAGAGTGTGCTGGTCTAGAGAGTGTGCTGGTCTAGAGTGTGTGCTGGTCTAGAGAGTGCGCTGGTATAGAGAGTGCGCTGGTCTAGAGAGTGCGCTGGTCTAGAGAGTGCGCTGGTCTAGAGAGTGCGCTGGTCTAGAGAGTGCGCTGGTCTAGAGTGTGCGCTGGTCTAGAGTGTGTGCTGGTCTAGAGTGCTGGTCTAGAGTGTGTGCTGGTTTAGAGTGCTGGTCTAGAGTGTGTGCTGGTCTAGAGAGTGCTGGTCTAGAGAGTGTGCTGGTCTAGAGAGTGCGCTGGTCTAGAGAGTGTGCTGGTTTAGAGTGCTGGTCTAGAGTGTGTGCTGGTTTAGAGTGCTGGTTTAGAGTGCTGGTCTAGAGAGTGTGCTGGTCTAGAGTGTGTGCTGTCTGTCTAGAGTGTGTGCTGGTCTAGAGAGTGTGCTGGTATAGAGAGTGTGCTAGTCTAGAGAGTGCGCTGGTCTAGAGAGTGCGCTGGTCTAGAGAGTGCGCTGGTCTAGAGTGTGCGCTGGTCTAGAGTGTGTGCTGGTTTAGAGTGCTGGTCTAGAGTGTGTGCTGGTCTAGAGAGTGTGCTGGTCTAGAGAGTGTGCTGGTCTAGAGAGTGTGCTGGTCTAGAGAGTGTGCTGGTCTAGAGAGTGTGCTGGTCTAGAGAGTGTGCTGGTTTAGAGTGCTGGTCTAGAGTGTGTGCTGGTTTAGAGTGCTGGTTTAGAGTGCTGGTCTAGAGAGTGAGCTGGTATAGAGAGTGTGCTGGTATAGAGAGTGTGCTGGTATAGAGAGTGTGCTGGTATAGAGAGTGTGCTGGTCTAGAGAGTGCGCTGGTCTAGACAGTGCGCTGGTTTAGAGTGCTGGTCTAGAGAGTGTGCTGGTTTAGAGTGCTGGTCTAGAGAGTGTGCTGGTCTAGAGAGTGTGCTGGTCTAAAGTGCTGGTCTAGAGAGTGTGCTGGTCTAGAGAGTGTGCTGGTCTAGAGAGTGTGCTGGTCTAGAGTGTGTGCTGGTCTAGAGTGTGTGCTGGTCTAGAGAGTGTGCTGGTCTAGAGTGCTGGTCTAGAGTGCTGGTCTAGAGAGTGAGCTGGTATAGAGAGTGTGCTGGTATAGAGTGTGTGCTGGTATAGAGAGTGTGCTGGTATAGAGAGTGTGCTGGTCTAGAGAGTGTGCTGGTATAGAGAGTGTGCTGGTATAGAGAGTGTGCTGGTATAGAGAGTGTGCTGGTATAGAGAGTGTGCTGGTATAGAGAGTGTGCTGGTCTAGAGAGTGCGCTGGTCTAGACAGTGCGCTGGTTTAGAGTGCTGGTCTAGAGAGTGTGCTGGTTTAGAGTGCTGGTCTAGAGAGTGTGCTGGTCTAGAGAGTGTGCTGGTCTAAAGTGCTGGTCTAGAGAGTGTGCTGGTCTAGAGAGTGTGCTGGTCTAGAGAGTGTGCTGGTCTAGAGTGTGTGCTGGTCTAGAGTGTGTGCTGGTCTAGAGAGTGTGCTGGTTTAGAGTGCTGGTCTAGAGTGTGTGCTGGTCTAGAGAGTGTGCTGGTCTAGAGAGTGTGCTGGTCTAGAGTGTGTGCTGGTTTTAGAGTGCTGGTCTAGAGTGTGTGCTGGTCTAGAGTGTGTGCTGGTCTCGAGAGTGTGCTGGTCTAGAGAGTGTGCTGGTCTAGAGAGTGTGCTGGTCTAGAGAGTGCTGGTCTAGAGAGTGTGCTGGTCTAGAGAGTGCGCTGGTCTAGAGAGTGTGCTGGTTTAGAGTGCTGGTCTAGAGTGTGTGCTGGTTTAGAGTGCTGGTTTAGAGTGCTGGTCTAGAGTGTGTGCTGGTCTAGAGAGTGCGCTGGTCTAGAGAGTGCGCTGGTCTAGAGTGTGCGCTGGTTTAGAGTGCTGGTCTAGAGTGTGCTGGTTTAGAGTGCTGGTCTAGAGTGTGTGCTGGTCTAGAGAGTGTCCTGGTCTAAACTGCTGGTCTAGAGTGTGCTGGTCTAGAGTGTGCTGGTCTAGAGTGTGTGCTGGTCTAGAGAGTGTGCTGGTTTAGAGTGCTGGTCTAGAGAGTGTGCTGGTCTAGAGTGTGTGCTGGTCTAGAGTGTGTGCTGGTCTAGAGTGTGTGCTGGTCTAGAGTGTGTGCTGGTCTAGAGTGTGTGCTGGTCTAGAGTGTGTGCTGGTCTAGAGAGTGTGCTGGTTTAGAGTGCTGGTCCAGAGAGTGTGCTGGTCTAGAGTGTGTGCTGGTCGGTCTAGAGTGTGTGCTGGTCTATGTATGAACCTGGGGACCATGACGGTTACATTACAACATATTGAGTTGAATTGCTGTTGTATATATTTAGAATTATTTTACAAACACATAAAATAATAAAATAACAATAATAAAATGTTTTTCCCTAGAGTCACATTCTGACACTCACAGTTGAAGATTTGTAATCCTATGATGGAAATAGAGTGGGACAACTTTTGTATATGTGTGTGTATATGTGTATGTATATGTACGAGTGTGTATGGATGGAAATAGTCTGACAGCAGAGACTTCACTGCTCCTCACTGCTCCTCACGCTCCTCACTGCTCCTTACTGCTCCTCACGCTCCTCACTGCTCCTCACTGCTCCTCACGCTCCTCACTGCTCCTCACTGCTCCTCACGCTCCTCACTGCTCCTCACTGCTCCTCACTCTCCTCACTCTCCTTACTGCTCCTCACTCTCCTTACTGCTCCTCACTGCTCCTCACTGCTCCTCACGCTCCTCACTGCTCCTCACTGCTCCTCACTGCTCCTCACTGCTCCTCACGCTCCTCATGCTCCTCACTGCTCCTCACTGCTCCTCACGCTCCTCACTGCTCCTCACTGCTCCTCACGCTCCTCACTGCTCCTCACGCTCCTCACTGCTCCTCACTGCTCCTCACGCTCCTAACTGCTCCTCACTGCTCCTCACTGCTCCTCACTCTCCTTACTGCTCCTCACTCTCCTCACTGCTCCTCACTGCTCCTCACGCTCCTCACTGCTCCTCACTGCTCCTCACGCTCCTCACTGCTCCTCACTGCTCCTCACTGCTCCTCACTGCTCCTCACTGCTCCTCAGGCTGTGGTGGATCTCTGCAGCCTCACACCTACAGCATGGTCGGGCACAGGACAGACCAGACAGGGCCCGCTTTGTGACTGCTCGGTCTTATTCCGTGGTCTGAGGGTTTCATGGTCATTAACACAAACAAGTAATAACACTGTCGCTCGTTAGGATCTCTGCGTCGGCAGCATCAGGAGACCATCAGGAGACCATCAGGAGACCATCAGGAGACCATCAGGAGACCATCAGGAGACCATCAGGAGACCTCCAACAGACGGGTCGTAAAATGGTGCAGTCACAAGACCAGAGGGAGGTCTCTCATTGATGGTTTTTCAATATTTACATTTTGTCTAGAGATAAGGAGTTCTGTAATCTGGTAATGATCTTCTTTGTTTTCCATTTTTGCAGTAGATTAGACAAAAGGATTTCAAACCTTTTGGCCAAAGGTCTAAGAGCGTGACGCAGTCAAAGGCCACAGTAGGATCAACTGCTCTGGGACTTATTTCCTCATCATGTCCGGGTGAGCTCTCTGATACAGAGACTGTTTGGAGTTAAGTTGTTTTTTGGAGACAGAATACAAAGACCTAAATGTATCAAGTTATGTTTATTATGTTCTAATACACCAAAACTGTAATAAGATGTGCTTAGCCGTTAGCTATAGGGCCTATAATCCTGGCAATCCCTTTTTGTAACAATGCTTCATATTCTGTCCCTATCAAAGAAACAGATAATAATGATGATGATAATATGAGTGCTATGTGTGTGTGCGTGTTCGAACAGTTTGACTGTTAAAACAAAATCCTAACCCTAACTATAATGATTATTATGGAAAATAATTTATCTGACAATAGCCTCTAAAGAGATTAAACAACTCTTCCTGAGGCTGCACCCCCTCAAAGCTCCTGGCCCGGACCACGTGTCTCTGGCCACTCTGAGACACTGCCCCAGTGAGCTTACTCCTGTGTTCACTGACATTTTCAACACCTCTCTGCAGTCCTGCCATGTCCCGGCCTGCTTCAAATCCTCCATCATTGTCCCCGTCCCGAAGAAGCCCAGGATCACAGGACTCAACGACTACAGACCTGTAGCACTTACGTCTGTCGTCATGAAGTCATTTGAACGCCTGGTCCTCTCCCATCTCAAGTCCTTCACCTCCCCCCTCCTGGACCCCCTGCAGTTCGCCTACAGAGCCAACAGATCTGTATACGACGCCATTAACCTGGCCCTCCACTACATCCTACAGCACCTGGACTCCCCGGGGACCTACGCCAGGGTCCTGTTCGTGGACTTCAGCTCTGCCTTCAACACAATCCTGCCATCCCTGCTCCAGGACAAGCTCTCCCAGCTCAACGTGCCCGATTCCACCTGCAGGTGGATCACTGACTTCCTGACGGACAGGAAGCAGCGAGTGCGTCTGGGGAAGAATGTCTCGGACTCTCGGATTATAAATAAAGGAGCCCCACAGGGCTGTGTTCTTTCTCCCCTGCTCTTCTCCCTGTACACCAACCACTGCACCTCCAGCCACGACTCCGTGAAGCTGATCAAGTTCGCGGACGACACCACCCTCATTGGACTCATCTCCAACAATGATGAGTCCGCCTACAGGAGGGAGGTGGACCGGCTGGTGTCCTGGTGTCTCCTACAGGAGGGAGGTGGACCGGCTGGTGTCCTGGTGTCTCCTACAGGAGGGAGGTGGACCGGCTGGTGTCCTGGTGTCTCCTACAGGAGGGAGGTGGACCGGCTGGTGTCCTGGTGTCTCCTACAGGAGGGAGGTGGACCGGCTGGTGTCCTGGTGTCTCCTACAGGAGGAGGTGGACCGGCTGGTGTCCTGGTGTCTCCTACAGGAGGGAGGTGGACCGGCTGGTGTCCTGGTGTCTCCTACAGGAGGGAGGTGGACCGGCTGGTGTCCTGGTGCAGTGGTAACAACCTGGAGCTGAACGCCCAGAAGACAGTGGAGATGATTGTGGACTTCAGGAAGAGCACTGTCCCCCGCCCCCACCCTCCGTGATGGACTCCCCCATCACCTCTGTGGAGTCCTTCCGTTTCCTGGGCACCACCATCACCCAGGACCTCAAGTGGGAGCCGACCATCAGCTCCTCATCAAGAAGGCCCAGCAGAGGATGTACTTCCTGCGGCAGCTCAGGAAAGCCAAGCTGCCTGCACAGATGTTGGTGCAGTTCTACACGGCCATCATCGAGTCCATCCATCACGTCCTCCATCACCTCCTTCCTCACCTCCTCCATCACCTCCTCCATCACCTCCTCTATCACCTCCCCTTTATAAAGTCACTTTACTGCCCATCATACGTCACTTTACTTCACTGTACTGCTGTCACCTTACATTGTGTGCACCATGTGCACTTGTATATTGTAAATAGTAACTGTAACTCTATTTTAAATGTATTCTTTAGAAGTGTTTTTTATTCTTATTTGTATTATCTCTTTCTGACTGTTGCACTGAGCCAAAGCAATTTCCAAGTCTGTGACTTCCTGTTACTTACGTGGCAATAAAAATGATTCTGATTCTGATACAGCATCTTTCAAACCCCCTCTGACCTGCAGGAAGGCGGGCGGTCTGTTGGGCGTGGCCTCGTGGGTGAACTTGACGAGGCGCAGGAAGCCGGGGTAGGAGGGCGCGCTAACATCTCCCTGGGGGTCACAAAGAAGATCTGCACCCCCTGTGGGATGTAGAGCAGCTCCTCCCCGTCCTCCCAGGCCAGGCTCTGGGGGGAGGGGCTGGGGCACTGGCTGTAGAAGTCCTCCCCCACTGCGGACATCTCCCCCGAGTCTGTCCCGTACGAGAGGGACAGGTGACCGTCGGCCGCCTGGGGGGAATAGGCGGGGGGCAGGCCGGCCGGGGGTCTGTGCTGGGAGGCGGGGGACACGGGGAGGGCTGGGACTGTGGAGGCAGAGGCTGGAGTTAGCTACAGCTGAGAACCACCAGTCATTATGATATAAATGATACAGTGACCAAGTATCATCATTACACAATCACACTGAAGACACATGCACATTGTTTTTTTTTATCAAACCATTCATCCATTTTCTTCCCCTTAATCCCTTTCTGGGTCGGGGGGGGGTGGCAGTCATTGATGCCAAGTCACAGAGCACCCGCCCCTCACTGATCCTCCTGCAGGTGCTGAGTCCACAGGAGGCTGCTCTGTCAGTGCGAGCATAGCCTTGATCTTTAAGTGGGGGCTTCAGGCAAAGTGGGCTTAAGTGTCTTGCCCAAGGACACATCAACAGCAGACATCAGTGGGAGTTGGTGGAGAAGCTCAAAAGGCCAATGCTCTACCAACTGAGCCACTGTCACCCCGACAAAGCATTTATCAAACCATTTACCCAATTCTTTTGTGCCCTCTAACTGTGTTTCTGTGTAGGGTCTGTGTTTTCTGCTTTTTGTGATCAATAAAGTTTTCGGATTCACATTATCAATGATGCAACAAAAATAGAATTAGACACACCTGAAGTCAGCTTACTTCAGAACATGGACAGCATTAGATTCCCAATGGGATTGCAAATCACTGTTTCCCCACTGGTTTACAAAAAAAAAAAAAAAAATCTGCAGAGCTGGAAAAGCAGAGACGTTCCAAGACTAGATCAATTGAAGCCCTTTTTAAAATATTGACAAAAATAACCAAATACCATTGAACTATGTTTAGGGAACAATGTATGAATCCCTAAAACCAAACCAAACCATGTCAAACATTGTTAGAGCTATTGGAGGAGGAGTGGTTAAACAAGGCCAGTGGAAATGCTCCCAATCGTGGGTAGAGTCGAGCAGAGCCGAGTTGGGCCAAGTGGGGATGGTGGAAACAGGCTTTAAATCTGATAAAGGATTGTTTGGAATCCGCCACAGTGGCTTAGTTGGTAGAGCAATGGCCTTTGAGCCTGAAGGTTGTGGGTTCGACCCCACCACGAAAGACCGACTCAACTAATGTCTGCTGATGACGTGTCCTTGGGCAAGACACTTTGATGTGTATGTGTCTTCATCAAACTGAAATGTCCCCACTGTCGGTTGAATAAAGGACCTTCTTCTTCTAAATAAACTGCAGACTTTGCGGTGTGTTTTGCGTGTGTCGAAGCCTACCTCCCAGTGCGCTGCTCGCCACGCTGGGCTGAGGCGGTCTCTGAGGCGGTCTGTGAGGTTTGTCCTGATCCGAAACCTCCGGGTAGAGTCTGCTCTCAGGCGCTGCCTCGGAGTTGGTCTCCAGAATGGCGACTCTCGTGGTGATGTTGTCGAGAGTTTCCTGCATTTTGGTTTGCATCTCTCGAGCCGAGTTCCAGGCCGCGCCCACGCACTCGTCCCCGGTGGAAGGCACGCTCACGGCCCGCAGGAGGTGACGGCGCCCCCGCTGGTAGAGCTCCAAGGCGTGGGTCTTGTCACCGGCCTCGTCCGCGCTCAGGCCCTGGTTGATGCACTCAAAGGCAGACTTGTAGCCGTCTTGGATGACCTGCAGCCGGGCGTGGTCAAAGGCATCCTGTTTGGCTTTCTCCATCCCCCTGAAAAACAGATTAGGGGCATATCGTGTTTGAAAAATAAAAGTTCTAAGTTTCAGTGTTACATTACATTATAGTCCATAGTTTCATTAAACCATCAATTTCAAATAAACCGTCCATTTGTTGGTTTATTTACTATTTGTATATGTATTAACAAATGTATGTTTATTTACAAATTGTCAGCTAAATGAGAAGTAAACACTTGGACACTCAAAAGACGCTTCACATTTGTCTAGCCACAGCTGCCCTAGGGCACTCTGACAGAAGCGATGCGACCAGTGTGTGCCATTAGACCCTCCCACCACCAACCACTCACCAGACTCAGGCCCCGTCCCAACACTCGCACTTCCACCCTTGCGCTCCTCATTTGCGCGTTCCCGATAAAGGGTGCGAGTGCGTAGTGTGTCCCAATTCTCCAGGGAGGTCTTTGGCCCCGCCCCCTTTGCGCCCCTGATCCACACTTCGCCGTAGCCTGCATCTATGCGCACTCTGGCGAAGGATATTGCCCATAATTCTTTGCGGTACACACCAAAACGTCGGGAAAATGCATTTAAATATACATTTTGAAATATATATGCAGTATGTGTGTAAATAAGTTTTGCTGTTACTTGGAAAGAAGCATAAACGTCTGATGAAGAATTACGGACATTGTGTTTTAACAATTTAATAACTTTTTAAAACAAGCGTTTATATAACATTCAATTTAAACTTTACACTTAGTACAATAATCTTAGAATGTATAAAAACTGACCAGATAGTTAGTTACCCACATTTAACTTAAAATTATACAGCTATCTCTAATTAAAAACAACTAATATACATGTATTTTAACGTGTGTGAAGCAATTCATTTTGTTTCCCAAAGGGTCAGACAAAATGACCTTTAATGTTTATAAAGTTTAGGTCTGAAAATGACCATCTCTTGACGAGTCAATGACGTAACCTGCACTCAGGGTGCACTGTCCCAATTCTGCCTTTTTTGCACACTTGTAACCTGCGCACTCCAACCCTGGTGTGCACTTCCAACAAATGCACACTTCGTAGAAATGTGTAGGGTGCAGTGTGGGTATTGGGACTGGGCCTCATTCTAAAGTGGATGAAGTGTCTTGCCTAAGGACACAATGATAGTCTGGCAGCCGCTCCACTGTATCAGAGGAACTGCTTTAACATACAGGTATGGCCACCTATATAATATCACCCACAAGATCCTTTGACTTTAAAGCTGGGGGGGGGCAACTTTATTATTATATTTTCAATGAATTAGCAATAGTCTATAATAATGTCTTCTTAAGGTAACATGTGAACAAATCAGACGAAAATATGCTGCATCTTGTCAGGAATCTTGTATTTTATTTTATTTGGTGGTATGAGCTGAGAGCTGATTGGCTGAGTGAGGGTGGTCCTCTCTTTTTCACTTGTCTGTCTGAAATAAACTAATCTAAAGATATGACAGAGGCCAAAAGTGCATGTGTGTGAAAACTATACAGAACCAGACCAGCAACGAACCAATGGAAGGATAAGTCTTTACAGCCTTACTACACAAAATGTTCTAATTGTGCAGAATATATCTTGCACAAGAGAGACTTCATTTTTAACCTTTTTAGCATGTTTTCACACTTCCTGTCTTTTTGCACAACCAGAGTGATTCTCCATTGCGAGATCAATAAAGTGTATCTTCTCTTATCTACCTAGTATTCTAGCAGTAATAGCATCAGTAGAAGCTTTTGGAGTAATAACATTATCAATGAGAAGGTGTAGAAGAAGTTATTTGGACAGTTTCAAAACAACGGAGTAGTTAGACCAATGTAGAATTCATAATAATAACTTATAATACTATAATTAGCAAAGGACTAAATAGAAATGACGTCATGTAAACGAAAGGCTCGTGATCACAATAAACAAACGGAATGTCTGTCTCCTTTTTTTTTTTTTTTTATCATTATAAGAACATGCAACACAACAAACTGGTCATTTATGTCGAAATAAGAACTAGTTTGATGTAAATATTGAAAAAGTAAAATTAATAATAATAATAAAAAATATATAAATAAAAAAATAAACAAACTAGGTCTAAAAAGGTGCTAAAAGGAGGTATTCTAACCCAGTTCAGGACGCACCCAGTTTAATTAGTGAGCTAACAAAGTCCACATGTCTGTTCAAAACAAGCTAAAGTTAAGCTAAATGACAGGCGCGAGGCATTAGCTTACAGGGCTAACGTCACTCACCTGCGCTGGAGAAGCTGGACACTTCTTGAGGCAGCAAATAACTCACTATAATGTCTCGTTTTTAGAGTTTAAACGCAGATCCGAGGCAGTGAGACAGAGGGGCAGCTGGACCCTGGAAGTGGCTGTTTTAATCATGCGTTTATGCTCGTAATCCACTCCCGCTGAGGAGTGTCGAATCTGCGAGTAAGAATTTAAAAGTAAAACACATAACCGCAATAAAGTCAAAGCATGCAATATGATAAACTTTATTGTCCCAAGGGACATTTGCCGTAGGATACAGTGCTACACAGATCTGCATGAATGAATAATATATTTGTTTTAATTACAGGAAAGTGCAGTAGTGCTTTGAAGTCTCTGTTCCAATCAACATCAAAATAAATTATAGGTCTGTGGTAACAAAAATAATACAACAAATTAATAATAAAGTTCACACAGTATTAAAGTGCATTAATTATTAGTTGTTTTTTTGTTTTAAAGTGCCACTGAAGTTGGGACAAATGAGAGCTTGAAGCGGTTTGATAGCTTAGTTACAAATCAAGCATGGCTGGTTGAAAATATCATACATTTGTAATTCCTCCGAGATAAACACGTGACTTGAGCATGGGATTTGAGTTGTTATTATTTACAGTCTATGGTTAAAACACATCTGTTTTATTTTGTAATTTGCTGGAAGCGGAAATGAACCAGACCATAATAACGGTGCAGAACGTTCACTAGATACGGGTGCAATGACCACGCTTTCCACTAGAGAGCGCCACGCACCCACTTCTCGACAGTCATGGGGCGTCCAGGTTAATCATGGATCTATAATAATATGAGGCTAATCCGACAGGACAGATAACCAATTATTATCCGTCTATTTGTTTTATATGTGTATGTTTTTTGTAAAATGTAGACTGTGGGGCATTAAGAATAAGATTAAGAGAATAATAGATCCTTTTATTGTCCAGCAGTGGGAAAATGTCAGTGTTGCATCACCAGTTACAGGACGTAGGAATGAGAAACACACAGCCCAAGATAAATAAACAATAAGAATATACAAAAATAAAATAAAAATCTCTTACTTAGTAAAATCTGTAAGTAAGTAGTAAGTAAGTAAGCTTTATTTATATACCGCCTTTCACAGACCAGAGTCACAAAGCGGTTTACAATTGTTATATATATATATTTTTTTGGGCATTAGTCTCTCACTCCACACAGAGATGGGAGCGGGGTCACCAAACAGGAGGCACATGCCAGAACTATTGTACATATTTTTAGTGGTAGGGGAAACCGGAGTACCCGGAGGAAACCTACGCAGACACGGGGAGAACATGCAAACTCCACTCAGAAAGGCCCTGGTCCGGCCAGGATTCGAACCCAGGACCTTCTTGCTGAGAGGCGAGAGTGCTATCCACTCTGCCACAGTGCCAATCTGCAACTTTAGCATAACTTTAGCAGAAGAATTAGGTATGTGAAATCTATAAACTAGCAAAATATAGAAGCAATTAGTGGTGGTGACAGTTGGTGGGGCATTAGTCTTTGTGGGTTCGCTCCCGCCATGACCCACATCTGCTGTTATTGTGTCCTTGGGCAAGACACTTAGCTGGTGTCATGAGGTTTGGGTGGCAGCTCTGATTGCCCCCCACCCGACCCAGAAATGGATTAAAAAAGGGATGAATGAATGAATAGAAGCATAGTATAGTATAAAGTACAGTGTATTCTCGTGCCACAAATACGTAGCTGCATGTTTACATCTGTACATAATTATATTGAGGAGTAGAGTTTCGACGGAGCGTTTTGGATAAATTGCGAGCTTATTGGGCTATATTAGGCCAATATTGTTCCTGACGTGCAGCCAATGGTAACTTAGTCCTCCTCGTTATTCTTTGATGAGAAAGAAAACAATTGGCTTTTGGCTCATTTCATTCTGGATCAAGTCGGATAAATCAGGACAACGTGCTGTTAATGACCAGTTTGTTTTCATGAGGCTTTGGTACAGTCCGCTTAGCATTATGGAGTGGAGTTTGCATGTTCTCCCCATGTCGTGGCTTTACTTGTGATAAGTAGTAGTAAGTTCAATGTTGTATTTCTATTTACAGTTTGTATAAAGAATTGTACATAATGGTAACTTGCTGCTATAAAAACATACTTGTTTCTGGGTTTCCTTCTTTCCTTCTCCTCTTCATCATCCTCTGTCCTGGTCCCATTGTTGGTCCTGGTCCCATCGTTGGTCCTTGACCCGTCGTTAGTTGGTCACTTACCTCCTCCTTTTCGCCCTCTGTCCTGGTCCCGTCTTGGTCCCGTCCTGGTCCCGTCCTGGTCCTGTCCTGCTCCTGTCCTGGTCCCGTCCTGGTCCCGTCCTGGTCCTGTCCTGCTCCTGTCCTGGTCCCGTCCTGGTCCTGGTCCTGTCCTGGTCCCGGGTCCTGGTCCCGTCCTGGTCCCGTCCTGGTCCTGTCCTGGTCCCGTCCTGGTCCCGTCCTGGTCCCGTCCTGGTCCCGTCCTGGTCCTGTCCTGGTCCTGTCCTGGTCCCGTCCTGGTCCCGTCCTGGTCCCGTCCTGGTCCTGTCCTGCTCCTGTCCTGGTCCCGTCCTGGTCGTGGTCCCGTCCTGGTCCCGTCCTGGTCCAGTCCTGGTCCTGTCCTGGTCCCGTCCTGGTCCCGTCCTGGTCCCGTCCTGGTCCCGTCCTGGTCCCGTCCTGGTCCTGTCCTGGTCCCGTCCTGGTCCCGTCCTGGTCCCGTCCTGGTCCCGTCCTGGTCCTGTCCTGCTCCTGTCCTGGTCCCGTCCTGGTCCTGTCCTGGTCCCGTCCTGGTCCCGTCCTGGTCCCGTCCTGGTCCCGTCCTGGTCCTGTCCTGGTCCCGTCCTGGTCCCTGTCCCGCTCCCGTCCTGGTCCCGTCCTGGTCCTGTCCTGGTCCCGTCCTGGTCCCGTCCTGGTCCCTGTCCTGCTCCCGTCCTGGTCCCGTCCTGGTCCCGTCCTGGTCCTATCCTGCTCCCGTCCTGGTCCCGTCGTTGGTTTGCCACTTACCTCCTCCTTTTCGTCCCCTGCCTGGTCCCGTCCTGGTCCCGTCTTGGTCCTCCTGGTTTCGTCCTGGTCCTGGTCTGTCTCTTACCTCCTCCTCTTTGTCGCCCTCTGTCCTGGTCCTGTCCTGGTCCCGTCCTGGTCCCGTCCTGGTCCCGTCCTGGTCCCGTCCTGGTCCCGTCCTGGTCCCGTCCTGGTCCCGTCCTGGTCCCGTCCTGGTCCCGTCCTGGTCCCGTCCTGCTCCCCTCCAGTTTCCCAAAAACCGGGCTACTTCTTGGTTCTGCATCTTTGGATCTGCCAGTTCTTAAACCTCACCCAGACATAATCAATGACAATCTCAAAGTCCATTATTTTGAGTTTCTTTTGAACACTAACTTGTATAACAGTAAAAATCCAATAATATTCTTCCAACATTTGATTTTAATCAGTTTCAGAAGTTGGTTTTTAGGCCGAAAACCCTCCTCCTCTCTGTATCTGTGTCTGTCTACTCAAATACAATCACTTGGTCTTTTTCCACCAGACAAAACCAGACGTGATATATGAGCTGTGTTTTTTCTTTTATAAATCTTTTCTTCATCCAACCTCGGAGCCTCGAGTCAGTGGAAAACTGTGTCCCAGTGTAACCTGCGTCCCAGCAGAAAGAAAAATACCATAAATACTACCATATACTAAACATGAGCGGTACCTGACTTCATATTGGACGCTGTTCCAGGGATTGGGGGAGCAGCTCCGGCTTGTCCTGCAGAAAGAAGGGCCTGGGTTTGAATCCACCTCCAGGCCTTTCTGAGTGGAGTTTGCACATTCTCCCTGTGTCTGCTCTGGTTTCCCCTACCACTAAAAATATGTCCAATAGTTCTAGCATGCGCCTCCTGTACTGGCCCCGCTCCCATCTCTGTGTGGAGTGAGAGACAAATGCCCAAAATTAACAATTGTAAACCGCTTTGAGACTCAGATCTGCAGTGAAAAGGCGGTATATAAATAAAAGATTACTTACAGTACTTACTTACTTACTTACCTCCTGCTGGGACTCTGAGGAGCACAGGGACTGGCCTCCTGCTGGGACTCTGAGGAGCACAGGGATTAGCCTCCTGCTGGGACTCTGAGGAGCACAGGGACTGGCCTCCTGCTGGGACTCTGAGGAGCACAGGGACTGGCCTCCTGCTGGGACTCTGAGGAGCACAGGGACTGGCCTCCTGCTGGGACTCTGAGGAGCACAGGGACTGGCCTCCTGCTGGGACTCTGAGGAGCACAGGGACTGGCCTCCTGCTGGGACTCTGAGGAGCACAGGGACTGGCCTCCTGCTGGTCCCAGAGTCAGGACTAAACATGTGGAGGCAGCATTTCAGATTTATACAGCTAAAATCCGTCTTCCTGAAAATGTGAGACAGGCTTCTTCTATGACAATGTTCAAATCCAGGTTGAAAACAGTTCTATTTAGCTCCAACAACTGAGGGATTGTACCTTCACTCTTTTTTAACGTACTATGATCAGTTTTTATTGTAATGCCTTGTATTGTTTATGTCTAGTTTTGAGTTCCCTTGTGCATGAGCTGCGCTATACAGATAAAATAATTCTACACAGAGTTCTGCCTTGTTCCTGTTTGGACAAAAGATTTTAATTTACAGTTGGTTTCTTACAAGAAAGGTCCGACCGGGTAAAGTAAGTGTGTTGAAAATGGCCAGACACATATTGGGCGGCTCGGTGGCTGACTGGATAGCACTCTCGCCTCCCAGCAAGAAGGTCCTGGGTTTGAATCCCAATCGGAACAGGGCCTTTCTGAGTGGAGTTTACATGTTCTCCCCGTGTCTGCGTAGGTTTCCTCCAGGTGCTCTGGTTTCCCCTACCACTAAAAATATTCACACTAGTTTAAATCCTCCAGCTCTGGTCCTGACCACGCCGAGCATCAACATCTGGAGATGGGTTCCTGGGCGCTGTTACTACGGCGACCACTGCTCCTGACGTAAGCCTTAGCGGCATCAGGATGGGTAAAATGCAGAGGACAAATTTCCCTACGGGGATTAATAAAGTTCACATTTAAAACTATGCAGTAAAAGGATCAAGGTTCATCAAGGAAATATATCAACAACAATATCAACAGTGGAATGTGTAAAAGTCGAGATCTCCAGTGGCTCCAACACGCCGGGGCCCTCTCTGACTCTGACAGGTGCTGGGGCCTTCAGCCCGGGGCCACAGTTCTGCTTAGATAAAAGAATCTGATCAGGAGGAGCTCGCGGTGATAACTCAGACGTGTATTTTTGCTGTAACTTGCTTTTGACTGATTGTTCGGAGCTGGATCCAAAGAAACTGTCAAACCTGTGATAATAAATTAAGTATTGAGAGAATGACGCTGACGGCAGAGCAGGTCTTCACCACAACGTTACACAATCAATCAATCAATCAATCAATCAATCCTTTATTATCTCACACAGATGGAGAAATTCAGTTCGATGAATAAACATCAAGGCCGGCCGCGTACTCTAATTTTCCGCGCTCCTTATGACAGTTATTCAACAGCAGAGAGCAAAACAGACATATATTTCAACAAACATGGGAGAGACACAGTACATGTGGAAAAACATGCGGATCTTTTTAATGGGAAGTCATCACTCTGGCCCGCCTCGTCCAATATAGCGCGTCAGAGGGGAGTGTGGGTGGGGGAGGTGGAGGGGAAGACCACCATAGACTGAAAAGAGAGGGAGGCAGACATGTAGAAGGGGGGGGGGACTGTAACTGGTGTTCTGGGTTGTGAGTCTGAGTTAAAGAGTCCAGTGTCGGCCTTGAGTGGCCGGTGTAGCAGTGGTGGAATGTGGAGGACAAAGATAGCGCAGGTGACTGCAAACATTGGAGACAAAACAACACATGCCTTGTGGGAAATTTGTATAAGCACTTTAGCTGATCAATGAAAGGCAGTGCAAACTAAAGCCAATATGTCCAAATTATACTGGAACTGGACCCTCCGTTCACCGTTATCCTGAGTTGACCACGTCAGTATGAGGTTCAACCGTGAGGCCCAAGTCCTTCAATCAATCTTTCCACGCGTTTAAGTCCATCCAAAGATCTCACTCCCAGGTCATTAAGGGAATGTTCGATCCGACTCACCCCCCGTTGTGTCCCCACTGTGCCCTCGACCACGACTCTGACCAACTCGCGGAAACTCTCCTTGTTTTCCGCGGACAGCCGCTCGTAAATCTTCTGAGTGGACAGCCCTCCAACTTTGCGGTAGATCAAGCCAACTCCAAATCCAATCAGGAGGAACCCTGCTACCATAAATCCAAAAATGTATATATCCTCAATGTCCTCGATGGACAGTCCCGACAGACAAACGGGGTGCCACTTTTGCCAGTTGTCAAAAACGTACCCAGCAGCCGCAGTACCATCCGGGCAAACGGCATCTCCAGAACCGCCTTTACGTGATGGAAAAATAGTATCAATTGCGTTGAGGGACCAGTTGATTAATTCCATCATTTTTCAAGTTGTACACAGGCAGAATTCTGGGAAAAAAGACAGTCAGGGCAAGAGCAGGAGCAGGCAAGAGACACGTCTGACCTCGAGGAGAGCAGGAGGAGGATGCAGCTTTTACCTCTTGTCAGTCAAAAAGTGAGGGTCAGTTACTTTCCGATAGTTTGGGATACTGCAAGGACTAGTTAGACCCGCCCCTACTGCTTCCTGATTGGTCGCAATGAATTCAAATCCTTGACAGACAGCTGAGGCCCGTCGTCGTCATTGGTCCAACCATCTCCTCCAGTGAATCTTAAATGTAAAATGTTAATCAGGTTGTGTCATGTCATCTGTCGGACTGGCCACGCCCCCTGTGGTCTCTGGAGAAGTGAGTCCCAAGTGTGAGCCAAAGGTGAAGGCCCCCTTGTCTCTGTTAATGGTCCGTGTGCCCATTTTCTTCCGTTCCTGCTATTATACATTGTCCAAGCCATTTTTATATGACTTTCTCTTGAACAGTTGGAGGGAGCTGAGCCAAAAGGCAAAGCTCACGATTTACCGGTCAATCTTCGTTCCCTCCCTCACCTATGGTCATGAACTTTGGGTAATGACCGAAAGAACGAGATCGCGGATACAAGCGGTCGAAATGAGCTTCCTCCCTTAGAGATAGTGGAGCTCAGTCACACGGGAGGAGCTCGGAGTAGAGCCGCTGCTTCTCCACGTCGAGAGGAACCAGTTGAGGTGGCTCGGGCATCTGTTCCCGGAGAGTGGCTCCCGGAGGACGTCCCACCGGGAGGAGACCCCGGGGAAGATCAAGGACACGCTGGAGGGACGTGTGGAGCTGGAGGAAGTGTGAGGAGAGGGAAGTCTGGGCGTCTCTGCTTAGACTGCTGCCCCCACGACCCGGCAACGGATGAAGCGGAAGAACATGGATGGATGGTTGGTCATAGCATATTTCTTTGCAGCCCTGGTCTTGGGATCCCAGACCGATGCCTCCCTGGTCTTTCAACGTCAGTCTATGCAGTATACAATCCCAGTTCTGTCTACAGCTGGAAACCATGTGATCCTCGGAGCGTGGAGGACATGAAGAAGTTGTTGTTATCAGTGTAAGTCTAATACATACGTTCTCCTCCACACAGATAACTACGCTCCTGGTGATCTTCCTCCCACAGATGTGCTGCAGCCTCCTCTCCGTCGGTGATGACTGCAGCGGGACCTCATCTCTCAGGAATAATCAAACCCAACGCTTCTCATCTCGGTCCTAAATGTTTCTTTCAACTTTTGGAGCAGGATTGTAAAGATGTTTGTTGTGTCGGACTTTTCACGTGAACAGTGTATTATCGGGAGAACGGGACGAGGAATTTGGATTTTTAAGGAAGAAAGAATGAGAGAAATGGGAAAATTAGGGACAGTTGGGAGCACTTTGAAAACTGCTGCAGAATGAATGACATGTGTTGAATGTAGAGTGATGGAGAACAGATGAACTGTCAGACTGTAACTTATGTCTCTGTGACCAGGGACTGCAGATGGATCTAACATCTCTCTATAATCTGGTACAAACGTATCTGTCTCTATGAGCTTAATACATTAAACATTGCTAATGTATCCGGTTAATTAAAATTTTTTATTCAGCCATTATTATTATTATTGGCTTGTTAAAGGGCCCATATTTCTGCTTCATGTTTCATAGTCCATCCTATGATATGTGTGATAATACAATACAACTCTGCTCTCTGCTGTTGAATAACTGTCATAAGGAGCGCGGAAATATGTTAATTATGTTAAGTATGCAGCTAGCCTTGATGTTTATTCATCAAACTGAATTTCTCCATCTGTGAGATAACAAAGGATTGATTGATTGAACACTGCAAAATAATAGCGTTGTATTTTTGCCTTTTTTATAGCCTTTTATAAATATGTTTTGTAGTTCACAGTGACATACAGCGAGTTAGCATCACCGCACGGATCTAATAATGTGGGAATAACACAGGTTTTAAGATCAGCTTTTGAGAAAGTCCAGTTTCATGAGAACTGAAGGTCTTTGGGGGACACTCGCAGAAAAGCTCATCGTGGATTTCAGAGGCAGATCCTGTCGATAAAGTCCAGCCACATTTGCTTCCTTTCTTATTCACTGATTGAAAGATGGCTCTCTAACTAAAAAGTAAGTACTGTAAGTAATCTTTATTTATATACCGCCTTTCACAGACCAGAGTCACAAAGAGGTTTACAATTGTTATTTTTGGGCATTAGTCTCTCACTCCACACAGAGATGGGAGGGGCCAGTACAGGAGGCGCAGACCTATTGTACATGTTTTTAGTGGTAGGGGAAACCGGAGCACCCGGAGGAAACCTACGCAGACACGGGGAGAACATGCAAACTCCACTCAGAAAGGCCCTGCTCAGACTGGGATTTGAACCCAGGACCTTCTTGCTGAGAAGCGAGAGTGCTATCCACTCAGCCACCGTGATAAAAAACGACTTTGATTGTGTGTGTGAAGCTATAATAGAACTTTTATGCGAGACCTTTAAATATGGAAACATCCTGACACCAGAATAAAGTGGTAATTATTATTATTTATTATTGCTAATCTTTATTTCAGATAGAATTGGTCCATACAACAACAAACACAGGACATGCAATCAACTGTACAGAGCCAGTCCCAGCAGATCATAATGACAATGTTTTTATCTCATGCTTTTTAAACACACTGCAACAAAACTACATTGAAAAAGTGAGAACCTTTTTTCCTTGAGTTCAGCAGATTTGATGCTTCTGAAACAGTCCGAGCCGTAACAGCGTCTTTACCGAGCCCTGAACAATGGACGCTCTCCACAGGCTTTGATTTTCATGGCTTTTCCTTGGCACAGTAACAGTTCTATAAATCTGAGCACAGACCGGTCTCAGGAGAGTCTACAGACCGGTCTCAGGAGAGTCTACAGACCAGTCTCAGGAGAGTCTACAGAGCGGTCTCAGGAGAGTCTACAGAGCGGTCTCAGGAGAGTCTACAGAGCGGTCTCAGGAGATTCTACAGAGCGGTCTCAGGAGAGTCTACAGACCGGTCTCAAGAGAGTCTACAGACCGGTCTCAGGGGAGTCTACAGAGCGGTCTCAGGGGAGTCTACAGAGCGGTCTCAGGAGAGTCTACAGAGCAGTCTCAGGAGAGTCTACAGACCGGTCTCAGGAGAGTCAACAGAGCGGTCTCAGGGGAGTCTACAGACCGGTCTCAGGGGAGTCTACAGACCGGTCTCAGGAGAGACTACAGAGCGGTCTCAGGAGAGTCTACAGAGCGGTCTCAGGGGAGTCTACAGAGCGGTCTCAGGAGAGTCTACGGACCGGTCTCAGGAGAGTCTATGGACCGGTCTCAGGAGAGTCTACGGACCGGTCTCAGGAGAGTCTACGGACCGGTCTCAGGAGAGTCTACGGACCAGTCTCAGGAGAGTCTACGGACCGGTCTCAGGAGAGTCTACAGAACGTTGGCTCTTGGGCCAAGAGCCAACTTTTGGTCCATCCTGTAAAGACGTTTTTGAGAGGTCTGCCAATGCACACTTTTCTTCAAGACTCGGAAAGTGACGAACCAAAGGCAAATAAGATTGTTATCATGCAGCTGCAAAAGAAGAAAAATGGGGGAGAGTTTACAGCAAGAGACACTTCTGCCTCTACTGTTCAATGTCCTGCCACAAAATGTCCCGTCATTTGACTAGAAAACATGGAAATGAAAGTGACGTAGCCAGAGCATTGGCTCTACCTGTGAAATCTAAAGCACGTAAACTTCACTTTGATTTGATCAGGAATAGTGGAAACCGTGAGCACAATTTTGAGGTTTTAAAGGCCGGCATTGGAACTTTAGTCCCAGCTAAACAGCCAAATTGCCCAGTTAAATCCAGTGAGTTTTTGCACTGTATAGACTGTGGGGCATTGTTTAAGCGAAAGTCGCTGTGGAGGCATGTGGCCAGGTGCCGGCTTTCACAGAAAGATGCCCAGGCTAAACCAGGCTAAACCAGGTAGAAGTAGGGTCCAGTCCCTCTGCTCCCTAGCCCAGCCTGTACCGGAGGGCATCAGCAAAAAGCTGTGGTCTTTAATTTGGGCAATGCATCAGGATGAGGTCACGGGTGTTGTCAAAGCAGAAAAGGGGATTCTGAGACTCGGAGAGCACCTGTACTTAAAACACGGGCATGATAAGACTAAGCATGATTACATTAGGCAGAAAATGAGAGAAGTCGGTAGGTTAATTAACGAAGCAAAAACCGCAGGGAAACTGAAAACAATTAAGGATTTCTTTATTCCTTCCAACTTTAACCATGTGATTGATGCAGTCAGGTCTGTGGCTGGATATGATGAGGAAACAAATCAATACAAGACTCCATCCTTGGCCCTCAAACTCGGCCATAGCCTCAGAAAGCAGATATTCTTGAATGTGACTCAAAAATTGAGCATTGTGTTGATGAACTATTTATTAAAAACCTCCAACGAAGCCGGCTGCTTTTTGAGAAGAGGTGGGACGTCTGTGTTTCTTCTGCTGCCCTACAGACCCTCCGGCAAGCCAAGTGGAACACTCCGGACCTGCTCCCTCTGACTGAGGACGTTAGAGCCATGCATGCACATATTGAGGTATGTCGACCTGAATATGTGCAAACCCTAATAAGTGAGCCAACGTCTAAGCATTGGTCTAAACTGGCAGTTTTGACTCTTTGTGAGGTCATTATTTTCAATCGAAGAAGGGAAGGTGAGGTTTCAAAGATGCCACTGACAGCGTTTACCTTAAGAAGTAAGACTGGGATCCATTCTGACATTGCTCTGGGACTGTCCCAACTTGAGAAAAAGCTGTGTCAGCATTTTCAACGCATTGAAATTAAAGGGAAAAGAAGTCGGAAAGTGCCGGTTCTTTTGACTCCTGAAATGATTGCTTGGATGGAGGTGCTGGTGGAGAACAGAAGGGCCTGTTCCATCTCTGACCATAACCCATACTTCTTTTCCCGCCCGGGCGCAGACACCCACATCAGGGGATCAGACTCCCTACAGCAGGTAGCCAAAGAATGTGGTGCGGTGCATCCAGAGATGCTATCCTCAACCAAACTTAGAAAGCACACAGCTACTATGTCTACAGTTCTCAATATGAAAGAGAATGAAATGGACATACTTGCCAACTTCCTCGGCCATGACATTCGCATCCACAGACAATATTACAGACTACCAGAGGGGACACTGGAGCTGGCCAAAATCAGCAAAGTGTTGATGGCCATGGAGCAGGGAAGAGTGACGGAATTCAAAGGAAAGAGCCTCGACCAGATACAAATTGAGCCTGAAGGTAATTCTTGATATTATTAAAATATGTATGATTTTTTTCCCCTAAAGGCCACTTGTATTTTTATTTTCTGTGCGACAGGGAGAGCAGTAGAGATCCTCTCACAAACGGACGGGCTAAAAGAAACTTCAAGCAGAGAACCTTCAACCATTCATCCAGATGCACCCCATGGTAGTGGCAGTGCCCCTTCGGTAAGTGTACCAGGTGGGGGATTACAGCCAGGCTGCTTGGTCCTAACCCTGGGAGTGTATATTGCTAATATATTTTTATTTCTCTCCCTAGAACGTGTAAGAAAGCCATGGTCTGCATCTGAGGTGAAGGCTGTGGAGAAGACCATGACACCTTTCATACAGACTGGAAAGGTCCCTGGGAAGTCTCACTGCCTGGCCTGGCCTGGCCTGGCCTGCATTAATGCCTCACCAGATGACCTTAGACATCGGACATGGAGTGGCATTAAATTCTATGTCAAAAATAGAATCACTGCAATTCGAAAAAAAAATCTAAAATAAAATTCCTTTAAAAGAGTTGTTTGGTTTCTATTGACTGTTTTGTATTACTTAAAGTAGTCCCAGTAAAAAAAGATTATGTCTATGGGTCCCATTCTGAACGGCCCTGTCAAAGGGACCCACCAGGTAACAAAAACGTGTATGTGTGTGTCTGTGTGTGTATGTATGAGAGTATGTGCATGTGTCTGAGTAAATGTGTGCGCCTGTGTGTGTATCTGAGTGTGTGTGTGTGTGTCTGATTGAGTGTCTGTGTGTCTGTGTGTGTCTGAGTGTGTATTGTAAATGTCAATAAAGTTTCTTATATTATGTGTGTGTCGTTGCTTGAGTATGTGCGTGTCTTTGTGTAGTCCTGATGCAGTAACTCCCAGAGCAGTCAACTTCACTGTGAACCCAAACACATTCACAAAAGTCTAAAAAACTGAGAAAATCAGTGGCAACACTTTACTAAAGACACCTTGTTTACTCCGAAACAGGACTGGAATAAAACTTCATCCATGAGCACTTCCCTATTTGGCTTCATTGCGCCTGAGTGTTAGCATTGTCCATCTATTTACAGTCTATGGGTGTTTTTATTTATTTATCTGTGACCGATCTGTCAATCTGCAACACTTCTCTATAGACTGTTCACCTTTGCAGATCTGGAAATATGGTTTTAATCCCGCAATAAAAAGACGCTAACGAGGAGCTGTAAAGTTTATTTGTTGTAAACTTCTAAATAATTGAGGTCTGATTCTGGATCGAGGACTTAGGGCTCGATGTGACGGGTTATTAGAGTTGGGAAAAGTGTATTCTCAGGTCTGAAATGACTGTGTTACGGTAAAAACTGAACTGTTAGCTTCCTTGCTACGTGTGTTTACAGGGTTTAGCGTGATGCTAGGTCGCCGTGTTAGCAGGCGCGTTCACAGGCAGAGGAGCGAGAAATGACTATAATTTCACAAGTTTTGAGAAGAAGAATTTATTTACCGTTTGCAGTAAAACCACATTGGAAAAACTGTGCAAGACTCTGCGCAAAATTACACTTCTGTGCTTTGGATGGGCTGTGAAACAAGAAGGAGAACGCGATATGGGACCTTTAAGCACCATTTCATTTCTTGTGTTCGAGCTGTTTGATTCTCTGATCTGTTTTTGATGAATACACAACGTTGATTCGCTCCGAGACGACTGCTGTTGTGATTTAGGGCTACACACAAACACAGAGAACGCATTGAGACAGATTTCCAACCTTTTTATTTGGCAATTCCCTTTTTAAAACATTCACGAAGGTGGTCTCTCTCTCCCCGACTTTACCCACGGAATCCTCCAGAAGCATCGTTAAAGCATGTACAAACCCACATCAGAAAATTGGCTTTATTGGTTATATTAAACTGACAAAACCGGCTCCAGGATACAAAATTCCAAAACATAAAAAACCCGACGTCTCTGCCCTCATTGCACTTTCCATCTCCTTTTTTCATAACACAAATTTCACAACAATCTTTTCGAGACGCAGCCAGATCCGTTGTTTACCGTCTCACAAATGCTGCTTTTTTACGGCCGCGTTAACAGCTCGCAGGAGATTTTTTTGTTTTATTGCTTTTTGGACAAGCTGAGACAGTCTCCATCGAGAGGCAACAAACGTCCACAGCACCATTGTCGATTCTCTCCGTTTTGGTCCGTTGGTTGTTTTCCGAGCGTCTCATGTGGAGGTGGTTAGTTTCTGACTCGTTGTCTGCCAGCTGGGAGGAGGAGAAAGCAGAACATATATTTTAGTTCAGTTATTTAACACATTCTGGGAGCGGAGCCGGAGTCGGGGTCTCGGAGGACGATGCGAGATCTGAGTCTGGCATCTGGGATTTTACCGCAATTAAAAAATCAGCTGAATGCCCTGATGAAGGCCCTGATATTGTTCTACATTGAGATCAATAAAGTTTATCTTATCTTATGAAGGCCACAGTTGGGACGAAACTCTGGAATGACAAATGCTAAAGAAGTAATTTTTATCTAAAGGTTTCATGGAGCGCTGTGGAGCTGACACTATAAAAACATATTCATTATTTCAAACTGGAGGAGTGTCCATTAGTGCTTGGTTGATTACATACAAATACTGTACAGTCCTGTCAAAAAGTGAATCACAAACGTCTACTGTGTTCAACATTTTATTCATGCTTTAAAAATGATTATTTTGTCCTGATGTTTACATTTCTAAAGCACCTACAGTGGCTCAGTGACCTCCTGCTGCATCTCACTACACTTTAACAGTGACAGTGTGTATGTACTGGTTTCTTCAGTATTAAAATGTTATTATACAAAATATTTCATTCAGAGACCAGAATCAATATTATACTAAATGTGATGATCTGGTTTTAAATAATTACACATTCACAGTAAAAAGAATGTGTCTCCCACAGCTTATACAGCTTCTCTGTTGTCAATGTTTTTTTATTCTAAAATAACTTTCCCACAATCTACTGCATTTCAGAACGAGACCATGACTCTAGTATTTACAGGAAAAGCAGACTTTATCGCAGACTCACTTCTATACGTAGTCATTTACTCTAAACTACTTCTTTGAACAGAAACCTGAGCCCCACATTAGAACGACAGGATTCACATAAACAACCTTTTCTTGGAGTAAAAAGGTGATTTTGGAGGAAACCAAAAACTATCAAATGCAGAATAAAGGTTGCACACCATCGTGCCATGCGCAAAGCAAGATCTGGATCTGAGGAGAAAAGCTCTGAAGCCGAATCACTGAACCGTAAGGACCAATGGATCTGTGCTTTGTGTTTGCACTTTAGTTCTGACCCGGGCACATCTGGGACAGAACCAGGACCAAAACTTGAGCCCATGATGGAGACTTGACAGGACCATTGCAGTGTTTAGCACTGCTCCTGCTGGACCCATGTGTGTTAACTCTGTGCTGGACACATGTGTGTTAACTCTGTGCTGGACACATGTGTGTTAACTCTGTGCTGGACCCATGTGTGTTAACTCTGTGCTGGACCCATGTGTGTTAACTCTGTGCTGGACCCATGTGTGTTAACTCTGTGCTGGACCCATGTGTGTTAACTCTGTGCTGGACCCATGTGTGTTAACTCTGTGCTGGACACATGTGTGTTAACTCTGCTGGACACATGTGTGTTAACTCTGTGCTGGACCCATGTGTGTTAACTCTGTGCTGGACACATGTGTGTTAACTCTGTGCTGGACCCATGTGTGTTAACTCTGTGCTGGACCCATGTGTGTTAACTCTGTGCTGGACACATGTGTGTTAACTCTGTGCTGGACCCATGTGTGTTAACTCTGTGCTGGACCCATGTGTGTTAACTCTGCTGGACCCATGTGTGTTAACTCTGCTGGACACATGTGTGTTAACTCTGTGCTGGACCCATGTGTGTTAACTCTGTGCTGGACCCATGTGTGTTAACTCTGTGCTGGACCCATGTGTGTTAACTCTGTGCTGGACACATGTGTGTTAACTCTGTGCTGGACCCATGTGTGTTAACTCTGCTGGACCCATGTGTGTTAACTCTGCTGGACACATGTGTGTTAACTCTGTGCTGGACCCATGTGTGTTAACTCTGTGCTGGACCCATGTGTGTTAACTCTGTGCTGGACCCATGTGTGTTAACTCTGTGCTGGACACATGTGTGTTAACTCTGTGCTGGACCCATGTGTGTTAACTCTGTGCTGGACCCATGTGTGTTAACTCTGTGCTGGACACATGTGTGTTAACTCTGTGCTGGACCCATGTGTGTTAACTCTGTGCTGGACCCATGTGTGTTAACTCTGTGCTGGACCCATGTGCGTTAACTCTGTGCTGGACCCATGTGTGTTAACTCTGTGCTGGACCCATGTGTGTTAACTCTGCTGGACACATGTGTGTTAACTCTGTGCTGGACCCTTGTGTGTTAACTCTGTGCTGGACCCATGTGTGTTAACTCTGTGCTGGACCCATGTGTGTTAACTCTGTGCTGGACCCATGTGTGTTAACTCTGTGCTGGACCCATGTGTGTTAACTCTGTGCTGGACCCATGTGTGTTAACTCTGTGCTGGACCCATGTGTGTTAACTCTGTGCTGGACCCATGTGTGTTAACTCTGTGCTGGACCCATGTGTGTTAACTCTGTGCTGGACCCATGTGTGTTAACTCTGTGCTGGACACATGTGTGTTAACTCTGTGCTGACGCTCTGAAAGCCTGGTCCTTATAATCAAAGCTCATGGCTCATGAACCAAAGGTCCTTTATCGCAGACTCACTTCTATACGTAGTCATTTACTCTAAACTACTTCTTTGAACAGAAACCTGAGCCCCACATTAGAACGACAGGATTCACATAAACAACCTTTTCTTGGAGTAAAAAGGTGATTTTGGAGGAAACCAAAAATTTTCAAATGCAGAATAAAGGTTGCACACCATCGTGCCATGCGCAAAGCAGGATCTGGATCTGAGGAGAAAAGCTCTGAACCGTAAGGACCAATGGATCTGTGCTTTGTGTTTGCACTTTAGTTCTGACCCGGGCACATCTGGGACAGAACCAGGACCAAAACTTGAGCCCATGATGGAGACTTGTCAGGACCATTGCAGTGTTTAGCACTGCTCCTGACAGACACATGTGTGTTAACTCTGCTGGACACATGTGTGTTAACTCTGTGCTGGACCCATGTGTGTTAACTCTGTGCTGGACACATGTGTGTTAACTCTGTGCTGGACCCATGTGTGTTAACTCTGTGCTGGACCCATGTGTGTTAACTCTGTGCTGGACACATGTGTGTTAACTCTGTGCTGGACCCATGTGTGTTAACTCTGCTGGACACATGTGTGTTAACTCTGTGCTGGACACATGTGTGTTAACTCTGTGCTGGACACATGTGTGTTAACTCTGTGCTGGACACATGTGTGTTAACTCTGTGCTGGACACATGTGTGTTAACTCTGTGCTGGACACATGTGTGTTAACTCTGCTGGACCCATGTGTGTTAACTCTGTGCTGGACACATGTGTGTTAACTCTGTGCTGGACCCATGTGTGTTAACTCTGTGCTGGACCCATGTGTGTTAACTCTGCTGGACACATGTGTGTTAACTCTGTGCTGGACACATGTGTGTTAACTCTGTGCTGGACACATGTGTGTTAACTCTGCTGGACCCATGTGTGTTAACTCTGCTGGACCCATGTGTGTTAACTCTGTGCTGGACCCTTGTGTGTTAACTCTGTGCTGGACCCATGTGTGTTAACTCTGTGCTGGACCCATGTGTGTTAACTCTGTGCTGGACACATGTGTGTTAACTCTGTGCTGGACCCATGTGTGTTAACTCTGCTGGACCCATGTGTGTTAACTCTGTGCTGGACACATGTGTGTTAACTCTGTGCTGGACCCATGTGTGTTAACTCTGTGCTGGACACATGTGTGTTAACTCTGTGCTGGACCCATGTGTGTTAACTCTGCTGGACCCATGTGTGTTAACTCTGTGCTGGACCCATGTGTGTTAACTCTGTGCTGGACACATGTGTGTTAACTCTGTGCTGACGCTCTGAAAGCCCGGTCCTTATAATCAAAGCTCATGGCTCATGAACCAAAGGTCCTGCGTCTTCTCTCAGTCCAAACCTCCGTCTGAGAACACTGGTCCAACCAGAGACTTTTCCTGCATTGTTCAGTCCTACCAGACCACCGCTCATGGTCGGGATCTCATGGTACGCTACAATATACCTGATGATCTAATGAAAGGTTTCTGTCCGGACAGGACTGTCTCTGTGAGAGTCTGTAGGTCTCTGTGAGAGTCTGTAGGTCTCTGTGAGAGTCTGTAGGTCTGTGAGAGTCTGTAGGTCTGTGAGAGTCTGTAGGTCTGTGAGAGTCTGTAGGTCTCTGTGAGAGTCTGTAGGTCTGTGAGAGTCTGTAGGTCTCTGTGAGAGTCTGTAGGTCTCTGTGAGAGTCTGTAGGTCTGTGAGAGTCTGTAGGTCTGTGAGAGTCTGTAGGTCTCTGTGAGAGTCTGTAGGTCTGTGAGAGTCTGTAGGTCTCTGTGAGAGTCTGTAGGTCTCTGTGAGAGTCTGTAGGTCTCTGTGAAGTCCAAACAGTCCTTTCCTGGGATAAAGCAGCCACAGGGAAAGGGTCAGCCGGTCTATGGACTATGGAAATATGGAAACATGAGCTCTGGGTTCAGGAAAAGAGCATCTGCTGATCATATTTGTAGCTTCTGATGTGGGCCCAAAGTGCTCACAAATATGCACCGTGTGTCAACCTCCACTGTCTGACTGATGAACCAGAGCTGATCTGTTCTTCTTCATGTCAAACGCCAGTTCCCACATGCATGGATAATCACGGGGACTTCTCACAACTGTTCCAAAAGCTGGCTCTGATAATTGTTCGGTAGAAATTAGACGTTTCTCCAAATCTACCAAGGCATAATGCAGGCTCTAATATCCAACCCAGGGAGAAACGTGTACTGTAATCCTATTATACACTCTCAAATGTTTGCTTGAATTAATGAAATTATATTTTGCACTGGCCATGTCCAAATAAACTGAAACCTGAGGACTGTGAAACCAACTCTTCCAATAGTCTGTGATCTGCTAGAGTCAGATTTCATCACATGTTAGTGGGAAAAGTCCATTAAGTACATCAGTTTTGCTTTTCTCCACTGGAATGCAAAACTGAACGGCACATGTCGACATCCTCACAATAATTGGACTCAGAAGCTGCTAAAACCCAAACGAGCACGCAGCAGATGGATGAATGCTGTTTGTTTGCCAGGCTAACTGCACACAGGGAGCAGCAGCTGTAGCATTATGGAGTAGCGGAGCTTTGAGATGCAATAGCAAAGACAGCAGCAAAACAACAAGCTGTGCATTACAAACCAGCCAAGCCTCAAACGCTTTGGATTGGCTGAGCAGGAGCTTTAGCGGCTGCAGGAGTTCGACCTATACCTTTTCTCGCAGGAGTTCTCCTTGAACCACCAGCTACGAGGCAAACACATGTTCACATCATGAAGGATAAACAAGGGGGTGGTAAAACAACTGTACTCTACACATCTCTGGACTCACCTTGGACACTTTTGGCGAGTCGGTCAGCGTCCATTGTCCCCTCAAGAGTGGAGAGGTCTGTGGCAACAGAAAGACACACAAGTCAGTCTCGGTACAGCCCTGGACCTACAGACCTGGATCTACAGACTTGGATCTACAGCCTTGGATCTACAGACTTGGATCTACAGACTTGGATCTACAGCCTTGGATCTACAGCCTTGGATCCACAGCCTTGGATCTACAGACTTGGATCTACAGACATGGATCTACAGACATGGATCTACAGACCTGGATCTACAGACATGGATCTACAGCCCTGGATCTACAGACTTGGATCTACAGACTTGGATCTACAGACTTGGATCTACAGACTTGGATCTACAGTCCTGGATCTACAGACCTGGATCTACAGCCTTGGATCTACAGCCCTGGATCTACAGCCCTGGATCTACAGTCCTGGATCTACAGCCCTGGATCTACAGCCCTGGATCTACAGCCCTGGATCTACAGCCTTGGATCTACAGCCCTGGATCTACAGCCCTGGATCTACAGACTTGGATCTACAGCCTTGGATCTACAGACATGGCTCTACAGCCCTGGATCTACAGCCCTGGATCTACAGCCCTGGATCTACAGATATGGATCTACAGCCCTGGATCTACAGCCCTGGATCTACAGACCTGGATCTACAGCCTTGGATCTACAGACTTGGATCTACAGACTTGGATCTACAGACTTGGATCTACAGCCTTGGATCTACAGACCTGGATCTACAGCCTTGGATCTACAGACCTGGATCTACAGCCCTGGATCTACAGACATGGATCTACAGCCCTGGATCTACAGCCCTGGATCTACAGCCCTGGATCTACAGCCCTGGATCTACAGCCCTGGATCTACAGCCCTGGATCTACAGACCTGGATCTACAGCCCTGGATCTACAGACCTGGATCTACAGCCTGTGCATTGCTGGTAGTGGACCCCTCTCTCTCTCTCTCTCGCTCGCTTCTCCAAGGTTTCTCACTCTGTTCCCTACTATTTTTCTTTTGGAGCGGTTTCTTGCAGATGCAGGAGGCTCGTAGGGCAGTGATGATCCAGGGCATTTATGGACAGGTCTTCCCGCTCCCAATGGACCCTATATGTTTGTTGTTATTGTATTTCCGAGAGAACTGCTGTAAGGATTTAGGGCTGAAATGTTAAGTCAGTTCATAAAAGTCTCTGTAATCTTTAACTAAAAGCATAAAATATAATCAAACTGTTTAACTTATGGCCGCTTCAGTCTGAAAGAGTAGAGGTGAGCACAACATTTACTAGCATCAAATCTCCAAAACTCTCTAATTACCACTTGCACTAATAAAAATACATCAGATTTTGGGGATAATTTAGGGATTAAAAACAGGACAGGAGACCTCAGAACGTGACTGGGGAAGTTTGAAGTCACTATAAAGCAGAATGTGTCTTCTTCAAAAGCCTTTTCTATATTCTCTCATGACATAAGAGGTCTCAGAGCAGAGGAGAGTTCTTCTTTGGGTCTGCAGAAAGCATCCGTCCATCTGCTTCCCCAGTGGCTCCTCACTCACCGTCCGCTGGATCACGTTGCACAAGGAACACATCATTCATGTTTTTTTTGTCTTTGACCAAAGTTTGTTGTCAGGTTCGGGTTTTATACTGAGCCAGTCTCTGAACTGTCTACCTGAAAACGGAGGTTGTATTTACTGTATGTTTGTCTTTGTAATCTTTTAACTGTGTCACCCGAAGTTAACTTTCCATTGATTCTTGAGTTTTGTGCTCAGAAAATGTCTTCCATCTGGCCCTCCCCCTGCCCACGGGTCATTATGGGCCAATGGATCTAATGTTCAAAGGTATTGTTGCATTTCGAACTGTTTGATTCACTGATCTGCTGTTGGGGAATCGACAACTTTGGGAAGTCCACTGAGATACTAAGATAACTGTGGTTGTTGTGATTTAGTGTATTTAAAGCTGCACTAACTGACTTTGGGATTTTGAAGCAGCAGACTCGCTGGCCTCTCTCTTTCTGCTCCCCTCCCTGCACCCACGAAGCTATCGTCCCCCACACACACCCACTGTTGGGACGGAGTTAGCGTCTCTCAATATGGATAATACATGGATATGGATTTTCACGTGGATGGTGTGACCATAGAACGATAGAACCGGGAAGCGCGGAGGAACGAGACTTTCTTTTGGATGGCTGTCTCGCTGTGTAAGCAGTAACCGGTGACGAAGACGAGGAAGTTTCAGGTTAGCTCCTCGGCTTGTTGTGCTAACTCAGCCATCTATGCTAACAGGGACCTGTAGATTTCTCACGAAAGTGGGGGCCAGTGGTCCACTGTGATTGGTCACAATCTGCGACCCGAAACACATTCTCTTCCTTGTTTCATCAAAACTCGATCTAAAATATAATGTCACGCCAGCACAAATCTGCACTACTTTTTCTTCAAAAGGACGTATATCCCAATGCCCTACATGGACATGGATAGCACTTTAGTAATTAATACAAAAATAAAGTCAGTTAGTGCAGCTTTAAGTATACATTGAATAGAATTGTCTACAGACTACCATTGACTATTCCAAAAAGTCAGGGTTAGGGCCGTTTTGTACATAAAATGAATAAACTTTTTAGAAATAAACACACATTTTGATGAGGATTAAAACATCTAGTATCTGTGTGAGGTGTCGTTTTCTGACCTTCCAGCTCAACATTGGTGGTTCCGGCGCTGTAGGAGAACTGAGGACCACCTGGAAGAGACATTAAAGCAGATTAAGCCAAAGTCGTATCATCACGGTGTCCGGAGGTTCAGTCCAGTCCTACCTGAGACTACTCTGGTGACTTTGGTGAGGGTGGGCTCTCCTTCGATGACCCGCGTGACTTTGGTGATGCTGGGTTCGCCCTCGATGACCCTGGTTACCTTGGTGATGCTGGGTTCGCCCTCGATGACCCTGGTTACCTTGGTGATGCTGGGTTCGCCCTCGATGACCCGGGTGACTTTGGTGAGAGAGGGCTGGCCTTCAATCACCCGCGTCACCTTCGTCACTTCGGGAACTGAGAACAAAGAGCTCCATCACTTCTTGGATCTCAGAGAAAAAGCCATCCCACTAGAACCAGAATTCCTTGTAGGACAGCGGAGATCTAGTCCTGTGACACAGATAACCCTGACTGCTCCAAGAAATTCTGTCCATAAAGACGGTGAACCGGACCGGTGACAAAGGGCAACACCGGGAACAGGTCTGACTTACTGCCAGCAATGGGAACACAGCTCTGGCTCCGGTCATAGAGGGACCGGACGGCCTTCAGCAGAGGACCCCAGACCCCGTACTCCCGGAGAACCCCCCAAAGGACACCAGGGGAACACGGTGAAACGCCTTCTCCAAATCCACAAAGCACATGTGACTGTGGCAAGCTTCCATGATCCTTGAGTATCCGATGGAGAGTGTCCAGTGTTCCTCGACCGGGACCAAAACCATCGTTCGAAGTCTCCTCTCCAGTAGAATTAGAGCAGGGGAGTCAAACCGGTCCTCAAAGGGCAGGTGTGGCTGCAGGTTTTTAGTTTCAGCCTGAGCAGGAGGACCAGACTCAGCACATTCTCTCAGGTCAGTCCACTTTCACCTGAAGATTTGAGAGAAGGGTGGAGTCTGCTTTACTCCTGCTCGGGTTGAAACTAAAAACCTTCAGTCCTGAACTCGAGGATCAATACTGAAGACAAACTACTCAAGAACTGTTTACTAATGTCATTTCGTGAGACCTTTTCAAACCTGTGTTAGTGTAAAAATGTGATTGTGTTCTGCAGGTTTGAAATAAATCAAACTAACTAACTATCTTATAATTTTATAATGATACAGATATTTTAGAAATCTAATTAGGACTTAAAATATCACGTGTTGATCAACGCCAATGACCTGCTGTTCCTCAAACTGAAATCTGTTAATGATAGGATTAGGACGCAAGACACATTAGAGTGGCACCACCTGTAGGTCAAAGCTGATCCCAACAGACCTCTGAAGCTCAGCAGGGCAGGGCCTGGTTAGTACTGTGATGGGCGACCTTTGGGAACACAAGGTGCCACAGTGGAGGAGGCTGTGGCTGTAAAGTGCAAAACTGCGGTTGTGTCCTTAGGCAAAACACTTGGCACATACTGGTCGACAAGCTTCCGTCAGTGTGCCCCAGGGCAGCTGTGGCTACAGTAGTAGTTTATCACCACTGTGTTTGGAGCGAATGAATAATGTCATGTGCGCTGTATCAAACCGATGCATTATCATTTTAACGATTGAACCGTTGCACTAATAGAATGAGATTTACTGCAGAAAGAACCTCCGCACAGACACAGAACATGTCGCCTCCTGCGCGGACGCTCAGGATCGTGGTCATTATCAAACCCAGAGAAGCGTTAATAGCAAAGCGCTGATGGGTTGACAGCTCGCGGGTTCTGAAGACGTATGAAGCTCGTACCTGTTTCAACGCGAGTGATGATCCTCTCTGTCAACATCCAAACATCAGGAGGTTAAAGTCCATAATGAGAGCTGCGTGTGCGAGAATATTACTGACACTTACTCAGAAATGTGAGAGGAATTTCCTGGTACCGGAATCCTGAGATGAACTGCAGACAATGAGGAGTTTAGTTACTACTACTTACTAAAATAATCCCTAAACATGAAAACACATCAAACCCAATCCATAGAATATGTACTTGTGGCTCTCAGAAGGTTTTAAAAGAGACATAATTCAAAGTATAGTGTTTTGAGATTTTAGCCTGTCACAGACATGGAGTGGTTTTTAGATGCATCCATGCTAACATGAGTTTAGCTGGTAGAAAGACTGAACTGCAGGTGAGACCGGCTCTTATTGAGATTCACAGTGTCCTCCAGCCAACTTCAGCTCCAGCAGTAGACACATGTTGCACTTCTCTAACTTACAAAATACTGTATATTCTAGTGAAAAAATACAAAGTTGCATTAATGTTTGTTTTAGATTGTGTCTCAAAATTCTGTCTATGATTCAGAAGTTTTGTAGTTTTTTATTGTTGTTATCCTGAAAACTACTGTTGGGATTTAGGGCTGCACAAGAAGAAGTTGAATTTAAATGAAAAACACAGAGCGGTGCCTACAGCCCTTTCAGACCTGCATGAATCGCTCTAAAACAACTGTAAATGATGAGAGAAAACTACCAAAACATGTAAAAGCCCTTTTGCTGAGTGTGTCCAAACATAATGCTTTGTAGTGTCTCACCTTGAACTGCATGTATGTGATGAAGCGTCTCAGCAGAGAAATCAGCTCCTGGCTCCCGACGGGCATGTCTGCAAAACATCAGGAACACTGACCATGACGGAATAACAGGCACAAAACCAAAACCAGACGCTGCATCGTCACATCTCTCAATATGGATCTATTTTTGCAGTGTATAAAGTCTTTACCAGAGTGTGGGCCTCAACAGAGCTTTAGGAAATGTATTATGTGCACTCTGTCTCTGAATATAAGTCTACACAGTTAGCATTTAATAACATTTTCTTTTTCATCCTAATCATGTTTTATATAAATGATAATTCCTTGAGGCTAAAGTAAAAGAGCAAAAGAGAAACTGTCACCAGTCTCTCTCTCTCTCTCTCTGGGAAATCTCGAGTTTTCTTCTAACAATCAATTCATTAACATCAGAGGCTTTAGAGCATTTAAGAAATAACTACCAGAATCAAAGAACCTGACCTCCTGCTGGGACTCAGAGGAGCACAGGGACTGGCCTCCTGCTGGGACTCTGAGGAGCACAGGGACTGGCCTCCTGCTGGGACTCAGAGGAGCACAGGGACTGGTCTCCTGTTGGGACTCTGAGGAGCACAGGGACTGGCCTCCTGCTGGGACTCTGAGGAGCACAGGGACTGGCCTCCTGCTGGGACTCTGAGGAGCACAGGGACTGGCCTCCTGCTGGGACTCAGAGGAGCACAGGGACTGGCCACCTGCTGGGACTCTGAGGAGCACAGGGACTGGCCTCCTGCTGGGACTCTGAGGAGCACAGGGACTGGCCTCCTGCTGGGACTCTGATGAGCACAGGGACTGGCCTCCTGCTGGGACTCTGAGGAGCACAGGGACTGGCCTCCTGCTGGGACTCTGAGGAGCACAGGGACTGGCCTCCTGCTGGGACTCTGAGGAGCACAGGGACTGGCCTCATGCTGGGACTCTGAGGAGCACAGGGCCTGGCCTCCTGCTGGGACTCTGAGGAGCACAGGGACTGGCCTCATGCTGGGACTCTGAGGAGCACAGGGACTGGCCTCCTGCTGGGACTCTGAGGAGCACAGGGACTGGCCTCATGCTGGGACTCTGATGAGCACAGGGCCTGGCCTCCTGCTGGGACTCTGAGGAGCACAGGGACTGGCCTCCTGCTGGGACTCTGAGGAGCACAGGGACTGGCCTCATGCTGGGACTCTGAGGAGCACAGGGACTGGCCTCCTGCTGGGACTCTGAGGAGCACAGGGACTGGCCTCCTGCTGGGACTCTGAGGAGCACAGGGACTGGCCTCCTGCTGGGACTCTGAGGAGCACAGGGACTGGCCTCCTGTTGGGACTCTGAGGAGCACAGGGACTGGCCTCCTGCTGGGACTCTGAGGAGCACAGGGACTGGCCTCCTGCTGGGACTCTGAGGAGCACAGGGACTGGCCTCCTGCTGGGACTATGAGGAGCACAGGGACTGGCCTCCTGCTGAGACTCTGAGGAGCACAGGGACCGGCCTCCTGCTGGGACTATGAGGAGCACAGGGACTGGCCTCCTGCTGGGACTCAGAGTCAGGACGAGGCATGGGGAGGAGTGTTTCTGAAGTCTCTTGATTGTGGAGCACTTTGTGTTACACTGTTTGAATTGTGCTTTAAAATACATTTTAGTTTGAAAAGTGAGACCTAAACTTGCGGCCCTTTGGAATGAAACTATTGTGGAACCTGGAAGATGTTTTGACTGAAGACTGAAGCACATGATTCAGGCCGTGGCAGTGAAACTAGAAGATTGTATGTATCTTCAGTAACACAGAGTGTCCAGCAGGGGGAGATCAGTGCTTCCAGACAGTTTTCTTCAGACATACAGTGAACCAGAAAGGCTTGAGGAAAGATGTGTCCTGGTCTTAGTCTTATTCTTATCCCCTTCTCAGGACATGTGCAGCAGCAGTAGTGCCTGCAGAGGGGCAGAGACAGGAGCGTGATGGTCACCTGCAGGATACAGCACATTGTCCACCAGGTGAAGCACGCCATTCGTGGCCATGATGTCGGCTCCTGCCACCGGCACCGTGTTGACCATCATACTGCTGTTGGTCTGAGGAGCACACAGGGGTCTTCATGTGAGACAGTATCAGGCAGGAACAACAAACACACACACACACACACACACACATACACACATACACACACACACACACACACATACACACACACACACACACACACACACACACACATACATACATACACTAACACCAATAGCATCAGACAAGGCCGAGACACACACGGGGAGAACATGCAAACACCACTCAGAAAGGCCCTGTTCTGACTGGGATTCGAACCCAGAACCTTTGTGCCGTTCCCAGAACCTTCGTGCTGAGAAGCAACAGGGCTAACCACTCAGCCACCGTGCCACCCATTAAAATATACATTGAATTAAATTGAATGGAAGTGCTCCTACTTGGTTGTAACTCAAACCCTAGCCACACCACACCTTTCAGCACCGGTTTGATTCCCCTGGACCATAGACAGAAGACAAGTGGCTCGCTTACCGCCATGACGCGGAGGTTGCTGCCTTGTAGGGACTTGAGCAGGTTGGTCACTCCCATCTCCAGCCCTCCCCCGATGAACACTCCGTTGTTGAAGTGATACAGGAGGATAGTTCTGAGAGCGTTTAAGTCCTCTGCAACAAGACACATATTTATGACCCGCTCTCAAGGTCTTTGTGGATCTTAGACGACGTACTTTTGAGCAGAGCCAAGTCGCTGCTGCTCAAGCCGGAGAAGGCCTTGTCGCTGGGGGCGAACAGTGTGAAGTCTCCCTCCTGCTGGAGCAGATCCGTCAGACCGGCCGCCTCCATCAGAGACAGGAAGATCCTACGCAGAAGACAAAGCAGCTTGTTCAGATTAGCTCAAGCAAGAAACCACACAAACGCCGATGCTCCGGATTCTTAACGAAGAACATTCTTACAGCTTTCTGAGTCAGCACTTCAGTTGTCTCATAAAGGACGCACTGTGAGACGACCGTTGATTGTGATTTTGGATTCTACAACCAGATTTGACTGTAAAATGTTATGTCTAGATCATAAACTGTTATCAATTCACAACTAAGAGATTAAACCTGGGGCAAGGGATTCATAAATGATCCATGATGATTCTGTCAAGTGAATTAAACAACAAGCTGTCTAGTTTTACTTAGCAGCACGTCCTGAGTGTCTCTGAAACAATTGTTTTACAATTATTATTTTTCTGTTTTTTTTTTGCCTGAGATGTTGCTGCAGTACAGTGTTAGTGGTTTTACACAGGTTTCATGGTCCGGACCAAGTGGATCAGGTGAAAATCCACTGGCGGAATGCTAATGAATGCTAATTTGGTTACTTTGGACCAGAGAAGAGAAAATGGTCTGAACCAAGCGGCTCCACCTCTGCTGCTGACACCTGAAGGACTGATTCTTATTATTACTATTGTTAGCTTTTTAGAATGATCTATTTATTTGTTTTGTTGGTTTGGATGGATGTGTTTTTGCTGCTACTGCACAATGAAGGGATCAATGAAGTATCTACATTTCATTATAAAAGTGGTTCTGTTCTACAAGAAAGAGCGAGTGAGCTGTGAGTCAGTATTTGGGTCGAGATTGAAACTGAGTCAATCTACACTTCCCTCCCTCACCTCTGGTCATGAGCTTTGGGTAATGACCGAAAGGACGAGATCGCGGATACAAGCGGTCAACATGAGTCTCCCCCGCAGAGTGGCTGCTGCCTTAGAGATAGGGTGAAGGAGCTCAAGTCACACGGGAGGAGCTCGGAGTAGAGCCGTTGCTTCTCCACATTGAGAGAAGCAGCCATGCCCAGACATCTGGTCAGAGACACGCAGTCATTCCGTACTTGCACTGAACTTAAATTGCAGTATATTTATTGCACTTACCTTAACCCTGAAGTCTCTATGGCACTTAATATTCTTGTTTTACCAAAATGCAAAACACAAAGTCATAGAAGTGTTTGTGGGTGTTTTGTTCCATAATTCGCTGAGTCGCTGCAGAACCAAAGCTGTGGCGGCTGTGGCGGCTGTGGCTGCGGTGGCGGCGGACTCACTTGAACCCTCCGTGTTCTCTCAGGATCTGGAACATGGATCTTTCCGCTGGCTTCAGGAAGGTTCTCATCAGATGCAGAGCGCCGTTGCTTCCCTCTCGGCTGCCGCGGAACAGACAGGAGTTCTCGATGCACACGGCCTGCCGACAAAACAACACAGAAGAAGAGAGATGAGGTCAGCGCTGGCTCCGACGCAGATGTGGATGTTTGAATGTGCTGAAGGACGGCTTTGTTCTCTGTTTTTAACAATGGCATGAGCGTGTCTGCTTTTCTTTGGAAGACGAAGACTCAACAACCGTTAAGAGATGGACTTTTGGACGAGTGGCCTTTTTTAGCCGGCCTTCTGTTTGCATCTGAACTAAGTGTAGACAAATGCCAGACCTTTTGATTATTCCAACACACATACACACACACACACAAGCAAAATAACACACACAATGCATTAGTTGTTGAGTGACTGCATGGACTCAGTCATTTGTTCTTGTAGTAAAACATATAATGCAATGGTTTTATATAGTTCTATTTAGCCTCTCAAAGACACTTCACGTCGTTATCCCTTCTCTCCAAACACTGTGGTGATAAACAACTACTGTAGCCACAGCTGCCCTGGGGCACACTGACAGAAGCGAGGCCACCAGTCTGTGCCATCGGCCCCTCCCACCACCACCAACCATTCATTCACACACACCAGACTCATTCTAATGTGGGGGAAGTGTCTTGCCAAAGGACACAACCACAGTTTGGTCATTTCCAGCCCCCCACTCTGGCACCTGGTGATCTCAGAGGTCTCCCATCACAGCACTAACCAGGCCCTGCCCTGCTTAGCTTCAGAGGTCTGACAGGATCTTTCACCTGCAGGTCTGCTTCACCCGACCCCTTTTCAAACTCTGTATTTCTGATTGCTTGATTGATGGATGTATTGATTGATGGATGTATTGATTGATGGATGTATTGATTGATGGATGTATTGATTGATGGATGTATTGATTGATGGGTGTATTGATTGATGGATGTATTGATTGATGGATGTATTGATTGATGGATGTATTGATTGATGGATGTATTGATTGATGGGAGCTCACGGTGCGGTAGATGAAGACCCGGAGGAACTTCCCGCCCAGGGTCTCCAGGCGCTGGCCGTTGTAGAGCTGTCCCAGAGTGATCTTGTTCTTCAGGATGTGGTTCTCCAGGATCAGCCTCAGCTCGCTCTGGTCGATGGACATCACCTCATCTGCAACACAAGCCACAACTCCTGACTTATAAATACAACTTTTATTTGAACAAGTGGGCAACCTTGAGTGTCTAGAGAGGCGCCTTAGAAATAAATGGTTTTATTATTATTTTTATTTTTAACTCATCGACGCTGTTACGACTCCGGCTTTGAGCTTTTGTGTCTCCTCCTGAGTGTGTGTGTGTGTGTGTGTGCGAGAGTATGCGTGTGTGAGTGTATGCGTATGTCTGTCTTGTTCCCGCCTCCCGGACGATGCCATTGGTCCGGAACAATAATATTTTGGTTGTTTTACTTCCTGATTCCTGATGTCCCACACTGGTCATGTACTGGTCAGAATCAGTGTCTGAATGGTTGAAATAAACTTAAAAAAGACAGAATACTTCTCTCTCTCCTCTCCAAACTCACTACTCTCACATCTCCCCCCATCTAAACTCTCACTCCACTGTTCTCTCCCCCTCTCCCTCTTCTCTCCCCTCTCCAAACACTCTCTCCTCTCACCCCTCTCTTTCATCTGAGTCCTCTCCAAACTCACTCCTTACAACACTCCTCCCACTCTCTACACTCTCACTCTTCTTTTCCCCTCTCCTCCCTCTCTACACTCACTCCTCCCCCTCTCTACACTCTCCTCACCCCCCTCTCTACACTCTCACTCTTCTTTTCCCCTCTCCTCCCTCTCTACACTCACTCCTCCCCCTCTCTACACTCTCCTCACCCCCCTCTCTACACTCTCCTCACCCCCCTCTCTACACTCCTCTCCCCCCTCTCTACACTCTCACTCCTCACCCCCCTCTCTACACTCCTCTCCCCCCTCTCTACACTCCTCTCCCCCCTCTCTACACTCTCACTCCTCACCCCCCTCTCTACACTCCTCACCCCCCTCTCTACACTCTCCTCACCCCCCTCTCTACACTCTCACTCTTCTTTTCCCCTCTCCTCCCTCTCTACACTCACTCCTCCCCCTCTCTACACTCTCCTCACCCCCCTCTCTACACTCCTCTCCCCCCCTCTCTACACTCTCACTCCTCACCCCCCTCTCTACACTCCTCTCCCCCCTCTCTACACTCCTCTCCCCCCTCTCTACACTCTCACTCCTCACCCCCCTCTCTACACTCCTCACCCCCCCTCTACACTCTCCTCACCCCCCTCTCTACACTCCTCTCCCCCCTCTCTACACTCTCACTCCTCACCCCCCTCTCTACACTCATCTCCCCCCTCTCTACACTCTCACTCCTCCCCCTCTCTACACTCTCACTCCTCACCCCCCTCTCTTACACTCCTCTCCCCCCTCTCTACACTCTCACTCCTCACCCCCCTCTCTACACTCCTCTCCCCCCTCTCTACACTCTCACTCCTCCCCCTCTCTACACTCTCCTCACCCCCCTCTCTACACTCCTCTCCCCCCCTCTCTAAACTCTCACTCCTCACCCCCCTCACTAAACTCTCTCTCCTCTCTCTCTCTCTCTAAACTCTCTCTCCTCTCCCCCCTCTCTACACTCTCTACACTCTCACTTCTCTCCCCCCTCTCTACACTCTCACTTCTCTCTCCTCTCTCTAAACTCTCTCTCCTCTCCCCCCTCTCTAAACTCTCACTTCTCTCTCCTCTCCCCCCTCTCTACACTCTCACTTCTCTCTCCTCTCCCCCCTCACTAAACTCTCTCTCCTCTCCCCCCTCTCTAAACTTTCTCTCCTCTCCCCCCTCTCTAAACTCTCTCTCCTCTCCCCCCTCTCTAAACTCTCTCTCCTCTCCCCCCTCTCTAAACTCTCTCTCCTCTCCCCCCTCTCTACACTCTCACTTCTCACTCCTCACCCCCCTCACTAAACTCTCTCTCCTCTCTCTAAACTCTCTCTCCTCTCCCCCCTCTCTAAACTCTCTCTCCTCTCCCCCCTCTCTAAACTCTCTCTCCTCTCCCCCCTCTCTAAACTCTCACTTCTCTCTCCTCTCCCCCCTCTCTACACTCTCTACACTCTCACTTCTCTCTCCTCTCTCTAAACTCTCTCTCCTCTCCCCCCTCTCTAAACTCTCACTTCTCACTCCTCTCCCCCCTCTCTAAACTCTCTCTCCTCTCTCTAAACTCTCTCTCCTCTCCCCCCTCTCTAAACTCTCACTTCTCTCTCCTCTCCCCCCTCACTAAACTCTCTCTCCTCTCTCTAAACTCTCTCTCCTCTCCCCCCTCTCTAAACTCTCTCTCCTCTCCCCCCTCTCTAAACTCTCTCTCCTCTCTCTTCTCCAGCCTCTAATTGTTATTTTACATTTAGCCTCTTCCTGTGGCTGTGGGACAAACAGTATTATTTGTGATTAAAAACCAATGTGCACTCACTAAACCTTCTCTCTCTCCCCCATCTCTCCCCCATCTCTCTCTCTCTCTCTCAGGGACATAAAACTCTGAAGGACTGACTGATCCAGGGGTAAACCTTAACCTGTAAAGCCGCTGACGTTTTGCCTTTTTTCTTCCCACTAATCATCCCTTCCCAAAGCTGCTTCTTTACAGTAGTTTTATGGTGAGTTATTGTCCACTTTCATGTCCAGCTGCAATCTGCAACTCATCTCTGCAGAGGAGTTCACAGTTTGGGAAAACCAAAGCCTGTTTGTGGAAAGCAGTTAAAGTCTCAGTGAATAGTGTCTCATCATCAACGTCCTCTTTCATCCTCCTTTTATGGCCACAGTGTTGCTTTCCTTCACACGCTTCGATGGATACAGCCACAGAACAGCGCTACAGTCCGACATTGGACATTTTATCCTCCCTTGATATAATAATAATAATAATAATAATGCATCAGTTTTATACAGCGCTTTTTTGGACACTCTTCACGCTTCACATGTCATTATCCAATCACTCCAAACACGGTGGTGATAATCTACTACTGTAGCCACAGCTGCCCTGGGGCACACTGACAGAAGCGAGACAACCAGTCTGTGCCATCAGCTCCTCTCACCACCACCAACCATTCACACACACACCAGACTCATTCTAATGTGGGTGTCTTGCTTAAGGACTAAAGTTTTGGACTTCAGTACTGACCCGTGAAGGCGGAGTTGGTGAGGGCCAGCAGTGTGTACTCGGCCTCTGGTCTCATGGCTGCAGACAGACCCAGCTCCGACACCATGTCCCCGAACGTGGACTGGGACGAGCCCACCAGCTCCAGCACCTGTTTGGCTGAAACAGCACGAGAGGGTTTTTAATGAAGATAAAGATGGATCCAAATGTAAACAACGGTACCGGACACACCACAGCGACATGTGTCAATGATCCTGGTCCTCGCTCTCTGCAGGACACACTCTCACGGGTTGGTTTATATTTTTAAATATATTTATTTTAATTTTCCCACGTACCTGAAACAATATCTTACACCTTTTGGTTCCACTTACACACTTCATTACTCTCTTTTCTTCCACACTCCCCGTGTTAAAAAAGAAAAACATGCTTTTCATTACAAAGCCCGGACCGACTGGAACCTTCCTCCCCCTGCCATCTGCTCTCTGACCTTTGTTTAAGAACACCGTGTTACTTTAAAACTGATGTTTCTTCTGTTTAATATTTTACTGTCCCACTCATCTATAATGTGTTTGTATTGTACTTTACTGTAGTTAAGGGGGACTGGGTAACCTCTGAGAGCTGCGTGTATGTGTGTGTGTGCGTGTGCGTGTGAGTGCGTGTGCGTGTGTGTGCGCAAGCGTGCGCGAGCGTGCTAGTGCGTGAGTGTGCGCAAGCGTGCGCGTGTGAGTGCATGTGCGTGTGCGCGCGTGCGCAAGCGTGCGCGTGAGCGTTTGAGTGTTTGTGAGTGTGCGTGCGCGTGAGAGTGTGTGCGTGTGCATGTGCGTGAGCGTGCGAGTGCGCGTGTGTGTGTGTGTGCGCGTGTGTGTGTGAGTGAATGTGTTGAGCTTTGTCATTTTTTTTGTGTTTGTATAATATAATACTTTTTTATTTTGTATATATTTGACTGCTGCTGCTGAATTGCTATGTTTGTGTTTTACTTTGAAGACCCCCTGACGCCGATGATTAATCTCAAGGGTCTATTTCTCTTTATTAACATTAAATAAATCATAAGAGGAGCTGGTTTTGGACTCGACAGTTCCCGAAGGCTCAAAGATTCTCTGGATAAGATCAGGAATGTCACGGACATGAAGATGGGAACAGTTACTGCCTGAACAGGTGGAGAAACTGAAAATGAATAAGATGGATGGATTGGAAACATCCCGATTATGTACAGTGCAGCTGTATGCAGCTGTGTGTACAGCTGTGTGTACAGCTGTGTGTACAGCTGTGTGTACAGCTGTGTGTACAGCTGTGTGTACAGCTGGGAAAGAGAGGGGGGTTGTTTTAACATGTGTTGTCTCCTGTACTGCAGGTATGAATGATGGACGGGTGAATGGAAGTATGTGCGGTATGTGTACTGTACGTGTGGTGTGTGTGTGTGTGGTGTGTGTGTGTGTGTGGTGTGTGTGTGTGTGTGTGTGTGTGTGTGTGTGTGTGTGTGTGTGTGTGTGTGTGTGTGTGTGTGTGTGTGTGTGTGTGTGTGTGTGTGTGTGTGTGTGTGTGTGTGTGTGTGTGTGTGTGGTGTGTGTGTGTGTGGTGTGTGTGTGTGTGTGTGTGTGTGTGTGTGTGTGTGTATGTGTCTGTGTGTGTGTGTGTGTGTATGTGTCTGTGTGTGTGTGTGTGTGTGTGTGTGTGTGTGTGTGTGTGTGTGTGTGTGTGTGTGTATGTGTCTGTGTGTGTGTGTGTGTGTGTGTGTGTGTGTGTGTGTGTGTGTGTGTGTGTGTGTGTGTGTGTGTGTGTGTGTGTGTGTGTGTGTGTGTGTATGTGTCTGTGTGTGTGTGTGTGTGTGTGTGTGCGTGTGTGTGTGCGTGTGTGTGTGTGTGTGTGTGTGTGTGTGTGTGTGTGTGTGTGTATGTGTGTGTGTGTGTGTGTGTATGTGTGTGTGCGTGTGTGTGTGTGTGTGTGTGTGTGTATGTGTGTGTGTGTGTGTGTGTGTGTGTATGTGTCTGTGTGTGTGTGTGTGTGTGTGTGTGTGTGGACAAGTGAACATACAATAACTGTACAATAACATTACAATTCTCTGTGTTTGAACTGTTTGATTCTCTGATCTGCTGTTTGTGAATCGACAGCTGTGTCCACCGAGATAACCACCTCTGCTGCTGTGACCCGTTTGGACGGATGTGTTTTTGCTGCTTCTGGACACCTGCATTTCTCCAACAGGATCACATTTCAGATTCATGCAGCTAGCACACTTGTGTAGTGAATATGGAGAGATTCTGGAACAGTCTTCCTGAAAATGTGAAACAGGCTTTTTCACTGACACTGTTCAAATCCAGGTTAAGAAGGACTTGACAGGTTAAGACCAGGAATATATCTATCATAAGTCAGTTTAGTATTACTCTACTACTGCATTACATTGAAGTTACTTTCCCCAAATATACAGTATTACTTTAACCTAAATGTAGCTCATGATGCTAGCGTGGGGTTGACAGAGCTTTGGGTTTGAACATAAACTTAACTGTTCCACATCTTTAACAAACTCTAAATGAAGTCTGTCCATCTGTGACATGTTCTATTGTCCACATAGTTCTGCTTCTGCGTCTTCTACCAGAAAGGAACAACACTACAAGAGAAATACTGTTGGAGCAGAAGCGCCTCCTGCTGATCTCGCGGTGGCAGAGTAAGTAAGTAAGTAAGCTTTATTTATATACCGCCTTTCACAGTCACAAAGCGGTTTATAATTGTTATTTTTTGGGCACTTGTCTCTCACTCCACACAGAGATGGGAGCGGGGCCAGTACAGGAGGCGCATGCCAGACCTATTGTACATATTTTTAGTGGTAGGGGAAACCGGAGTACCCGGAGGAAACCTACGCAGACACGGGGAGAACATGCAAACTCCACTCAGAAAGGCCCTGGTCCGGCCGGGATTCGAACCCAAGACCTTCTTGCTGAGAGGCAAGAGGGATTCGAACCCAAGACCTTCTTGCTGAGAGGCAAGAGTGCTATCCACTCAGCCACCGTGCCGCCCAGAGGATACGAAGTGTTTGAAAACTCTTGTATAATTGAAAATATAATTGTCTGGGCACTAACAGCACATTGCACATTTCTCCAGTGAGAGATCAATAAAGTCTATCTTGTCTTATCTTATATCTTTGTGATTGGAAAACCTTAATCCAACCCGTGATTTAGGTTAAGATTAGCTGTGGATAAGGTTTGTCACCTGAGTCGGGCATCAGCACTTGGTCGATGAGGTGCACGACTCCGTTGCTGGTGACGATGTCCTTCTTCAGAACCATCTTGACGCCGTTCACCGTCAGACTCTCTCCGTCGCAGCCGATGTCGATGCTGCTGCCCTCCATGGTCTCGTAGGACGTCCCAGTCATGATGGCCTCCGAGCACTGCACCGAGTTCAGCAGGTGGAACTTGACCAGAGCTGAACACAGAGATACACAGAGAGTCACACAGAGTCACACAGAGTCACACAGAGTCACACACAGAAAGACACAGACACAGAGAGTCACACAGAGTCACACAGAGTCACACAGAGTCACACAGACACACAGACACAGAGAGTCACACAGAGTCACACAGAGTCACACAGACACACAAAAACACACAGACACAGAGAGTCACACAGAGTCACACAGAGTCACACAGACACACAAAAACACACAGACACAGAGAGTCACACAGAGTCACACACAGAAAGACACAGACACAGAAACACACAGACACAGAGATACACAGAGAGTCACACAGAGTCACACAGAGTCACACAGAGTCACACAGAGTCACACAGAGTCACACACAGACACAGAGAGTCACACAGAGTCACACAGAGTCACACAGAGTCACACACAGAAAGACACAGACACAGAAACACACAGACACAGAGATACACAGAGAGTCACACAGAGTCACACAGAGTCACACAGAGTCACACAGAGTCACACAGAGTCACACAGAGTCACACAGAGTCACACAGAGTCACACACAGACACAGAGAGTCACACAGAGTCACACAGAGTCACACAGAGTCACACACAGACACAGAGAGTCACACAGAGTCACACAGAGTCACACAGAGTCACACAGAGTCACACACAGACACAGAGAGTCACACAGACACAGAAACACACAGACACAGAGACACACACAGTGTCACACAGACACAGAAACACACAGACACAGAAACACACAGACACAGAGACACACACAGTCACGCACAGAGTCACACAGAGAAACACACAGAGACACACACAGTCACGCACAGAGTCACACAGACACACAAAAACACACAGACACAGAAACACACAGACACAGAGATACACACAGAGTCACACACAGAAACACACAGACACAGAGACACACACAGAGTCACACAGAGTCACACACAGAAACACACAGACACAGAGACACACACAGAGTCACACAGACACAGAGACACACACAGTCACGCACAGAGTCACACAGACACACAAAAACACACAGACACAGAAACACACAGACACAGAGACACACACAGAGACACACACAGAGTCACACACAGAAACACACAGACACAGAGACACACACAGTCACGCACAGAGTCACACAGACACACAAAAACACACAGACACAGAAACACACAGACACAGAGATACACAGAGAGTCACACAGAGTCACACACAGAAACACACAGACACAGAGACACACACAGTGTCACACAGACACAGAAACACACAGACACAGAAACACACAGACACAGAAACACACAGACACAGAGATACACAGAGAGTCACACAGAGTCACACAGAGTCACACACAGAAAGACACAGAGACACACACAGTCACGCACATAGTCACACAGACACACAAAAACACACAGACACAGAGATACACAGAGAGTCACACAGAGTCACACAGAGTCACACACAGAAACACACAGACACATAGACACACACAGTCACGCACAGAGTCACACAGACACACAAAAACACACAGACACAGAAACAGAGACACACACAGAGTCACACAGACACACAGAAACACACAGACACAGAGACACACACAGTCACGCACAGAGTCACACAGACACACAAAAACACACAGACACAGAAACACACAGACACAGAAACACACAGACACAGAGATACACAGAGAGTCACACAGAGTCACACACAGAAACACACAGACACAGAGACACACACAGTGTCACACAGACACACAGAAACACACAGACACAGAAACACACAGACACAGAGATACACAGAGAGTCACACAGAGTCACACAGACTCACTCACACAGAGTCACACACAGAAAGACACAGAGACACACACAGTCACGCACAGAGTCACACAGACACACAAAAACACACAGACACAGAGACACACACAGTCACGCACAGAGTCACACAGACACACAAAAACACACAGACACAGAGTCACATAGACACACAAAAACACACAGTCACACAGACACACACAGTCACACACAGACACAGAGACACACAGACACAGAGACACACAGACACAGAGACACACACAGTCACGCACAGAGTCACACAGACACACACAGTCACACACAGACACAGAGACACACAGACACAGAGACACACAGACACAGAGACACACACAGTCACGCACAGAGTCACACAGACACACACAGTCACACACAGACACAGAAACACACAGACACAGAAACACACAGACACAGAAACACACAGACACACAAAAACACACAGACACAGAGTCACACAGACACACACAGTCACACACAGACACAGAAACACACAGACTCACAGATGAGCCTGGCATAGATGGTGTTGGACAGTGTGACAGTTTTCTCTGGTCATTTACATCTGTTTTTAGAAATCCAAATCTTAACCACGTTACTCGTACAGCAGCAATAAATGTGATCTCACAAATACTGTCTTCAGAGTTGTATGTACTAATGTAAGCGGTGTCAGTTCATTGCCAACCAGTGGAGTATCCTTCTCTGTGAAAATCAGACTTCTCGAAGCTGGATGGGCTCGACAAGACGTTGCCCAGACCTAAAGCTGTCAATAAAAGGACCAACGCAACTTAAAGGTGCCATATTGTCAAATTATAGCCATTCCGGGCATTGAGGTGATCTCACCTAATGTGAAACGTTTGGATCTGTGCTCCTCTGCCTCCCCCCGCCTCCCCCCGCCGTCCCCCCGCCTCCCCCTGCCTCCCCCACCGTCCCCCGTCCCCCCGCCGTCCCCCCGCCTCCCCCCGCCGTCCCCCCGCCTCCCCCTGCCTCCCCCCACCGTCCCCCCGCCGTCCCCCCGCCTCCCCCCGCCGTCCCCCCCGCCTCCCCCTGCCTCCCCCCACCGTCCCCCCGCCGTCCCCCCCGCCTCCCCCCGCCGTCCCCCGCCTCCACGGAGATGTAGCATCACGCTTTGAGGTAAAAACAAGAGCTAAATGTACAGCTTTCACTGTCAGTCATTTCACACCTGAGAATAAACTTTTTCCAACAATACCTCATGTCCTCGATTCAGAATCAGACCCTAATTATTTAGGTCACTTAGGTCACAGTGACATACGACCAAGAGCCAACTTTTGGACAATCCTGTAAAGACGTTTTCGAGAGGTAAGAAGAAAAGTCAAAAAGCGTAAAATGGGACCTTTAAGCAACTTGTGTCTCATTTAATGTTTGGGAAATATAATCGCAGGATAACCGGCTGTAATTGGGTCCAGATGGTCAGCAATGGGCCCAACTTTGACCAATGACGTTTTTTATCATGTACAAAATCTGGGTCTTTGAGTTTCTTGAATTGGATAAAAGATACTTCTGTCAGATCTTCAATGGCTCTGATGTGTTCTAGAGCAACAGTGGTTTCTTGTTCCCATTATTCCACATATTCAGGGCTTTTCATCCAGAGCAAACACAGAAAAGCGACTTGTTTGCAGCATTGAGCTTCAGTGAGAGTTATCCCTGAGTTCATACTTCCCAGAATCCTTGTGAATGTGAACATGACGTTTCCTGTGTAGGTCCAGAGTGGCTGTCATCGCCGAGGCCCGTGAGCCTCATCAGCCGCTCTGTGGGCTCATGCAGGCTTTTCTAGGCCGTCCTGGACCAACTACGGCCCTGTCCTATCCGTGTCCTTCTGGCTCATCAGCGCCTCTCGGAGCATCCTGGTCCTCTGGTGTTTTCTGTGGCCTCGGTCCAGTTTCATATGGAACAAACCGTTTGCTACATCTGTTTGCTCTTTAAGCGACTGAACCACTGTCTCCATGTTGTATCTCAGTTATTCTCAAGTCAATTTCTACTTTCAGACTTGCCAGTTATGAGGCTTGTGACACTGGGCCCGATTGTAAAACTTACATTGTGAAACTTTTGGCAAAAAACATGTTATTTCTCTGCTTGGATTGTGCGCCAGTATAGAATAAAACTAACAATATTTGAATCTCTCTCCTTTGACTTCGACTTTGGGTTAGTCACCAAGTCCAAAGTTTGGGAAAGTTTTATGCCGTACAGTGGAACATTCCAGGCAAGAGACACGAGGAAAACTGAAAATAAAGCCTTTTTTATTTTCAACGAGGAAACACTCGGCCTCTATGACTCCGGCCACAACATCTCGTCTTTGTTCATTTCATTTCATTTCATTTTCAACCCCTTTGTCCATTTCTGGGTCGGGGGGGGGGGCAATGAGAGCTGCCACCCAACGCTCATAGCCCCAGTCCCTCTGATCCTCTGCAGGGGGTGAGTCCACAGGAAGATGGCTGCTCCGTCAATTGTGAAACAGCCTTGATCTTTCAGCGGGGGCTTCAGGCAATGTGGGGTTAAGTGTCTTGCCCAAGGACACAACTACAGCAGTCATCAGTGGGAGCAGTTGGAGTAGGTCCAATAGTGGGAATCGAACTCACGACCTCCAAGCCCAAAGGCCAATGCTCTACCAACTGAGCTACTGTCGCCCCATCTCATCTTTGTTCTGTGACAAAAACACTGCTGTACAGCGTGAGCAGAGAAGTAAGTCAGAGTAATCTTTAATAATTACTTTTTTTCATGTCTTGACTTGAGGAACATGTGTAACGAATTTCGTGGCTCTATGACAAACTTGACCTCCGACCCCCTCCCATAGGCGCAATGTAAAATGACTTTTTTAGGGGGCGCTGTTCGGGCATTTTTTTAGTCCCATAACAAAGGGATTTACAATTCCGGTGTAGCAGTCATAGTGCAGCGACTCACAGTGATGACAGACGCTGACAACACTGGTCCATCAAAGCCGCTATCCATCCACATGTTTATAGTGGTGGGGGGAAACCGGAGCACCCAGAGGAAACCTATGCAGACTCTTCAAGGGGATATGGGCCATGTACACTCAACACAGAGCCCCCGTCTGGAGGTGGAATCAAACCCAGAACCTTCTGAAGCACAAACACTAAACACTAAGGTCGGAGAAAGACCCTCCCCTTTCTCTGAAGTCTCCCTCTGCAGCCCACTCCTCTAAAGTCCACTCCTCTAAAGCCCACTCCTCTAAAGCCCACTCCTCTAAAGTCCACTCCTCTAAAGCCCACTCCTCTAAAGTCCACTCCTTTAAAGTCCACTCCTGTAAAGTCCACTCCTCTAAAGTCCACTCCTCTAAAGCCCGCTCCTCTAAAGTCCACTCCTCTAAAGTCCACTCCTCCGCAGCCCACTCCTCTAAAGTCCACTCCTCTAAAGCCCACTCCTCTAAAGTCCACTCCTCTAAAGCACACTCCTCTAAAGTCCACTCCTCTAAAGCACACTCCTCTAAAGTCCACTCCTGTAAAGCCCTCTCCTCTAAAGCCCTCTCCTCTAAAGCCCACTCCTCCGCAGCCCACTCCTCTAAAGTCCACTCCTCTAAAGCCCACTCCTCTAAAGTCCACTCCTCTAAAGTCCACTCCTCTAAAGCCCACTCCTCTAAAGTCCACTCCTCTAAAGCACACTCCTCTAAAGTCCACTCCTCTAAAGTCCACTCCTCTAAAGTCCACTCCTCTAAAGTCTACTCCTCTAAAGTCCACTCCTCTAAAGTCCACTCCTCTAAAGTCCACTCCTCTAAAGTCCACTCCTCTAAAGTCTACTCCTCTAAAGCCCACTCCTCTAAAGCCCACTCCTCTAAAGTCCACTCCTCTAAAGCCCACTCCTCTAAAGCCCACTCCTCTAAAGCCCACTCCTGTAAAGTCCACTCCTCTAAAGTCCACTCCTCTAAAGCCCACTCCTCTAAAGTCCACTCCTGTAAAGTCCACTCCTCTAAAGTCCACTCCTCTAAAGCCCACTCCTCTAAAGTCCACTCCTGTAAAGTCCACTCCTCTAAAGTCCACTCCTCTAAAGTCCACTCCTCTAAAGCCCACTCCTCTAAAGTCTACTCCTGTAAAGTCCACTCCTCCGCAGTCCACTCCTCTAAAGTCCACTCCTCTAAAGCCCACTCCTCTAAAGTCCACTCCTGTAAAGTCCACTCCTCCGCAGTCCACTCCTCTAAAGTCCACTCCTCTAAAGCCCACTCCTCTAAAGTCCACTCCTCTAAAGCCCACTCCTCTAAAGTCCACTCCTGTAAAGTCCACTCCTCTAAAGCCCACTCCTCTAAAGTCCACTCCTGTAAAGTCCACTCCTCTAAAGTCTACTCCTCTAAAGCCCACTCCTCTAAAGTCCACTCCTCTAAAGTCCACTCCTGTAAAGTCCACTCCTCTAAAGTCCACTCCTCTAAAGTCTACTCCTCTAAAGTCCACTCCTCTAAAGTCCACTCCTCTAAAGCCCACTCCTCTAAAGTCCACTCCTCTAAAGCCCACTCCTCTAAAGCCCACTCCTCTAAAGCCCACTCCTCTAAAGCCCACTCCTCTAAAGTCCACTCCTCTAAAGTCCACTTCTCTAAAGTCCACTCCTCTAAAGTCTACTCCTCTAAAGCCCACTCCTCTAAAGTCCACTCCTCTAAAGTCCACTCCTGTAAAGTCCACTCCTCTAAAGTCCACTCCTCTAAAGTCTACTCCTCTAAAGTCCACTCCTCTAAAGTCCACTCCTCTAAAGCCCACTCCTCTAAAGTCCACTCCTCTAAAGCCCACTCCTCTAAAGCCCACTCCTCTAAAGCCCACTCCTCTAAAGCCCACTCCTCTAAAGTCCACTCCTCTAAAGTCCACTCCTCCGCAGCCCACTCCTCTAAAGTCCACTCCTCCGCAGCCCACTCCTCTAAAGTCCACTCCTCTAAAGCCCACTCCTCTAAAGTCCACTCCTCTAAAGCCCACTCCTCTAAAGTCCACTCCTGTAAAGTCCACTCCTCTAAAGTCCACTCCTCTAAAGTCCACTCCTCTAAAGTCCACTCCTCTAAAGCCCACTCCTCTAAAGCCCACTCCTCTAAAGTCCACTCCTCTAAAGGCCACTCCTCTGCAGCCCACTCCTCTAAAGTCCACTCCTCTAAAGTCCACTCCTCTAAAGCCCACTCCTCTAAAGCCCACTCCTCTAAAGTCCACTCCTGTAAAGTCCACTCCTCTAAAGCCCACTCCTCTAAAGTCCACTCCTCTAAAGTCCACTCCTCTAAAGTCCACTCCTCTAAAGTCCACTCCTCTAAAGTCCACTCCTCCGCAGCCCACTCCTCTAAAGCCCACTCCTCTAAAGTCCACTCCTCTAAAGTCCACTCCTCTAAAGTCCACTCCTCTAAAGTCCACTCCTCCGCAGCCCACTCCTCTAAAGCCCACTCCTCTAAAGTCCACTCCTCTAAAGTCCACTCCTCTAAAGTCCACTCCTCTAAAGCCCACTCCTCTAAAGCCCACTCCTCTAAAGTCCACTCCTCTAAAGCCCACTCCTCTAAAGCCCACTCCTCTAAAGTCCACTCCTCTAAAGTCCACTCCTCTAAAGTCCACTCCTCTAAAGCCCACTCCTCTAAAGCCCACTCCTCTAAAGCCCACTCCTCTAAAGTCCACTCCTCTAAAGTCCACTCCTCTAAAGCCCACTCCTCTAAAGTCCACTCCTCTAAAGTCCACTCCTCCTAAAGCCCACTCCTCTAAAGCCCACTCCTCTAAAGTCCACTCCTCTAAAGTCCACTCCTGTAAAGTCCACTCCTCTAAAGCCCACTCCTCTAAAGTCCACTCCTCTAAAGTCCACTCCTCTAAAGCCCACTCCTCTAAAGCCCACTCCTGTAAAGTCCACTCCTCTAAAGCCCACTCCTCTAAAGCCCACTCCTCTAAAGTCCACTCCTCTAAAGTCCACTCCTCTAAAGTCCACTCCTCTAAAGTCCACTCCTCTAAAGTCCACTCCTCCGCAGCCCACTCCTCTAAAGCCCACTCCTCTAAAGTCCACTCCTCTAAAGTCCACTCCTCTAAAGTCCACTCCTCTAAAGCCCACTCCTCTAAAGCCCACTCCTCTAAAGCCCACTCCTCTAAAGCCCACTCCTCTAAAGTCCACTTCTCTAAAGTCCACTCCTCTAAAGTCCACTCCTCTAAAGCCCACTCCTCTAAAGCCCACTCCTCTAAAGCCCACTCCTCTAAAGTCCACTTCTCTAAAGTCCACTCCTCTAAAGTCCACTCCTCTAAAGTCCACTCCTCCGCAGCCCACTCCTCTAAAGTCCACTCCTCCGCAGCCCACTCCTCTAAAGTCCACTCCTCTAAAGCCCACTCCTCTAAAGTCCACTCCTCTAAAGCCCACTCCTCTAAAGTCCACTCCTGTAAAGTCCACTCCTCTAAAGCCCACTCCTCTAAAGCCCACTCCTCTAAAGTCCACTCCTCTAAAGTCCACTCCTGTAAAGTCCACTCCTCTAAAGCCCACTCCTCTAAAGCCCACTCCTCTAAAGTCCACTCCTCTAAAGTCCACTCCTCTAAAGTCCACTCCTCTAAAGTCCACTCCTCTAAAGTCCACTCCTCTAAAGCCCACTCCTCTAAAGCCCACTCCTCTAAAGGCCACTCCTCTGCAGCCCACTCCTCTAAAGTCCACTCCTCTAAAGTCCACTCCTCTAAAGTCCACTCCTCTAAAGCCCACTCCTCTAAAGCCCACTCCTCTAAAGTCCACTCCTCTAAAGGCCACTCCTCTGCAGCCCACTCCTCTAAAGTCCACTCCTCTAAAGTCCACTCCTCTAAAGCCCACTCCTCTAAAGCCCACTCCTCTAAAGTCCACTCCTCTAAAGTCCACTCCTGTAAAGTCCACTCCTCTAAAGCCCACTCCTCTAAAGCCCACTCCTCTAAAGTCCACTCCTCTAAAGTCCACTCCTCTAAAGTCCACTCCTCTAAAGTCCACTCCTCCGCAGCCCACTCCTCTAAAGCCCACTCCTCTAAAGCCCACTCCTCTAAAGTCCACTCCTCTAAAGGCCACTCCTCTGCAGCCCACTCCTCTAAAGTCCACTCCTCTAAAGTCCACTCCTCTAAAGCCCACTCCTCTAAAGCCCACTCCTCTAAAGTCCACTCCTCTAAAGTCCACTCCTGTAAAGTCCACTCCTCTAAAGCCCACTCCTCTAAAGCCCACTCCTCTAAAGTCCACTCCTCTAAAGTCCACTCCTCTAAAGTCCACTCCTCTAAAGTCCACTCCTCTAAAGTCCACTCCTCCGCAGCCCACTCCTCTAAAGCCCACTCCTCTAAAGTGCACTCCTCTAAAGTCCACTCCTCTAAAGTCCACTCCTCCGCAGCCCACTCCTCTAAAGTCCACTCCTCTAAAGCCCACTCCTCTAAAGTCCACTCCTGTAAAGTCCACTCCTCTAAAGTCCACTCCTCTAAAGTCCACTCCTCTAAAGCCCACTCCTCTAAAGTCTACTCCTCTAAAGCCCACTCCTCTAAAGTCCACTCCTCTAAAGCCCACTCCTCTAAAGTCCACTCCTGTAAAGTCCACTCCTCCGCAGTCCACTCCTCTAAAGTCCACTCCTCTAAAGCCCACTCCTCTAAAGTCCACTCCTGTAAAGTCCACTCCTCTAAAGCCCACTCCTCTAAAGTCCACTCCTGTAAAGTCCACTCCTCTAAAGTCTACTCCTCTAAAGCCCACTCCTCTAAAGTCCACTCCTCTAAAGCCCACTCCTCTAAAGTCCACTCCTCTAAAGTCCACTCCTCTAAAGTCTACTCCTCTAAAGTCCACTCCTCTAAAGTCCACTCCTCTAAAGTCCACTCCTCTAAAGTCCACTCCTCTAAAGCCCACTCCTCTAAAGTCCACTCCTCTAAAGCCCACTCCTCTAAAGCCCACTCCTCTAAAGTCCACTTCTCTAAAGTCCACTCCTCTAAAGTCCACTCCTCTAAAGCCCACTCCTCTAAAGTCCACTCCTCTAAAGTCCACTCCTCTAAAGTCCACTCCTCCGCAGCCCACTCCTCTAAAGCCCACTCCTCTAAAGTCCACTCCTCTAAAGTCCACTCCTCTAAAGTCCACTCCTCTAAAGTCCACTCCTCCGCAGCCCACTCCTCTAAAGCCCACTCCTCTAAAGTCCACTCCTCTAAAGTCCACTCCTCTAAAGTCCACTCCTCCACAGCCCACTCCTCTAAAGTCCACTCCTCTAAAGGCCACTCCTCTGCAGCCCACTCCTCTAAAGTCCACTCCTCTAAAGTCCACTCCTCTAAAGCCCACTCCTCTAAAGCCCACTCCTCTAAAGTCCACTCCTCTAAAGTCCACTCCTGTAAAGTCCACTCCTCTAAAGCCCACTCCTCTAAAGCCCACTCCTCTAAAGCCCACTCCTCTAAAGTCCACTCCTCTAAAGTCCACTCCTGTAAAGTCCACTCCTCTAAAGTCCACTCCTCTAAAGCCCACTCCTCTAAAGTCCACTCCTCTAAAGTCCACTCCTGTAAAGTCCACTCCTCTAAAGTCCACTCCTCTAAAGCCCACTCCTTTAAAGTCCACTCCTCTAAAGTCCACTCCTCCGCAGCCCACTCCTCTAAAGCCCACTCCTCTAAAGTCCACTCCTCTAAAGTCCACTCCTCTAAAGTCCACTCCTCTAAAGTCCACTCCTCTAAAGTCCACTCCTCTAAAGCCCACTCCTCTAAAGCCCACTCCTCTAAAGTCCACTCCTCTAAAGCCCACTCCTCTAAAGCCCACTCCTCTAAAGTCCACTCCTCTAAAGTCCACTCCTCTAAAGTCCACTCCTCTAAAGCCCACTCCTCTAAAGCCCACTCCTCTAAAGTCCACTCCTCTAAAGCCCACTCCTCTAAAGTCCACTCCTCTAAAGCCCACTCCTCTAAAGCCCACTCCTCTAAAGCCCACTCCTCTAAAGTCCACTCCTCTAAAGTCCACTCCTCCGCAGCCCACTCCTCTAAAGTCCACTCCTCTAAAGCCCACTCCTCTAAAGTCCACTCCTGTAAAGTCCACTCCTCTAAAGTCCACTCCTCTAAAGTCCACTCCTCTAAAGCCCACTCCTCTAAAGTCTACTCCTCTAAAGCCCACTCCTCTAAAGTCCACTCCTCTAAAGCCCACTCCTCTAAAGTCCACTCCTGTAAAGTCCACTCCTCCGCAGTCCACTCCTCTAAAGTCCACTCCTCTAAAGCCCACTCCTCTAAAGTCCACTCCTGTAAAGTCCACTCCTCTAAAGCCCACTCCTCTAAAGTCCACTCCTGTAAAGTCCACTCCTCTAAAGTCTACTCCTCTAAAGCCCACTCCTCTAAAGTCCACTCCTCTAAAGTCCACTCCTCTAAAGCCCACTCCTCTAAAGTCCACTCCTCCGCAGCCCACTCCTCTAAAGCCCACTCCTCTAAAGTCCACTCCTCTAAAGTCCACTCCTGTAAAGTCCACTCCTCTAAAGTCCACTCCTCTAAAGTCCACTCCTCTAAAGTCCACTTCTCTAAAGTCCACTCCTCTAAAGTCCACTCCTCTAAAGCCCACTCCTCCGCAGCCCACTCCTCTAAAGCCCACTCCTCTAAAGTCCACTCCTCTAAAGCCCACTCCTCTAAAGTCCACTCCTCTAAAGTCCACTCCTCTAAAGCCCACTCCTCTAAAGTCCACTCCTCTAAAGTCCACTCCTCTAAAGTCCACTTCTCTAAAGCCCACTCCTCTAAAGTCCACTCCTCTAAAGCCCACTCCTCTAAAGCCCACTCCTCTAAAGCCCACTCCTCTAAAGCCCACTCCTCTAAAGTCCACTTCTCTAAAGTCCACTCCTCTAAAGTCCACTCCTCTAAAGCCCACTCCTCTAAAGCCCACTACTCTAAAGCCCACTCCTCTAAAGCCCACTCCTCTAAAGTCCACTCCTCTAAAGCCCACTCCTCTAAAGCCCACTCCTCTAAAGCCCACTCCTCTAAAGTCCACTCCTCTAAAGCCCACTCCTCTAAAGCCCACTCCTCTAAAGTCCACTCCTCTAAAGACCACTCCTCTAAAGTCCACTCCTCTAAAGCCCACTCCTCTAAAGGCCACTCCTCTAAAGTCCACTCCTCCGCAGCCCACTCCTCTAAAGTCCACTCCTCTAAAGTCCACTCCTCTAAAGTCCACTCCTCCGCAGTCCACTCCTCTAAAGTCCACTCCTCCGCAGTCCACTCCTCTAAAGTCCACTCCTCTAAAGTCCACTCCTCTAAAGCCCACTCCTCTAAAGTCCACTCCTCTAAAGCCCACTCCTCTAAAGCCCTCTCCTCTAAAGCCCACTCCTCTAAAGCCCTCTCCTCTAAAGCCCTCTCCTCTAAAGCCCTCTCCTCTAAAGTCCACTCCTCTAAAGCCCACTCCTCTAAAGTCCACTCCTCTAAAGCCCACTCCTCTAAAGTCCACTCCTCTAAAGCCCTCTCCTCTAAAGCCCTCTCCTCTAAAGTCCACTCCTCTAAAGCCCACTCCTCTAAAGTCCACTCCTCTAAAGCCCACTCCTCTAAAGTCCACTCCTCTAAAGCCCACTCCTCTAAAGTCCACTCCTCTAAAGTCCACTCCTCTAAAGTCCACTCCTCTAAAGCCCACTCCTCTAAAGTCCACTCCTCCGCAGTCCACTCCTCTAAAGCCCACTCCTCTAAAGCCCACTCCTCTAAAGTCCACTCCTCTAAAGTCCACTCCTCTAAAGTCCACTCCTCTAAAGCCCACTCCTCTAAAGTCCACTCCTCTAAAGCCCACTCCTCTAAAGCCCACTCCTCTAAAGCCCACTCCTCTAAAGTCCACTCCTCTAAAGTCCACTCCTCTAAAGTCCACTCCTCTAAAGCCCACTCCTCTAAAGTCCACTCCTCTAAAGCCCACTCCTCTAAAGCCCACTCCTCTAAAGCCCACTCCTCTAGAGCCCACTCCTCTAAAGTCCACTCCTCTAAAGTCCACTCCTCTAAAGCCCACTCCTCTAAAGTCCACTCCTCTAAAGTCCACTCCTCTAAAGCCCACTCCTCTAAAGCCCACTCCTCTAAAGCCCTCTCCTCTAAAGCCCAGTGCTGTGCCGCTGTGGGTGTTTTGGAAACTCTAAATGGACAAAAGCAAAACGTATCCAATAGCAGGAAACATGCACAGTTTCTTTAAAGACAAGCAGCTGTAAAGGCACAAGAAGACCCTCAAGAATGTCTCACAGAGAATGCAGAACGTTGTGTTGCAAAACCAACTGGAAAACATTCAAAACTTAAAACTGCATCCATGTTTTTTTGGTTTTTGTTTGTTTACATCTCAGAGCTTCAGTCTTGGCAGTGTTTTATGGTCTATCTATACAACTTAAGGGCCCCAGAACTATTAAAGCATTTATAAAAGTATAAATTAAACATGATCTACTATCATTGTTCTGTTGTCATGAAATTCCATCTGTGGCACTGATGTAGCTGATGAGTAAACATTTGTCATCCAGCCAACTACAGCTCTCACAAATGTGTATACATTGTCCTGTCATATCTCATTTCAAATATCAATTTATGCAGATCCCAGTTAACACAGTCAGTCAGCCTCTCAGGTCTCTCTCCAGTCTCCCTCTGGTCTCTCTCTGGTCTCTCTCTGGTCTCTCTCTGGTCTCCCTCTGGGCTCTGTCTGATCTCTCTCTGGTCTCTCTCTGGTCTCTCTCTGGTCTCTCTCTGGTGTCTCTCTGGTCTCTCTCTGGTCTCTCTCTGGTCTCTTTCTTGTCTCTCTGGTCCCTCTCTTGTCTCTCTCTCTGGTCTCTCTCTGGTCTCTCTCTCATCTCTCTCTGGTCCCTCTCTGGTCTCTCTCTCTGGTCTCTTTCGGGTCTCTCTCTGGTCTCTCTCTGGTCTCTCTCTGGTCTCTCTCTGGTCTCTCTCCGGTCTCTCTCTGGTGTCTCTCTGGTCTCTCTCTGGTCCCTCTCTGGTGTCTCTCTCTGGTCTCTCTCTGGTGTCTCTCTCTGGTCTCTCTCTGGTCCCTCTCTTGTCTCTCTCTCTGGTCTCTCTCTCATCTCTCTCTGGTCCCTCTCTGGTCTCTCTCTCTGGTCTCTTTCGGGTCTCTCTCTGGTCTCTCTCTGGTCTCTCTCTGGTCTCTCTCTGGTCTCTCTCCGGTCTCTCTCTGGTGTCTCTCTGGTCTCTCTCTGGTGTCTCTCTGGTCTCTCTCTGGTCTCTCTCTGGTCTCTCTCTGGTCTCTCTCTGGTGTCTCTCTCTGGTCTCTCTCTCATCTCTCTCTGGTCCCTCTCTTGTCTCTCTCTCTGGTCTCTCTCTCATCTCTCTCTGGTCCCTCTCTTGTCTCTCTCTCTGGTCTCTCTCTGGTCCCTCTCTGGTCTCTCTCTCTGGTCTCTTTCGGGTCTCTCTCTGGTCTCTCTCTGGTCTCTCTCTGGTCTCTCTCTGGTCTCTCTCCGGTCTCTCTCTGGTGTCTCTCTGGTCTCTCTCTGGTCCCTCTCTGGTGTCTCTCTCTGGTCTCTCTCTGGTCCCTCTCTGGTCTCTCTCTCTGGTCTCTTTCGGGTCTCTCTCTGGTCTCTCTCTGGTCTCTCTCTGGTCTCTCTCTGGTCTCTCTCCGGTCTCTCTCTGGTGTCTCTCTGGTCTCTCTCTGGTCCCTCTCTGGTGTCTCTCTCTGGTCTCTCTCTGGTCCCTCTCTGGTCTCTCTCTCTGGTCTCTCTCTCTGGTCTCTCTCTGGTCTCTCTCTGGTGTCTCTCTCTGGTCTCTCTCTGGTCCCTCTCTTGTCTCTCTCTCTGGTCTCTCTCTCATCTCTCTTTGGTCCCTCTCTGGTCTCTCTCTCTGGTCTCTTTCGGGTCTCTCTCTGGTCTCTCTCTGGTCTCTCTCTGGTCTCTCTCTGGTCTCTCTCCGGTCTCTCTCTGGTGTCTCTCTGGTCTCTCTCTGGTGTCTCTCTGGTCTCTCTCTGGTCTCTCTCTGGTCTCTCTCTGGTCTCTCTCTGGTCTCTCTCTGGTGTCTCTCTCTGGTCTCTCTCTCATCTCTCTCTGGTCCCTCTCTGGTCTCTCTCTCTGGTCTCTCTCTCTTGTCTCTTTCGGGTCTCTCTCTGGTCTCTTTCTGGTCACTCTCCGGTCTCTCTCTGGCGTGTCTCTCTGGTCTCTCTCTGGTGTCTCTCTCTGGTCTCTCTCTCATCTCTCTCTGGTCCCTCTCTTGTCTCTCTCTCTGGTCTCTCTCTCATCTCTCTCTGGTCCCTCTCTTGTCTCTCTCTCTGGTCTCTCTCTGGTCTCTCTCTCATCTCTCTCTGGTCCCTCTCTGGTCTCTCTCTCTGGTCTCTTTCGGGTCTCTCTCTGGTCTCTCTCTGGTCTCTCTCTGGTCTCTCTCTGGTCTCTCTCCGGTCTCTCTCTGGTGTCTCTCTGGTCTCTCTCTGGTCCCTCTCTGGTGTCTCTCTCTGGTCTCTCTCTGGTCCCTCTCTGGTCTCTCTCTCTGGTCTCTCTCTCTGGTCTCTCTCTGGTCTCTCTCTGGTGTCTCTCTCTGGTCTCTCTCTGGTCCCTCTCTTGTCTCTCTCTCTGGTCTCTCTCTCATCTCTCTTTGGTCCCTCTCTGGTCTCTCTCTCTGGTCTCTTTCGGGTCTCTCTCTGGTCTCTCTCTGGTCTCTCTCTGGTCTCTCTCTGGTCTCTCTCCGGTCTCTCTCTGGTGTCTCTCTGGTCTCTCTCTGGTGTCTCTCTGGTCTCTCTCTGGTCTCTCTCTGGTCTCTCTCTCTGGCGTGTCTCTCTGGTCTCTCTCTGGTGTCTCTCTCTGGTCTCTCTCTCATCTCTCTCTGGTCCCTCTCTGGTCTCCCTCTCTGGTCTCTCTCTCTGGTCTCTTTCGGGTCTCTCTCTGGTCTCTTTCGGGTCTCTCTCTGGTCTCTCTCTGGTCACTCTCCGGTCTCTCTCTCTCTGGTCTCTTTTGGGTCTCTCTCTGGTCTCTCTCTCTAGTCTCTCTCTCTGGTCCCTCTCTGGTCTCTTTTGGGTCTCTCTCTGGTCTCTCTCTCTAGTCTCTCTCTCTGGTCCCTCTCTGGTCTCTCTCTCTGGTCTCTCTCTTGTCTCTCTCTCTGGTCTCTCTCTCATCTCTCTCTGGTCCCTCTCTTGTCTCTCTCTCTGGTCTCTCTCTCATCTCTCTCTGGTCCCTCTCTGGTCTCTCTCTCTGGTCTCTCTCTCTTGTCTCTTTCGGGTCTCTCTCTGGTCTCTCTCTGGTCACTCTCCGGTCTCTCTCTGGTGTCTCTCTGGTCTCTCTCTGGTGTCTCTCTCTGGTCTCTCTCTCATCTCTCTCTGGTCCCTCTCTGGTCTCTCTCTCTGGTCTCTTTCGGGTCTCTCTCTGGTCTCTTTCGGGTCTCTCTCTGGTCTCTCTCTGGTCTCTTTCGGGTCTCTCTCTGGTCTCTCTCTCTGCTCTCTCTCTGGTCTCTCTCTCTAGTCTCTCTCTCTGGTCCCTCTCTGGTCTCTCTCTCTGGTCTCTCTCTGGTCTCTCTCTCTAGTCTCTCTCTCTGGTCTCTCTCTGGTCTCTCTCTGGTCTCTCTCTCTGGTCACTCTCTGGTCTCTCTCTACTACTCTCTCTACTACTACTTTTAGCGTAGCGCTCTCTAAAAACTGTAGCCGGCTGTGGAGCTGCTCTGATCCAGCCCCATCAGGACCGTGGGAGCCGCTTGGTCCCAGTCTGAGTCTTTGCTCTGGTCCCAGCTCCTCTCAGGGCGCTCCGTGGGCTAATAAAACCTCGGCTCACGACTGCTGCCAACGGGACCGGCCTGCAGCTGTGGGACCGGCCTGCAGCTGTGGGACCGGCCTGCGGCTGTGGACGCGGCGCTTTATGTAACGCAGCTATCTCATCCCTCTGTAATCTCTTCTAGTCCGTGCAAAATTTCATTGTTTGGTTTGGACACGCCGACTTATAAAGACATATTCCACAGACGGTGTTTACGGGCAGCAGGTGTTGGCTTGATGGATTTGTGCAAAGATTTGATCAAAGTGAGTTAACAAAGTGTAATTATCGATAATCAGAAACTTTCATTCTTGGTTCTGCTCTGGGATACATTTGTTTTATTGCATTTTTATTTTCATCCAACGGTCGTGTTACTGCTTGATGCAACTGTTTTAACCCGTCGCACATGTTACACATATTCAAATATATTACCTTTTTATCCCAGTACCTCGTAACAATATAAATATACAGTGGTCCCTCGTTTATCGCGGAGTTACGATCTAAAGATAACCTGCGATAAGCGGAATCCTCTCGGCAGCAGCTCCGTGTTTTAACCACTCACAGTTTAGACACTTTTCTAATCACCAGAACCAACGACTGCTGAAGTGAGAGAGACCAGAGAGAGACCAGAGAGAGACCAGAGAGAGACCAGAGAGAGACCAGAGAGAGACCAGAGAGAGACCAGAGAGAGACCAGAGAGAGACTAAAGAGAGACCAGAGAGAGACCAGAGAGAGACCAGAGAGAGAGCAGAGAGAGACTAGAGAGAGACTAGAGAGAGACCAGAGAGAGACCAGAGAGAGACCAGAGAGAGACCAGAGAGAGAGAGAGACCAGAGAGAGACACCAGAGAGAGAGACCACAGAGAGACCAGAGAGAGACCAGAGAGAGACCAGAGAGAGAGCAGAGAGAGACCAGAGAGAGACCAGAGAGAGACCACAGAGAGACCAGAGAGAGACCAGAGAGAGACCAGAGAGAGAGACCAGAGAGAGACCAGAGAGAGACCACAGAGAGACCAGAGAGAGACCAGAGAGAGACCAGAGAGAGACCACAGAGAGACCAGAGAAAGACCAGAGAGAGAGACCAGAGAGAGACCAGAGAGAGACCAGAGAAAGACCAGAGAGAGAGACCAGAGAGAGACCAGAGAAAGACCAGAGAGAGAGACCAGAGATATCAAACCTGCTCGTTGTAGGTCAGAGCTGCTACAGCTGTAAAAAGCCATGCATGAACTGTAAATTAAAGCTGCAGAGGACTCTGAGGGACAGGAGCAGGACTGGGGGCTACGGGGAGACCACAGGAGTCCTCTGCACGAACCACACAAGTTTTCTTCTGACTTTAGGTAACTGTCTGTTATGCTTGCGTTAAATTATGTTGTTGGAGTCAGACTGTGGCTCATGAGAAGTACGCAGTAAAAAAATCATTGATCACAAAAAAATCTGCGAAGCCTTGACAAGTGCACCGCGTTATATCATGGAACGACTGTATTACAATTTCAGAGAGACTTACTCCACATTTAGGCCTTAAACATGATCTAAAGAATATTTATATTGTCATTTCAATTGTATGAGTAAAACATATGTATTTAGGATCATGCTGTAGGATGTACAGTAAGTCTCCTCTCCTCTTCATCACTAGGACTTCAGCTGTAGTCTGTTCATTGCTATTCACCCACTGTCTGTTTCAAGGGGAACCCAGACCCCTCCATGTAATGTGACCATCTGCCGGACTATCATAAAGAACCATTGAGATCATGAACACCTTTCACAGTGTCATTCAGCCAACTTCAGCTATGACAATACAGGCATGTTATACACTGCTATACTGATTTGTTTTCCATTGTGTCATAAAATTCCGTATGGCGCTGTCTCTATGGTCTCTCTCTGGTCTCTCTCTGGTCTCTCTCTGGTCTCTCTCTGGTCTCTCTCTCTGGTCTCTCTCTGGTCTCTCTCTGGTCTCTCTCTGGTCTGTCTCTGGTCTCTCTCTGGTCTCTCTCTGGTCTGTCTCTGGTCTCTCTGGTCTCTCTCTGGTCTCTCACTGCTCTCTCTCTAATCTCTCTCTGGTCTCTCTCTGGTCTCTCTCTGGTCTCTCTCTCTGGTCTCTCTCTGGTCTCTCACTGATCTCTCTCTGGTCTCTCTCTGGTCTCTCTCTGGTCTCTCTCTGGTCTCTCTCTTGTCTCTCTCTGGTCTCTCTCTGGTCTCTCTCTTGTCTCTCTCTGGTCTCTCTCTGGTCTCTCTCTGGTCTCTCTCTGGTCTCTCTCTCTGGTCTCTCTCTGGTCTCTCTCTGATCTCTCTCTGGTCTCTCTCTGGTCTCTCTCTCTGGTCTCTCTCTGGTCTCTCTCTCTGGTCTCTCACTGATCTCTCTCTGGTCTCTCTCTGGTCTCTCTCTCTGGTCTCTCTCTGGTCTCTCACTGCTCTCTCTCTAATCTCTCTCTGGTCTCTCTCTGGTCTCTCTCTGGTCTCTCTCTCTGGTCTCTCTCTGGTCTCTCACTGATCTCTCTCTAGTCTCTCTCTAGTCTCTCTCTGGTCTCTCTCTAGTCTCTCTCTGGTCTCTCTCTGGTCTCTCTCTGGTCTCTCTCTGGTCTCTCTCTGGTCTCTCTCCCTGGTCTCTGGTCTATCTCCTCTCTCTCTCTGGTCTCTCACTGCTCTCTCTCAGGTCTCTCTCTCTGGTCTCTCTCTAGTCTTTCTCTAGTCTCTCTCTGGTCTCTCTCTGGTCTCTCACTGCTCTCTCTCTAGTCTCTCTCTAGTCTCTCTCTAGTCTCTCTCTGGTCTCTCTCTAGTCTCTTTCTGGTCTCTCTCTGGTCTCTCTCTGGTCTCTCTCCCTGGTCTCTGGTCTATCTCCTCTCTCTCTCTGGTCTCTCTCTGGTCTCTCTCCTCTCTCTCTCTGGTCTCTCTCTGGACTCTCTCTCTGCTCTCTCTCTGGTCTATCTCCTCTCTCTCTCTGGTCTCTCCCTGGTTTCTGTTCTTAATAAAATAGTTTCCCCCCCAGTCATAAAACTACACCACACCGTGATGTACAAAGACGACCCTGGGCAACAAACGAGAAGCATTTATTATTTGAGAATTGGTTTGAAGCGGGACATGACTTGATCCTGGAGTAATCTGCCGGAGGTTCGACTTTTCCGACCACAATCCCACGCTCGGACGGACGGCGCTGCCTGCTTTTATTACGCGACAGCTCTGTGTTATGCGTGTGCGAGTGCCAAAAGTGTGTTACGGCTCCTGCTCCATCTGATACAAACAGGAGAGACTAAAGAGAGACCAGAGAGAGACCAGAGAGAGACAAGAGAGAGACTAAAGAGAGAGCAGAGAGAGACTAGAGAGAGACTAGAGAGAGACCAGAGAGTGACCAGAGAGAGACCAGAGAGAGACCAGAGAGAGAGACCAGAGAGTGACCAGAGAGAGACCAGAGAGAGACCAGAGAGAGAGTTGTTGGAGTCAGACTGTGGCTCATGAGAAGTACGCAGTAAAAAAATCATTGATCACAAAAAAATCTGCGAAGCCTTGACAAGTGCACCGCGTTATATCATGGAACGACTGTATTACAATTTCAGAGAGACTTACTCCACATTTAGGCCTTAAACATGATCTAAAGAATATTTATATTGTCATTTCAATTGTATGAGTAAAACATATGTATTTAGGATCATGCTGTAGGATGTACAGTAAGTCTCCTCTCCTCTTCATCACTAGGACTTCAGCTGTAGTCTGTTCATTGCTATTCACCCACTGTCTGTTTCAAGGGGAACCCAGACCCCTCCATGTAATGTGACCATCTGCCGGACTATCATAAAGAACCATTGAGATCATGAACACCTTTCACAGTGTCATTCAGCCAACTTCAGCTATGACAATACAGGCATGTTATACACTGCTATACTGATTTGTTTTCCATTGTGTCATAAAATTCCGTATGGCGCTGTCTCTCTGGTCTCTCTCTGGTCTGTCTCTGGTCTCTCTCTGGTCTCTCTCTGGTCTCTCTCTGGTCTCTCTCTGGTCTCTCTCTGGTCTCTCTCTGGTCTCTCTCCCTGGTCTCTGGTCTATCTCCTCTCTCTCTCTGGTCTCTCACTGCTCTCTCTCAGGTCTCTCTCTCTGGTCTCTCTCTAGTCTCTCTCTGGGCTCTCTCTCAGGTCTCTCTCTCTAGTCTCTCTCTGGTCTCTCTCTAGTCTCTTTCTGGTCTCTCTCTGGTCTCTCTCTGGTCTCTCTCTGGTCTCTCTCTGGTCTCTCTCTGGTCTCTCTCTGCTCTCTCTCCCTGGTCTCTCCCTGGTTTCTGTTCTTAATAAAATAGTTTCCCCCCCAGTCATAAAACTACACCACACCGTGATGTACAAAGACGACCCTGGGCAACAAACGAGAAGCATTTATTATTTGAGAATTGGTTTGAAGCGGGACATGACTTGATCCTGGAGTAATCTGCCGGAGGTTCGACTTTTCCGACCACAATCCCACGCTCGGACGGACGGCGCTGCCTGCTTTTATTACGCGACAGCTCTGTGTTATGCGTGTGCGAGGGCCAAAAGTGTGTTACGGCTCCTGCTCCATCTGGTTTGAATTGAGACGATACAAACAGGAGAGACACTGTATACAGCAGCTGTGGAGCGGACACACACTTCTGACACACATGCTCCTTATGCGTTCAGTTTAGCGTGATGCAAGGCTGTGTGTGGAAACGGCCTCGGGTGAACTGCCGGGTAAGGAAGACCTCCGCCTCCAGCATCTGCTTCACATTTCCATCTTTACTGTTTTTGGCTCCTACTCCAAAATGTTTTAAAATTGAAATAATGCCAGTGTGTAAGAGAAGACATTTACAAGGTTCACAAGCGGCTCTTTGATCCAATAAACTGGGTATTTTTATTCAAACACACAACTTTTAGCTTTTGAACCTGAACCTGCATGGCTACAGCCTCAGTCCTGGGTCTACAGCCTCAGTCCTGGGTCTACAGCCTGAGTCCTGGGTCTACAGCCTGAGTCCTGGGTCTACAGCCTGAGTCCTGGGTCTACAGCCTCAGTCCTGGGTCTACAGCCTCAGTCCTGGGTCTACAGCCTCAGTCCTGGGTCTACAGCCTCAGTCCTGGGTCCACAGCCACAGTCCTGGGTCCACAGCCACAGTCCTGGGTCTACAGCCTCAGTCCTGGGTCCACAGCCACAGTCCTGGGTCCATAGCCACAGTCCTGGGTCTACAGCCTCAGTCCTGGATTTACAGCCTCAGTCCTGGGTCCACAGCCTCAGTCCTGGGTCCACAGCCTCAGTCCTGGATTTACAGCCTCAGTCCTGGGTCCACAGCCTCAGTCCTGGGTCTACAGCCTCAGTCCTGGGTCCACAGCCACAGTCCTGGGTCCACAGCCTCAGTCCTGGATCCACAGCCTCAGTCCTGGATCTACAGCCTCAGTCCTGGATCTACAGCCTCAGTCCTGGATCCACAGCCTCAGTCCTGGGTCCACAGCCTCAGTCCTGGATCTACAGCCTCAGTCCTGGATCTACAGCCTCAGTCCTGGGTCCACAGCCACAGTCCTGGGTCCACAGCCTCAGTCCTGGATCCACAGCCTCAGTCCTGGATCTACAGCCTCAGTCCTGGATCTACAGCCTCAGTCCTGGGTCTACAGCCTCAGTCCTGGGTCTACAGCCTCAGTCCTGGATCTAGAGCCTCAGTCCTGGATCCACAGCCTCAGTCCTGGATCCACAGCCTCAGTCCTGGATCTACAGCCTCAGTCCTGGATCCACAGCCTCAGTCCTGGATCCACAGCCTCAGTCCTGGATCTACAGCCTCAGTCCTGGGTCTACAGCCTCAGTCCTGGGTCTACAGCCTCAGTCCTGGGTCTACAGCCTCAGTCCTGGATCTACAGCCTCAGTCCTGGGTCTACAGCCTCAGTCCTGGATCTCCAGCCTCAGTCCTGGGTCTACAGCCTCAGTCCTGGATCTACAGCCTCAGTCCTGGATCTACAGCCTCAGTCCTGGATCCCTCCTTCAATGTGTGCCTTCCCGAGGTTTATCTGTTTGTCCGACTGGGTTTTTAGAGGTGTTCCTTGTCGATAGGGGTCTAAGGACAGAGGTGATGATCCAGGACACTCCACATTCAATGACATTTATGGACATTGGTCTCCGTTCCTTGTGGACCAATAGCTCTGAGTTTTTTATCATTGCCTTTCCTGTGTTTGAACTGTTTGATTCTCTGATCTGTGTTGTTGACGGCTCGTAAAGTCCTCAGAGATAACTACTGTTGTGATTTAAGGATATTGAATTGACGGTTGTTATAATGGTGTTATTTATTAGTGGAAACTGCCCTGTAAAAATGCATGTCCATGAAGCAAAGTGCTGTAACTATTGTGCCTTGGAGGCTTCTTTTGACAGGTAAAGGTGATTGGAAGTCAGTCAGAGTCTGTCTTTCATCTTCTATTCTGTTTTACAACTGGCCTATTTTTATACTGATTTAGGGCTGAGAGCCAATAGGTGGAGTGAGGTCCTCTCTTTTTCACTTTTCTGTCTGAAAAAGCCAATCTAAAGATGTGACCAAGGCCAAAAATGGATAAACGTTGATAAAAGTGGGGAAGAAGTTGGGAACATCATCTCAGCTTTACAGTAAACAACTAGTGATGTTATTGGAATTGTTGACCAGCAATTCATAAAATGTCATTAGATATTTAGAAAAACAGCTCCATTATGTAAGTAATTAGTAATCTTTATTTATATACCGCCTTTTCACTGCAGATCTGAGTCTCAAAGCTGTTTACAATTGTTAATTTTTGGGCATTTGTCTCTCACTCCACACAGAGATGGGAGCGGGGCCAGTACAGGAGGCGCATGCTAGAACTATTGGACATATTTTTAGTGGTAGGGGAAACCTACGCAGACACGGGGAGAACATGCAAACTCCACTCAGAAAGGCCCTGGTCCGGCCGGGATTCGAACCCAGGACCTTCTTGCTGAGAGGCGAGAGGGCTATCCACTCAGCCACCGTGCCGCCCTTATGAGAGGATCCATCATGGTGTTCCATCAAGACAGAAGGTGGGAGTGTTTGGACCAGAGGGTTCTGACTCACCCTGGAGAACAGCCTTGTTGTCCTGCAGACGCTCCAGGTTCTGGATGCCCATCTGCTCGAAAGCGGCGTTGGTGGGAGCGAAGAGCGTGAACTGTCCCGCCTCGCCCAGTTTGTCCATCAGCTCTGCATTCAAGAGGATGTCCTGTAGGGGGCAGCGTGACCAGATCCAGTCAGCTCACAACACGTGTCATGGAGCTAGTGTATTATCTGGATAACATTATACTATCTTTAGTGTGTGTGTTTGTCTGTGTGCGTAAGTATGCGTGTGAGTGTGTGTGCGTACATGTGTGTGAGTGTGCGTACATGTGTGTGTGTATGCGTACATGTGTGAGTGTATGCGTACATGTGTGTGCGTACATGTGTGTGTGTGCGTACATGTGTGTGTGTGTGTGCGTACATGTGTGTGTGCGTACATGTGTGTGTGTGTGCGTACATGTGTGTGTGTGTGTGTGTGCATGTGTGTGTGTGTGCGTACATGTGTGTGTGTGTGCGTACATGTGTGTGTGTGTGCGTACATGTGTGTGTGTGTGCGTACATGTGTGTGTGTGTGTGCGTACATGTGTGTGAGTGTGCGTACATGTGTGTGTGTGTGTGTGTGCATGTGTGTGTGTGTGCGTACATGTGTGAGTGTATGCGTACATGTGTGAGTGTATGCGTACATGTGTGTGTGTGTGCGTACATGTGTGTGTGTGTGCGTACATGTGTGTGTGTGTGCGTACACGTGTGTGCGTGTGCGTACATGTGTGAGTGTCTGCGTATATGTGTGTGAGTGTGCGTACATGTGTGTGTGTGTGCGTACATGTGTGAGTGTATGCGTACATGTGTGTGTGAGTGTGCGTACATGTGTGAGTGTATGCGTACATGTGTGTGTGAGTGTGCGTACATGTGTGTGAGTGTGCGTACATGTGTGTGTGTGTGCGTACATGTGTGTGTGTGCGTACATGTGTGAGTGTATGCGTACATGTGTGTGAGTGTGCGTACATGTGTGTGTGTGTGCGTACATGTGTGTGTGTGTGCGTACATGTGTGAGTGTATGCGTACATGTGTGTGAGTGTGCGTACATGTGTGTGTGTGTGTGCGTACATGTGTGTGTGTGTGTGCGTACATGTGTGTGTGTGTGCGTACATGTGTGTGTGTGTGCGTACATGTGTGAGTGTGTGCGTACATGTGTGTGTGTGTGTGTGCGTACATGTGTGTGTGTGTGCGTACATGTGTGTGTGTGTGCGTACATGTGTGTGTGTGTGTGCGTACGTGTGTGAGTGTATGCGTACATGTGTGTGAGTGTGCGTACATGTGTGTGTGTGTGCGTACATGTGTGTGTGTGTGCGTACATGTGTGCGTGTGCGTACATGTGTGCGTGTGCGTACATGTGTGAGTGTATGCGTACATGTGTGTGTGTGTGTGTGTGTGCGTAAAACAGTTTAGTATTGTTTCTATTGCCAAATTAGCACTTGTTTGTGTTATATCTCATAAGGCAGTGTGAGTTCAAGGTTGTCTTGTGAGAATGGGTGGGGGACAAGAGAAAAACGATGTGGTTATCAGAGCAGGTGCAGGCTTGGCAGCTCGGGGCCAGAAGAGTCGTGAGTCCTACGAATCTGTGATGTCAGTGACCTTGGTGGTACAGTATAAATGTAAGATGTAAACAGGTTTTGTAGGTCACACGGGGGCTTTTTATTTTTCTTCGGACCAGGAGGGTGAAGACGTCCCCGGGGGCCACTCCTTTTCTGAACGCGAAGCAGAGATTGTTCGCTGACCGTTATCTTGTAATATTGCTTGCAAGTATCTTCACATATATACCTTTTGAAATCTAGGTTTGGTATCTGTCATTTCTATTACTGTTTTAACATTGGTTTTTGTCTCTTGTTGAACTAATAGGACCTGCAGAACGAATGGGCTGTGTTTGCGGCCTCTACTGCAGCTTCTGGGGCTGGGGAATTCTGACAAATTTACTGCAGTACTTGGAGTCGCTCGGAACAGGATTTCGACAGGAGACTCATAGGTCACGTCAGTCAGGGATAAAGATTATTTGGCGCCAAAGTAATACGGTAAGATTGGTTACCTACTAATTAATCTTTCCTTTCACCTGACCTGAGACCTAAATAAATAAAAAATAAAAACAAACAAACACCAAGTAGGGTAAATATTGATAGGATTTGCAAGTTTGTTATATTTATTGGGGTTATATAGTAAGTCTAAGTGACGAAAAGAAAAAAACTGGTGTGTTTTTATCTTAGGTGATTGTTAGTCATCCTATAAGAGGGAGAGGCTGTGGTAGGGGTGATCTTTGGGAGTTATGAGTTAAAGGAGTCGAACTGTGTGTTATCCTCCAGGGATTTTTTAGTTGAAGGAGAAAACTGTGTGTTTTAATTAAGTGAAAGAGGGAAAGGACTGGGCATGTGTCTCAGTGTCTCACTGGTCTCAACTTTTTACACGTTTCCTCTTGGGGTGTATGATGTGATTGAGGTCGTCTGTGGATAAGTGGACGCATTGCACTAACGGCCACATGTGAACCTGGTATCTTGGGTCGCGTATGGACGGGTCACGATTTCGTGCGTACATTGTCCCCAGCATCATTGTGTGTCGTACGGGGCGATAACGCACGATCTGACGCTCTAGAGATGACGCACCCAAAGTGCTGAAGTTCTGGACTGTGATAGGGATAATCACAAGGCTGTGTAATCTTGACGGGTAGATATACATGGCTTCTGTAGACTTTAGGATGAGTGGAGTTAAAGGGGATGTTTAGCAGTAGTGAGAGGGGGACAACAGTGATTAAAATATTACAACAACAGGGAGCGGTGAGAACCTGGGTTAAAATCAAAAAAGATAGATGGTATTTTAGCGAAGTCAAAATCACCTCCAAGTGAAGGGGGAAGGAAACAACTAAGAAATTATGTTTTGGAGTTACGTTTCTGCAATGCTAAGTAGTGAAGCCGTTAGAATATAAGAATAGTCAAAAGTTGACAGAGGAGGTGTTACTCTGTTTTCTATTGATGAATCCCAAGACTAAATGAGATATTGGAGTGACGTGCCTGCCAATTTTGCAAAGCTACCGCGCCTGATGTCTTCCCCTCCACCGTATGCGCCATTGTTCCAGAGTTGTACAGAATTAGTGAAATGTAATGATTCTGCACTATGGCGCAAATGGGAGTACATGGTTGTAGAAGCCAATCATATGTACCGTGACTAGCACTAGAGAGGATGTAGTCTGGATCAAAATACTCCCCAGAGGCGCTCAGGGCAGGTACGGGAGGTTACAGCTCTGACTTCCCAGCTTCCAGAAACACATTGGATCAGGTTGAGAAAGTGTGGCACAAGTGGCTGAAAGACAATTTAATGTCTCATTGACAAGAGACTGGTAAGGTGAGCGTACAAACCACCCGATGCAGGAGTGGCCCATTCGCACTTTGCAGCAGACTCCAGGCGACGGGGGAACTGTCAATGGCTATTGGTGTGTGAATGGAATATAACTGGATGGAGGCATTCGTAGTGCCCTAGAGTTGATCGTGATTACGTCCCTGGCAGAGATAGGAGAGAGCTGAGCGAGAGCAGGGGGCGGGAGGTAGTGACAGCCCAGAGTGAGCGAGGGGGGGCGCAGACAGTGAGTGCCCAGAAGGGAGTGGTACGCAACACTACAGGGGCTAGGGAGAGATGTCAGATTTTAAGTAAGCAGGCTGTTCAGAAGCCCGATTATCAGTGAGAAAAGAAAGACTGCATCGTTTATGTTACTCGAGTCTAGATCAGATCTTTAGATGGCATGAAGTCAAGCTCGTACAGACAAGTTAGATATGGATTGTCCGGCTCTGATGCGTTGTGTAACAGCTTGTTCTCTCAGAATAACGACGGTACGTAGTGGGGATAATGTAAGTATGCTACAGCGAGAATGGCGACGAGAACAAGTGGATTAGCTATGGCGCTGACATGGTGAAGAATGGTGGCGATGTGTCCCTATGTGTGGTTTCGGACGTCTTGGTCCGGGAGTGAGATCTGGAACTTGTAATCCGCTCTCGATAACTGAAATTGACTGTCTATAAAAATGTAATGAAAGTCCCAAGTCAGTATGGGGGCAGGTAGCATGTTTGTGTTTTCATTCCTGGAACAACTATCCTGCTCTAAATTGAACCCCTAAAATGTATCCTCATCTACCGTTCGAGGTGTCCATCTGCCATTTCTTGCTCCACAGGTTTGATAAATGGTGCAGTTCGAGCCACAATACCGGCTGTTGCAGTGGGATGCTCTGGTAGCATGCTGTGGGGAGAAATAATGTGAATCGTTTATTTTCCTGTGCGCCAGGAATGCTATGGGAAAACACATAAAGCTAGACGTGCAGAGATGGAAGACAGCCGAGGCCCTTGAAGCTTAGAATAAAAATAAGGGAGTTTGATGCATTGTTTCCAAGAGAGGCCTCACCCATCCTAGGAGTTGGATCAATAAAGATGTGCGATCAGCGAATGCTCTAGGGAGCCTACCGACAGCTGAGAAGGAAAAACACATTCTGAATTTTGGATACTGACCGCGCCAGCTGTTGGTTAGGTCATGATTGTACTATTAAAAAGCTACGTTGTGAAGAAATTCAGCCCACAAAACTGATGATAGTTTGTGCACTGATGGTAAGGAATTAGTTAAAGAGATTAATAAATAGCTGGAACCAAAGCCAGAAAAAGTGGAGATAGGCAGAATAAATGGTGGTTTAGTGGGAATCCCTAGGTCCACTGCTGAGCCGACGGACGCAGACACAGGTGATGCTACCACAGCAGATCATTCTGACTGGACTGATTACAGCTGCAACCAAGAGTTGTTTGGCAAATGAATGGTACATGCCCTATGGGAAAATCATGGACAGAGGTTTCCAGACATATCCCCCCAGGAATAGCTGAGGTAGAGGTGGTGGAACTAGGTTAGACAGGACTGCAGAGTTTATCATAACATGAGAAGTGTTACAGTGTGTGACTGGTACGGTACCAGAGAGCGAAGGGAAAGTGGCAGGAACGGGAGGAATGCACTCACATGCAGGGGCAAGGTAGGTCTGCAGCAGTTTCCATGTTTCAAACAGTACCAACAACCACAATGTACCAGGCACAACCACAACAGCCATACGCAACAACACACGAAGTGCAA